CTACAAGTCAAAATAGTAATAAATTGCTAAAGAAAATTGCGTGGCGCTAAAAGAAAAACGATCCGAGAAAAGCTAGCCAAAAGCCGCAGTCCCAACATATGGCAAGTCCTTTGAATTTTATACACATACATGTATATGCATATATGTGTAAATAGACATATCGTATACATGCACGCACACATACATACATCTATCTTCATATATATGAGAGACAGACTTATTTATGGTCGTGCGGTGCGGCAAATTAATAATGTGACTTTCTCAGTTGCTGGCTCTTGGTTTCTGCCTGTATGTAAATAGAATTTGCGAGCTGACTGCAACTAACCCGCAGCTGGTGTCCCACACAAAGAAAGCAGGGGAGTTGGGGGGTAGACTCAGATTGAGTATACAGAACATAAAGTTTGTTAACCGAGCGTTGTTAATCCAATATTGTAAGAAAATGCTACACAGTTAAAACATAAAACTTAATATTAATATTAATAAACCAACTAAAGGTATCCAAGTTGCTTTATTAATATAAATAAATAATGCTCTCATTTAAAACTTTAAGCTCCAACTTAAACAAGTTCTTGTTGCTTATGAAATTTGTATGTAATCTAATGGATTCCGGTCTACGAGGGTATCCAATTTTCGATCAACAAGAAAGGACCGAGACAGAAACCATTTGTAGAACATTTCAATATGTTTCTCACTGAGTCCTGCTGCCTTATAAAAAGAGGTCACCAAACAAAAACAATTTTGTTGTTAATTTAATTTTACGTTACAATTTGTATTGCGATCTTTAAGGAAGATACAGAATTTTCCTTAATCGCCCAACTGATAACAACATCGAAAGGTATTTTGTTTTCCGCCATGTTATTTATGTGCATATTAGTTATTTTAAAAATGCTTGCCAGAAGTGTTGTGGTCCGTGAGTACAAATATGCATAAAAGTATGTTATGTCGAATATTTTATAGGAAACTAATGCTTGGCTTTGATCAGCAATCTAAGCCTTGTGGGCAAAAGCAATTTGCAATTGAAATTGTGGCAAAAAAACGAAACAAAATAAATTTGGGCCGTTTACTTCAGGACCATGTCGCCTGTCTGGCTTCCTTTCACATGTCCTTATGGTTGTGATGGCCCCAAATGGTAATGAGTAGCTCTCTCTCTCTCTCTCTCCCTTTTTCTTTCTTTTTATTTTTTCGTTTCGCTCACTTTCTTGCTACAAGTGTCACATTGGCGTCCTTCGCTGCCAGTTTTCGCCGAAGCGAGCAAATTTATTGCACACTTCCTGTCCGCAAAAGCAAAGGCCTCACTACCTGAACGTGAATATGGGTGTGTGTGTGTATGTGTGTTTGTGTGTATGTTACATTCAATTACATACAATTTTAGCTGGCTTTTGTTTGTTATTGCATACATCGATCGACACGACGGCAGCCGCCCCGTTTGATTAACGAGTCCCAGTTTTGAGTCGTGTGCAGCATTTTTTCCAACGATTCACATCTATGCCACTTTAACTTTTCTTTTATTTGCAACCAACGCGACTGGCGTCCTGCTGGCGCCACACCAGCGACAAAAACATGAAGAAATTGTCCGGATAAAATTACAACAATTAAAATGAGGCAGACAAGGACAAAAAGGATGCATGCGACCTTATCGCGGGGGTGGCGAAGAGGCGGTGGTTGAGTGCAAATAATATCGAAACCAAATGCAGCTCGGTGGGCTATTAACAGCAGACTTCAGTCGGGTATTTCAACATTGGGATTTCAAAATATACGAATTTTCAGTCTATACTAATTTTAGTGTTGAAATTAACTCTATTTAAATAATTGCTGGGTAATTTTGTCAAATGCAGAGCCTCTCATTGGCAAATAAGACATAGTAAGATATATTAATAAATTACTTCCAAGATCAACATGAATACAATGTTGTACTGTTATTAGACATAATAAGATATAATAATGAATTAGTTCCAAGATCAACATCAATATATAAGTGGATATTATTCCTTTCCTCTTATTATCCTTGTCACAGCCCTCTTGACTGAAGTGTATTTAATATTCATCTTTAAGCTATTTCCTTCTGTGTTTTATGCGTTTCACTTGCCAAGTAACATGTCGTACTTCCCCTTTACCCTTCTCAAACATCTCCCCCGTACAAATCATCACCCGTTTACTGTCTGCTACTTTGCTACTTGTGAGTGTTGTGTATGCGCTTTTAATTATTTGTGTATCTTTTTGCTGAAGTTGCTTTGTTGTCATACGTTTCTCATTTGCTGTTACGGGTCTGTCCTTGACTGTGTCCCCTCTCGTGGACATTAAGCGCCACATTTAAGGCATGCAAGTGACAGGTTTTAATTATATAATTGACTTGTGCCTTGTGGCTTTCATCTGGCAATGGGAAACATCTCCAAATACTAGCGAGACTTACCTAAACAAGACAAAATGAATCTTGCTTTGTAGTGATGAGAGTGGCAGAGACGAGTTACTTGCCTGGTTGGGTGCAATGGAACCAAACTTTGAACGCTCTTAAATATTTATGCGGGCTAAAAAGTTTTATCGATATCGTGCACAACAAAGGACCCATACAACTAGATGAATGGACAAAACTATGCGCTGCTGCTGTTATGGTTGTTGCTGTTGTGCATACAAATTTTAAATTTATGCCACGAGTTCCCTGAACTTCATGGCCCAGACCACCTAACGTGCATTGACTTGTGCGTCTCCGAATCGCATTGCTTATTGCTTGGTCTTAACCTTTTTAGATAACGCAATTTATGGACCAAAAGCATGGCTAATAACTTGTGGCAGCGCGTTAATGGGCTTTGGCATTGATTTCAGTCAGCCAGTCTCTTAATTGTGTCGTAAAAGCGTTATTGATACATCATTAGGCCAGCGATAATCATGGCGTATACGCAATATTCGTGGGCAAACTTCAAGCTAGCTTAAATTGACTGCCAGCTGTGCAACATTCGCAGCAGAATTTTACACTTGCCACTTGAAAATGCGCTTAAAAAGAATAGCTTATAGCTTTGGCCAGTTGCCAGCACTCTATGCCTGAAGGCCAGCAAAGGGCAGTGGGCGAACCCTTGAAGAACATTACGAAAACCAAACATGAAACAGATAAAAGAAGCAATTAATATTTCAGTGTTCTCCCGAGTTCACCAACTCTTGCACTTGAAATGGAATTATGGCCCTTACATTTTCTTATCACTCATAATCTTCAGGGGAATTGTTCTTTTTTTGTCATATTTTCAAACTAGTTTCAGAAATTGCTAATATAACAAGAAAATATAAAATGAAAATGTACAGTAGCAAATAGAGAGATGAAAATTTCAATGGAAATTATTGACTTTAACATATAAAAAATGAAAATGTTCAGTAGAAAATCAAGAGCTGACAAAGTCTAATAAATTCACAACTTTAAGTTATATAAAATGACAGATTTCAGTAGAAAATAGAGAGGCATACAAATCTTAAGATAGAAACTGAATTTAACTTATTTAAAATGAAAGATTTTAGTAGAAAATAGATACCTCAAAACTCAAATTATTAGATTTAAATAGTTGAAATTAAATTTGCTTACTAACTAATACCAATTTAAAGATTTTAAAGCAAATAGATAGCAGACAAATTCAAATAGAATTCTGACTTTAACTTGTCTAAAATTAAAGATTTCATTAGCAAATAGAGATATGACAAATTTAAAGAAAGTTTCTAACTAACAAATGATCAGGTGCAAGTACTTGAAATTGCATTCGATAATTAAGCAACCATAAATATATATACAAAATAATCATATCAAAAGACAATCGCAGTTTAGTATTTAAGAGACTAAGAGAAGTCTCTTAAGAAGCACATTTACCAAATAAAAAGTCGTCTTATCTGCCGCAGCTGAAAAGGTATCACGTATTGCGACAGACAATCGGTTGACTTTAAGATAGTGCCATATTTGCGAGGGATTGACCGGCTGCAGTAATTGGTTGGCATGCCAAAAAAAAGGCTTCACACTCGACACCTACATCACGCAACCAACCACCCTTTAGCGAACGTGACGCCTTGAAAGTGTCGCCCCATTTTATTTGGCGTACGTGTCAAGCGAGAAGACATGCAAATATGGACTGGCCCACACAAACAGAAGTTAATATATATATATGAGCTAAAATTATTCAAATATTTACGACATCGAGCACTATGAAGATGCGAAACCCTTATTACTAAAATTGAAATTAAATTGAAGAATGAAATAAGTTTACAACAGCTTCAAACCAAACGAATTTACATTGTCGAATTTTGATAAATGGACAGGCAAATGACTGACTGACCAACACAGAACACATACAATATAGAACACATATTTATATATGGACATACATATGTATGCATAAGCTCACGCTGTGTCGCGGTTATCAATATTTGTGCAATAAAAATCAGAATCGAATAGTTTCCCATTAAAGTCCAAATGCTGAACGAGGATAGGGATGGAAGTTCGCGTGTTGAGTCGAATAATTGACAGCAGCATGGACAAAAACTGCAATAAGAGCAACATTGACTAGCTGAAATACAGCGCTGGTCATTTGCCTAGTACCATTATAAAGGGACTAAATTAAATGTGAATATAAAATACTCGAAGGTTATTTCTTTGCCTTGGCGAGACTCGGATTATTTTGTAATGTTAAAATATATTCGAATTTAATGCAGATGTTTTCGAGATGTTTGTTTATTGCTATAGCGACAGATATATACACAATATGACAGCGATAGACATATGTGTCAGCATAGAGTTCAAGTAGGTTGGCATTCAAATGAAATTGCGTTTCATTTTCATTTTGCACTGACTTCAGTGACATTTTTGTCATACACAATACAGCGAGTGCGTGTTATTTATTTGATAGATTTCGCTTTTGATATGCACTCATTTTTATATATTTTCCGCTTCTGTTTTTGACTATTTCGTTTTCATTTATTTAGCTTCATTGTGGCATTGTGTTTCATTTTAATTAAATTTTATGCTTGCGCAGACATAAAAGTGGCTCTGCACATAAGGCAAAAAGTGAATTAAAGTGCAATCAATTTTTAAAGAATTTAACAACAAAAATTAAAATTCAACTGGCGCAGACAACTGGCATAGTTTCCCTCACGCAATTTGACTGAAAAATCGTCGGTAATAAAAATGCGAACGCGTGCCGCGTGAAAAGCGTCGCGAGTCTCTTGGAAAATAGACTAAATCGGGAAGACATGGGCGACACATTGGATGAGAAGCCACCGTCGCGACGTGATAAGCCGCAAACGCTGAACATTAGCCCCGCTGAGGCAGCAGCAGCAGCAGCAGCGACAGCTGCTGCAACAAGCCATGCGGCCAGCGTTGCTGCAACGACGAGTTATGCGCACCCGCGATTACATAGTGAACCGGTACGGGATCGGGTACGGGAACGTGATCACACCAGCGATGCTCTGAGCTCCATGGGCAGGCGCCATGATGAATTTGCGAACCCAGCTGCACCACCACCACCACGTCGCGAAAGTCTCAACAGCTGCGACCAGCAGCAACAGCAACAGCTGGCGAGCAGTCCTGGCGGCACCGGTCTACACAAGGCACTCGGATCGAGTGGTCGCTCGGCAACAGCAGCTGGCCTCAATTCGCGGTACTCGTCCAGCGTTGTGGTTGGCGGTGGCGTTGGCAATTTGGCCGGCACCACAACGCGCAAGTGCGTCTTAACGCTGGACGGGTACTCCTATGTTATAGGTAAGCTGGCAAGCTAAAAGCATAATGAGATTCAGAGATGCTTTACTGGCTGCCGCCACCAATCAATTGGAGCAACCATAAGGTTGCTCTTGCCCTGCTTTTGACTTTGAATTCATAATAAAGCCTCCCTCCACTCTATCGAATTAAGTGCTCCTGGCAAACGCATAAAATAATATATATGTATCTATTATTCTATCATTTCATTGTAGGTAAGTCCATTGAGAGGGCAAGCACAGAAAGTCAAAGTCAGATTGAAGCGACGGCCCAGGTACGTGGCCCATTGCAGCATTAAATTGAAAATGAAATTGAATTTACTTCCAAAACGTGAGCAGTGAGGGAGGGAGGGAGAGGGGCAGGTGTGCGCGGATAGCTATTATAAAACTTGACTGCCACAACCAACCTCCTAACCGTATCCCTTCAGCTAACCAGCACAACAATTCATTTTGAATTGCTGTTGGAAATTTATGAGCAAGTTTTTATGCTCCCTGCATGTGGCCCTGAACACTGAAACAATCCTGCAAAGCAGCAGATTGCGTATACGACGCGTTGCCTGGACAAACATTTTGGAAAATACGCAAAACAAAATGAAAATGTATTTTCAGCCCGGCTCATAGTTGGTTTAGTGCAAGCTACAGCTTGAGTGACAGCTTTTGAGAGCCGCCTGTGCCAGGGCGCCTGAACATACGTATACATGTAGTTTAGTACACGCTGCATGCCCCTGTCCACTTTGCCTTTTGGGCATCGTTTACATTTCTGTGGTGAGCCAACAAAGCACACAGCTACACACAATGAACGCAATAGATGGGTATTGGCCAGTTGTTTCCATGCTAATATACTGCCACCGACCACATCGATTGTGCGTGTTCATTTAAGATAAGATTCAATGAATCAAATTTAACCCCAAAACCAATTTAAAACGACAGTAATCACCGAAATTTAATAAATATTTGTGGTTTTTCAAATGAAATCACATTTGAGAACAATTTTAATAAACAAAATTTAATAAGCGAAAAATGAAATATTTTTAGTGTTGAATTAAAACAATTTATGCGATTGTGACTAAATCAGCCGATTATCCCTTTTATATTAAATCATACTTTCACACATCATATGTTATGATAATCTCAGAAAGTTAGCTGCTAGGGTAACTGACCAATAATAAACTCATCGATACCTCTCGCTGGGCCTATGCTATGTAAAGGTACAATACATTTTGGAAATTTTAGAAATGCTACTTTAAAGTTTCACTAACGTAAATTCAAGATCAAGTTAAATTTAAAATAATTTCTAGCATATTAGGCGCATTCAAACCATTCAATCAGGAATGTATTAAATTTAATGCAGGTCAAGTGTGTTCAGCATTTTGATGATAATCACGTATTCGGCTTCGACGCATCTCAATTCACAAGATTATAGCATACAGATCGACAGATCGATACATACATACGTAATTTAAATAATTGATAATTCGTGCCAAATTTCCAAAACAAGGTTTCTTGCTTGGATTCACAATGAAATCTCAATTAGCAAATTTTCTTTTATTAAATGTACATATGCTTAAGAATTTGTACAATTATATGAATAGCTTCACTTTTGAAGTCAGGTGAAGTATCCACTTGTGATTCGGATAGTGAAAATGCAACTAATAATAATTTGGTAAAAATGAATATAATATATCTTGATGAAAACTATTGACAGTTTAAGAAGATAGATATTTAAAATTGTAGATTTTATTTCGGATTTATTTATTGGATATTGGGCAAATGAGAACTTAAATTCCAAATTAAAGTCTCTAGCAGACGGGCATGGCTAAATCGGCTCGGCTATTGATGTTGATCATGAATACTTAAACCTTATGGGGACAGACATGCTTCATCTTCTACTTTTGCTCAAGTTCAGTATACTTGGTTTTACCCATTTGTAGTGCGTTTAGGTATAAATGATAAATGACACCAATTTGTTTAACTGCAACAAATTCGGTAAGCCCGATGGACTGTGCTCAGTTTGGCTAAAATTGCTGCGCGTCACGTAGCTGCCACAAATTGGGGGCCGATTTGAGACAATGCCAAACCAAAGGCATGAGCCAAGCTCCAAAGCTGCCAAGCTGCCAAGGGGCCAAGTGACAATATGGCGCGTCCTTTGGGGCTACAATTTATGGGCGCTGCAATATTTTGCAAATATCCGTAGCATATCCTGCGGCGACAGCGCAGACAAACAACAATGCAATAAATAAAGTGCTTGTTTTTGTGCTCGTTTTAAGCTTGTTGTTGTGCGACAGACTGGTTGTGTGTGTGTGTGTGTATGTGTGTGTGTGAGTGTTTGTGAATGAGTGTAGTTGTTGTTTTTGGAAGTGTGTCCTTCAATTGACATATTACACTTGTTGTTGGCCCGGTCGCGGGTGCCTTCTATCGCTGCACGCTGGTTGTTGTCAGTCGCAGACAAAGGACTCAAAGAGTAGGATGCAAAAAGGATGCGACCATCGCCGTTGCCGCCGTCGGGTTTCTCTCCATCTGTCTGTTTGACTGTCTGGCTGGTATCCCTGAGCGCCGCTTGGCTGATCAAGCGGTCGCAACGGCAAGTTCAACTTATTGACAGCAGCATAGCGTGCGGGTGATGCGGGAAAAGCTTGCAACTTAATTGATGTGCTGTGTGGCAGCCACAGAGATAAAAAGTCAAAGTGCACGACTTTGAGATATTCTACAAGAAGGTATTTGACACTTAAAAAATATATTAATCTGGTTCCGATCATCACGAATAGTTGTCCAGCTAATTTATGATTATTACTAATCGTCAAAAAATGGTTAACTCCTCGTCTTTCTTGCCTTAAAAAGATTGCCTTCATAGCTATAGATGAACTGAATTAAACTTGATTCCTGCTTTCGTTCATACAGACAAATGGCCATGTCTAATATCTAAAATGGGATGCTACTCAATATACCTATATAGCATACCTATGCTATGCTCTATTGTATGCTTGCCTAACACTTACACTTGCGTACCCATTTCTATTTTCTACAGGGTATAAAAAGGGTTAAGTGGCCAATTTGGCAGCGGTTTAATGAATCTTAATAGCATTTTTAGACCCCAAACCCAAAAAGCGGTTTTTTGGGTAAGATTTTTACAATGAATATCGAGTGAAAATCGTGCCTGCTAATTTAAATAGAACATCAATATAAAAACCAAGCTATGTTAAAAAATGTATCTCTCTCGAAAATCGGTTCAGTTTCGTTATGGCTGTAGGATGCCATTTATTGGGGAATAAAAGGTATATGAATTTAATTACTTAAGAACAACTAGTAAAAAAAGGTTAACTAAGTTAGGCAATTACAGTGGTCTAAGACAGTAAACATTTTTAAGTTATCCGCCTACTTTCAGTCGCGCATAAATTCACGATTACGATAAAGCCAACTCGAAGCACATACATAATTCAAATGCCCTTTGCTTTTTACCTTGAGCTGGGCTAAAGTTGACCTTCATTTGGTTTTGTCCTACCCATTCTTCAGCAAGCCAGGAACATTTGCATAAAGTCCAGTCATTGACTTAAACGCGCAAACATTTCAATTTCGAGCTGGCAAAATTTTTTTGTGAAACAAAAAATGTTTGAGCAGCTTTATTGAATTTGTATGAGGCCGAGCTCAAAAGGCTTAATGTATGCAACTTTTTGCAGAAAGGTTTTTGCCTTTACACCAGCCGCGCCTCAATTTGCAATCAATTGCCTTTTACTCTCTGTGGGCCAATGATGCCAACAATGGCTTTCAAGTGACAGTAAAGTCATAAAAGAAAAATAAATATGGGGTGTGCTTTGAGCGAAAGACACCCTAAAACCAGATCTTACTGCTATAGATATTTCGATATAATCCTCATCCGTGCTTTCGATAGATATCATTAAATTCAATAACAAATTTTACAAATTTTATCTGAAAACTTAAAATGGATATACTACGCTTTAGACTAATTTTAGGGTATTATTAACTTGAAATCAATTCATTAAAAACCTGGGGCCTGCACACACAATCAACCACACACAGGATACGACATATAACAGATTATCTGGGTAGAATTTTTTTAATTAAAGAGAGTTCAAAAGAGACGCCATTGTCGCTGTTGTTTGCGAAATGTATGAAGCCCGCGGCAAAATAGCCAAAATGGCGGTGCCAACAACAGAAATTACAATCAACACACGCACAAAGACACACGCAGACCAAGGCAAGAGTATGCTCCCTGAACTTTGGTTGGCTAGAGAGCCCTGTCAATTGCCTGGCTTATACCCTTTCTCCCTTTTCCTCTGTTCCCCACGCCACTTCTGACGTCTCACACTCACTGCCGCTGGCTGCTGTTTGGACATCGAGCTGCACGGTGTGTTTTGTCTTCTTTTCCAAGAATCGTTGGCAACATTCGGGCTCAAAGGATTCAACGCACGTTGGTACATGAGTGTCCTTGGAAAATATCAAAGGCAACTGAAGCAGACATTGTGCCGTCATTTTACCCTACCTGATCACAAAGCAACCAATCGATATGTTTGTCATCAAAGGGCTTTGACCGCATTTCGCTAATTTTTTTTTTTAATGTTACCTAGATGCTTAATTATAAAAGGTTTTATTTTGACATGTTTAGATTTTGCATATGCACTTTCGACAATATTCTTTAAATGCCTGTGCGCTGTACAAAACTCATACTCATAATATACATCTGACTGAATTAAATTTCACTTACTTTCTTGAAGTAACTGTTCAAATGGTTATCTCTCAAAGAGTTTATATTCGATTGAATCAATCAATCAGATAAACCAGTACGAATATCTAAGTAACCAGCATTAAAATGAATTTGCAAGTTTGCGATCCGGTTAATTTACCAGCAGTTGACTGTTATTTTATTGGCATCTCTAGAGGGCAACAAGGGCGCTGCCAGCTTCCGGCATCTGAGTGCCAACAAGGATATCCACTCAGTAGCCAACAAAGCGTTAAATTTACACTAACAGCTGATACTCCCATCTCCTGTCCTTGTATCCGTCACAGTACCACTTACAGTTGATGTCTTCATCCTTGCAGGACTTACAACGCCACTGGTTGACATGGTCGTTATCTGAATGAAACTATGGAAAACTTATTCCGCTAACAAATTGAATAAAAATTATAGTTGACACTTTAGTTTTTTTGTTGCTCCACTTACAGTCATCGCAGCAGCGAGCATATTTATGGCAATGGATTCAGAGAAAGTGCATCTTGTTGAAGAAATTAATAGCTCGAAAAATCAGCTAGAAATAAATGAGTTTAAATTTATATCCATTTTTGTAATTTCAGTTTGATTTTGAAGCGCAGAATTTGATCGAGCTGCTTAATTGTCACTGGCACATGACAAAAAGTCCGATCGATCAGTGTTAATTATTACCACCCACTTGTGTTTCAATTTTCAGCACCACTTGACAGCGACGAGCGGAAGTTTAATTCGTCGCTGTGAAGCCGTACAACCACAATTTCGAACAACTGCCAGCTGTTAATGGCATTTAAGCCACGGTGGTGGACTGATGGTACTGATGATGCTTATTTCGTTGTAGTGCGTTTTATTAATTAATTAATCAATCAGTGTGCGCGAAAAAATACTCAATACATCAAAATGGCTAATTGAAATTCACTTTAGTCCATTTGTGACGCCACAAATTGTACATTAACAGCGCCACCAGCACCACATTGAATGACTTGATGAGCTGCCTAACCAGAGCGCGACGCTGTGGACTGTGAATGAAATATAAAGTTAGATACGAATTTAACAGTTAGTTAACTCCATGCTCACGAACCTCATGCCCCACTGCTTCTCCGTTAAGACAATGCCAGCAGAAGCTGAGAGTCGCAATTGTTGGCTGACACTGCGATTGTTGGCCAAAAAGATAAAAGCGCTGAATTCACGGAACAATTTAAAAAGAGTTTATTTTAAAAGTTTGCATTCAATGTGAAAGCGGAAAGCATTGCAAAAAAGAAAACCAAATTTGTCTATGAACAATGAACAATGAGCAGTTTCAGCCACACAGCGAATTTCCCTCGAGATTTGTCTGAGATATTTTATTGCCATATTCACTTGCCGACAAATACTCAAACTTGTCTCAATGCTAATTCTTTACTACACTTGATGGTTCATTATTTAAAGTTCAAACATAATTTATAATCTTTTGATTACAAATGATTATAAATTTCACATCTAATAAATAATGCGTACAAAGTGCAAGCACTAACTAAGCAAAGCTGAAATGGAATTCTTAATAATATTAACAACTCTATAATCAATGAGCTGATATATATTTAAGAATTCGAACAGAGACACAATAATAAATTATCAAATCTATATAGCATAAATAAATACAGTTGCATTTGCAACTACATTTTGCTAACTAATTATATACTCTTGGCATTTTGTGCAAAAGAAAACATTATAAAAACTTTATAAGGTCTAGTGGCTGCAGAAAAATAAAAATATTTATTATGGTATTCAACTAAAATGTTATTGGCTTTTATAGAATATTGTAACTGATTTTGTAGACAAAGTTTGCAGAAAGTTTCTGGTCATGGCAAATTGGACAGCAAGCATTCAGTTATGAGTGATATTTTAAACTTTAAAACTTTTGCATAATGTCAACCTTTATTCCGTTGTCAACCCTCCGCTCGCTGTATCCGTGACCATTTACACTGCGACGGTTCACAAATCTCTTTGGCGTGGTCCATAAATCTTCGAGCTCGTGCGTTCGGCCACATGAAAAATTATACGAGCTGCGCAACAAACGAACCAGAAGTAGCAGAAAGCCCTTACGAACTGAACATTAAATACGCTTCTACATCTAAAATTCGAAATTATTTACATCAAGTAGTTAGAACATGTTTGAAGATTTTTTGCAAATGTAGAAAACTTTATACTGTATCTGATCCTACTGGTTACAGTCTAAATGCATTATTATAGCATCAAATCATTATTAAAATCTGTTCAGAAATGCACTGAATTCCCTTAATTTATTTTTGAACCGACAGGTTACAGTTTGAAGGTATCTTATCCACCAATCGCAACATTATACGTTGGAATCTATGAGAATAACTTACATGTGAACATGAAACATCAAATCACATTTTATATAATACAAATAAAAATGCTTGTGTTACATCAGTCATCACCAAATTATAATATCCTCAGGTAGGGTATGGGAATGATGTAGATTACGCTTGGGCAAGCTGCCAAGGCGACGATGGCGACTTTGTGGCCAGCAATTTTATTCCGCGTGTATAATATATATGAAGAAAAAAAACCCACTCTTAAATGCAAACGAATTTGGGAAACTGCAAATGGCTAAGTGAAATTTAATTCACTAGCTGCACAGTGACCAATTCATTAATTTTGATTTCAAGTGTTGTTTTTTTGTTTTTTTTTTTGTTATATTTATTCAAGTCCGTGACAATGACAAGCGGAAATGGACACAAATTGCGTTAATCTTGAGATTATGTCTCGAGCAGTTTGCAGACGAGTCCCTCGTGAGCTGCCAGTGTTAAAGCGCTGCTAGATAGGGCTTGTCTGTGGAAGCAAGGAAATGCAGGAGATATATGTGATATATATGTGTGTATATGTAGTATGATATAGACTTGGGAAAGTGACAGTGGACTCACCCAGGCTCATAGCTGGAATCCACGCCGGCCACTTCCACAATCAGTTGCTGCGGTCGATCGATGAAGTCTGTCAGATTTACCAACTGTTCCTTGCCACTCACATTGATAACCACGATGATTGTGTCGTAGTCCTTGAGAGTGCTACATACCCCACAAACTGATTATAATAGTAAGTGATATATTTTTGTGGTTCACCTTTCACATACCGCTTAAAGGCAAAGACTGCCCGGGATAGGGGTTCAATGGAGAACTTGCCACGTCTCAAAATCGGCAACTTTCGCAATTCAATCAGTGATCTGTATACCCTGTAATGGCTCTTGGCAGCCTGCTGCTGCGCTTCCAGATTCATTTCCAGATAGTTTGGATGCACGGGCAGCCAGGTCTTCGCAGCTTCTGAGAAACCTAAGGGAGGAAGGTTAAAATGGCATGTGTGCAGTATCAATTTGGCTTTTACAAACTTTCAATTGATGTTAGCTTAAAGTTTCTTACTATAAATAATATAGAAATAATATATACATAAATATATATATTTATATATATAATAAAATAAATGAATAAATAAAATATATTGGAAATCCCAACACCGTTCGACTTTAGCTGGCCGTTTGTACAAAATTCATCACCTCAGTATCTTTTTCATTTCTAAATTGCAAGTAAGGCAATTTTTCACCTGACGAAATGTTACCAATATATAAATAAAAATAAATTAAAACTCAACTTGCCTGCATTGGTAGCATTGCTCCATTGAAAGGGTGTTCGCACCGGATCCCTGGAGACCATCTTAAATTTAAGTTCACCCGCATTGCGTGCTGGTGGATCCACTGTTTCCTTCCAGCTGATGTCGCGATAATCCTCCATGCCCAACTCCTCGCCCTGTCAGAGAAGCATAACACATGAGTATGAAACGACGACCTTTTAAGATAAAGACCCACTCACATTGTAGGTGACCGCAACGCCGGGTAGCGTCATCAGCAGCATGTTCATCGCATCGACGCTGGCGGACCCGAAGCGGGAGGCGACACGGGGATTGTCGTGGTTGCCTATGACCCAATTGGCAGCGTGCCCGCGTGGCATATAGATCAGCCATTTCTCGACATTGTAGACAAAGTCACGGGCATCCGATTCCCTATTCACATCCGTGATGAAATGAAAGTTGAAGGGCAAATGTGAGCCCATTATCCCGCTGCTGTCCTCGTAGTAATTCATGAGCTCAGTCAGTCCGGCATACGCCTCAGTCATCATTATACGAGTGCTATCCTCTGGATGCTGGGCGGTGTAGTCGTCCAGCAGCTTGCGCCAGTGCTGCACCATGCTCAGCACCTCGGGCAAATCCTTGGTGTATATGTGCTTAGTGTAATCGTAGGACAATGGATCAGTCGACTGGCCACTAAGTGGCTCATCGGGTAGGGTTTCATTCTCAAACAAATGATTGACTGCATCAATGCGAAAGCCAGCGACGCCTTTGTTCAGCCAGAAGAGCAGCACCTCATCCATTGCCTGCACCACGACGGGATTACGAAAGTTCAGATCCGGCTGCTCCTTGGTGAACTGATGCAGATAGTATTGCTTGCGTTGCTCGTTCCACTCCCAGGCAGAGCCATAGAATACCGATTGCCAATTGTTTGGCGGCTGGCGAACACCCAGCTCATCCAGCTGCCCATCTGCCCACACATAGTAATCCTCGAAGCCTGCCGCCCGAGCAGCTGACTTCTTGAACCATTCGTGCTGATTGGAGCTGTGATTGGGCACAAAGTCCAGGATGATTTTGATGCCCAGTCGCGCGGCTGTGTGCACCAGCTCCTCAAAGTCAGACATGCTGCCATATTCCGATTGTATAGATTTAAAGTCGGATATATCATAGCCAAAGTCTACCATGGGTGATTGAAAAATTGGACTTAGCCAGGTAGCCGTAATGCCAGTTTCGGCCAGATACGGCAGCTTCGAGATGATGCCCTGCAAATCACCGATGCCATCACCATTGCTGTCCTTAAAGGATCTGGGATAGATCTGATAGAAGACAGCATGCTGCCACCAGTCAATAAAGTCATCCGTTTCAGTCTTCAGCAGGCTGGTCATGCTCGGAGTGGGCAGCAGCAGGCTGCAAAGTAGTAGTAGAAGTAGTTGGATTGCTCCGATTATCTGATGTCCTGGCGACATGCTGTCAGAGATTTGATGCCGTGGCAGCGACTACAGCCGCGACTGGGTTTCAGTTCTGTTTTAACGGTGAATTACAGATTGCCGGCGTTGCCATCATTATAATTTTCACATCATTAACTCTTAATTACGCAACGCAGATTATTGATAATTCAAATTGGTAGCGCCTAACGAATGACAGATTCAGATTCCGACATTTCCGTACTCACAACCAAGCGAATTAATAGCTTTATATTCATTTAAATGCAACACAAATAAATTACTTTTTTACAAACCAAAATTTGTTTATATTTATATCATTGCAGAGCGTATTAAAGTTGCGTTATTAAATAAGTAATGCATTGGATATATAACTTTGATAAACATTAATATATTTACTAATTCTGGTTTAAATTATAACCAGTCTCTCAGCTTTGATGCTATCAATTAGTTTTTGTTGTTACGAAGCCACCAGATCGACTCCTGTTTGCAAGGGTATGCAATCTTCGGCCATCACAGCTGTTTTATTATTTTGATAAACATAATTTTATCTCTTGCAATACTTTACTTTCAAAAGAGAGCGTAAGAGTTCTTAAAATGAGTGAGATTTCAATCATCCTATTATCTCTGCACTCTTTATTTTATTTAGACTCGTCTACTAATAAGCAGCTTTCTATCCCCTAACTTATTTTGCTTAACAAAAGAGAGCGCAAAAGTTCTTCAAATGCCTGAGCTTTTCATCTTCCTGCACTCTCGCTCTTTCTCTTAGTTTACATCATTTATTTGTGTTACGCATCTCATTACCTACCTCAAATTCTTCTCGCAAGCAGACGAAAGAGCAAAAAAAAAAAAACAAATAAACTACAGACCCAATGTCACAAAACCAAACACGTCACGTCACCCACAGCTGTCGTGATCAACTAAACACTGAGAGGGCAGCGTACAAGCAATAAGTTTGCCAATAAATTTTTGCATGCTTACGGTCCACTTAGAATCCACAGTCGTGCTCACAGCATCCACACGCGTACACGAAGCAAGCCGCAGAATTGATGTACATATATATTAATACAATTTCGAAGTGCTCTAAATTAAACTCAACTTTAATTTATTTAGAGCTGCCAGTAGCGTTGGCTGTTATGAAATGTATTTAAGGGAGAGAGTGTGGAACAAAAGCACGTTCAGACAAAAGGGGTAACAACAAATGCTTTCACATTAATTAAAACATCCGAAACGCTTTTAAGTGTAATAAAATGTTCGCATTACAACTAAATTGAAATGGAAATGGGCGTACAACTATTTAAACTTATGAGTTATACTCGAATTGAATTTGATAAATGGTTGTTCAATTGAAATTCAGTCACATTGTATAATAGATGATGACTCTTTTCAAATGAATAACTTATTACCCTCAATTGCGAAAAAGCTGAAATAAAAATGTTCTCTTTAAAAACAAGGCGATATTAGTTCGATGCTTTTCTATATATTGCCAAAATAAATTTCTACAATTTGCTTAAATATTGCCATATTTTGATTTAGTGATTTACTTGCGGGGCTTCAGCTGTATAACTAAACCTTCATAGGGTGACAATTTGACCTCGGTGGTCTTCAGACGCTCACCCACCCTGTACTGGGAGAAAACACTGACAACCAAAATGGTTAGGTGATTGGGCATATCGATGAAATCGCTGACATCCACTCGCTGATAGCGATTGCTCACATTTACGATGGTCAGTATGGTGGGTTGACCCTTCAGTTCACTGGGTATACAGAAGGAAGGAATGATTGAACATGGTAATTCTCAATTTGGAAATAATTGGTCACTCACCGCTTAAAGGAAAACACTCCACGATTAAAAGCCTGAGCGGCAAATGTACCATCCTGAAGGACTCGCGATTTCCTCAGCTTCAGCAGCGATTGATAGACCTTATAGTGGCTGCGAATGGCCTCCTGCTGGGCATTAAGATTCAGCTCCGGATAGTTAGGATGCACTGGCAGCCAGGTCTGAGCAGCAGTCGAGAAACCAGCATTCTCCTCATCATTCCACTGCATCGGAGTGCGTTCGGGATCGCGGGAAATCCACTTGTAGTTATCGGGACCTGCATCGCAGGCGGGCTGATCCACCGTATCTGCAAAGCTAATGTCCCGATAATCCTGCATGCCCAGCTCTTCGCCCTATACAGGATATTAGATTGAAACTAAATGCCCAGCTCGCGATTGTTATCAACTTACATAGTAGGTAATGCCAATGCCCGGCAGGGTCATCGATATCATATTCATTGCATCCACTGTCTTCACACCGAATCTGGAGGCCACTCGTGGATTGTCATGATTGCCGAGCACCCAGTTGGCCGAGTGTCCAGGCGGCATATAAGTCAGCCATCTCTGAATATAGAACACAAAGTCCTGAGCGAGAGAGTCTGCATTTAGCTCAGTAATGAAGTCAAAGTTGAACGGAAAATTGGAGCCCTGTACACCATTTGCATCTTCATAGAATTCCATTAGCTGAGATAGATCCGCATAGGCCTCTGTCATCATAACCCTTGCGGGTACTGAGTTCTCTGCCGCATATTTGTCGAGCAGCTGGCGCCAATGCTGGATGAGTGCATAGTTTTCCGGCTGATTTCTTGTGTATATGTGTTTTAAATAATCAACGGAACTGTCATCAGTTGTGGTGCCACTTACTGGCTCATCGCGCAGCTGCTCATCCTCATAGACGTAGTTGACGGCATCGACTCGAAAACCGGAAACACCTTTCTGCAACCAGTACAGTAGAATCTCGTCCATGGCCTGCAGCACGGCAGGATTGCGATAGTTGAGATCAGGCTGTTTCTTGGTGAATTGACGCAGATAGTACTGTTGTCTGCCTTCGTGCCACTCCCATGCAGAGCCAGAGAACACAGAGACCCAGTTGTTTGGTGGTCCTCGAATTCCATCATTATTTACTTTAGCATCCTTCCACACATAGAATTCTTCATAGCCGGCCTCTCGTTTAGCGGACTTTATAAACCATGGGTGTTCGTCGGAGCTGTGATTGGGCACAAAGTCCAAGATGACTTTGATGCCCAGCTGATTGGCCTTAGCAATCATTGCATCAAAGTCCGAGAGTGTGCCATACTCCCTTTGGATGTCCCTATAATCGGATATATCATAGCCAAAATCCGCCATGGGTGACTTGAAAATGGGACTTAGCCAGATGGACGTAATGCCCGTATCCACAAAGTATTCCAGCCTGGAGGTAATGCCATTAAGATCACCGATGCCATCGCCATTGCTGTCTTTGAACGATCTGGGATAGATCTGATAGAAGACCTCATGGCGCCACCAGTTTTCATTATCCTGTTGCTGATGGTGGTCCTTGTGTGCCGATCCCAATGAAAGGAACCATAATAGGCCTGCAACTAAGTTCCATTGAAGAGTCATCTCAACTGGTTGAAGCTTTGACTGCTTTTAATGATTCCATATCGATTTTACCGACTTTTTATAGTGTTCTTAATGCCGTTTTCTTTACTTACTTTCGATTAGATTAAATATTTGTTCAGATGGTTCAAACACTTACTTCATTGTAAGTAAATAAATATAACCTTTTTATAATTGGCTTATACAATGCAGCTCAATGGCAAATCTTTCGAAGTTGACCATCTGATTAAACAGCGGAAAATGCATTAATCACATATCAACATTGAGTGAGGGGGTGCGATTAACGAGCCTCCTACGTTGGACTGGGACAACAACTGAGTTGAATATTAATTCAGTTTTGCCCTGTTTGCCAATAGTTAAGGTCTGGAACACAAACACAGCACAGGAAGTAAACAAGTTCCGTTAAAAGTTCATAATTACACATTTGATGGAATAAAGACATGTAACAAGTTGCAAACAAAGTTATTTGCTCACATTTTACTTACGTTGCATTCAATGAAGGGCTAATTAATCTATTATTCAGCGCTTTTGCTCTAGTTCTGCTTATGTATAAAATCTAACTGCTATTGACGCATGAATTATACACTTGAAAAATCTACTGAATATTATATTAGATGAGTGTCTACTTTAAGATTTTGTTCAACAAATTTCAAGATAGAAAATCATTAATTGTTTGCTGACCTCATTCTATTATAATTGAAATATGTCTTTCGCTGATCTACCTGAAAGACATATTTAAATAGAAGAAGATGTTTATATGCAGGTTTTAGGTTAGTTTCTGAAGTTTCTTTTAGAATATCATCTCGAACAGTGAGTCAATCTCCAATGCACCACATGAAGGGGCATAAACATTGGCCGCAAGCAGAAATCCGTTTTGTGGTTTTCCAATTAAATTTTTAACAAAATACATTCAATCTGCGTAAACTAGCCAAATGTTATCATTAACACAGTTGTGCCTTTTTGGTTTAGAAAATGTGAAAAAATGTTTGCAAAACTAGTCAGTAATTTATGCGATTTTCTATATGGGGTTTTATCGCTATTCGTTCTTGTCTGGTGGCCTGTTGACCCCGCCACAACTCCTTCCGCTCATTTCGAGGCACTTAGCACGTTGCTATTTCATTTTGTTCGGTTGCAACCACAAACTTCCGCTTCGTGACCATGCACCAAAATGGAAGTCACTTTCAGCACTCTTTCAGGTGAGAGGGATGAAAAAGGCACGGCAAATGCCCCACGGCTAGGACTCTTGCATGTTGCATGTAGGACATCTGGACGGCTAATTAAAACAATTTGAAAAATATTGTTATACAGCAGCTGTTGTTTGCATTTTCTACAACGCACTGAGAGTTTATGGCATAACATATTTAGTACAAGGTGCTTGCAACACGAGTACGAGTATGTTTCTGAGTACGTGATGCTGCCTGCTCCTGTCAGCCAAAGGGTTCACCACACAACATTTTTGAACATTTTTGCGCAAATATATGCAGAGAACTTTATGTGAAACTTTCGGCCAAGTTAGCAAGCCATCTCGACATCATTTTCAAGATTTTCCATGGCAATTTATTAAATTCCGCTAAAAGCCGGGGATGTGACATGAAAAGGGTTTGGCATTTGATTGGAGACCGGAAAGGTTGAGAGGGCCCCTTGAGTGAGCAAGTGTTTGGCACGTGTGTCTGCGGCTCTAAATTTCTCATATTGAAATTCCATTCGATTAGGCAACTTGCAACATACAGTTTAAGTTTAAATTGTGAAAATCAGGCAAGAAAGCTATCCATTTTTTACGGGTGCAATTTTAAAACGTGCTAATCCGCTCGGCCTGTCCGTCCTTCCGTCCGTCCGTTTGTCTGTCCTTCCCTGCGTCTGTCATCCTGTCAGGACATGCAAAGGACGAGGCTTACCTTTCATTTTCATGTCGCACACTGATTGAATTGCGTCGGGAACGCCAAAAAGCGTTGTTGTTTGTTGGGGTCGGACCCTCGCCAAGGAATTTATCCATTTTTATTTTTCTGGGTGGTCCCAACAGCAGCAGCAGCAGTGGCAGCAGTGGCAGCAACAGCAGCCGCCACAGCCACATGAATAAATATCAGCCTAGGAGTACATATTTTAATATGTAAATATTTAATAATATCAAAGCAAAGCGAGTTTAGCATATTAAAAAACAGGCAACACCAAACACCGAAAAGCAAAAAAAGGAGAAAAAAAACTTGACTGATTAACTCGTGCCACAGATCTGATTCAAATTGAATGCACACACTTGCACCATCTGGTTGGGTCAACATTTGTATACCCTATGAAAGTGGTATTGATCTTTTGATCAAAAATGATTTGTACCTTAACTGATACCGCGACTTAGAATTTAATTATGTTTTGCAAGAGTATAGCAGCGTCGGCGACCATTCAAAAACAACAGGATTTTCTTACTTGTATTTTCCATATTTACGTGTGAGTTTGAGCAAATGTTTACCCTCATTTTGTTAACCTTTGGCAACCCTAAAGCGCTGGCAAATTGGTTCGGTGCAATTCGGAACAAGCGATGGATTCGTGATTTTGATTGCTATTTGCGTTGCCATTTGATGTCGTGAATACGTTTACGCTTATCAAATACTTGTTATCAAAATCGATTACAACAACAATCATCAGCTGCCTGCTTTTGTTGTCACTCGTAGAGATTGTCTACTTATATTATACAGGGCTTTCCATGCATATTAAATGTGTTGTGAAATGGCGGCATTCAAACTACCTAATTATTAGTTGTATATGGCCAATGTCTAGCCAAAATTGAGTAGATTTAAGCTCCATACTTTATCCATATAGATATGAGTAATCTGGGGGATTTACTTTTAATAAAATAAAAGCACACAAAAGTAAATCGGAGCTTTTAGTGGACTTTTTACTGATTTGTAAATGACAATAAATAAATATGCATATTTATAAGTTGTATCAGTGAACAAATTAATCTTTTGATGCTTTCATTAAGGCAGATACAAATCGAAAGCTTTAGTGAAGCATTGCCCTTTTTAGCTGGGCTCCAAAAAGTATGCAGCAAGAGTGTGCTTGAATAATTACTTTCAGATAAAATGCGAAAGACAAGATGGAAAGCGAACTCTTGCCGAAGATTAAATGCACCATGCAAGGAACAAGAAGGAACATTTATATTGGACAAGCCGAAGATTAAATGTAGATCGGAGTTAATCTACAGTTTTGAATCAATATTGCTTCTGGCTGGTTCATGAAGCCTTTGATGCATTGCAAATCGAAAAACTAAATTATAAAATAGCCTCTACAAATGTATTATAGGATGAAAAAAAAAACCGTGATTATTATTTTGAATCGCCTAAGAACTCAAATCCTCAAGGCTTCTGTTAGTCATCCTGATGAGGAATACTCAGTTCCATTTCAAAAACTCCGTCATTGTATTAGTTTACTGCCGAAAAGACAACAACTGTGATAGCAATTAAGCCAGATAGCTCATTTGGGCTTAGGCTCCGCAGTGATCACAAATCCGTCAGCACAAACAGTTTATATATGTATATATATGCGGTTCTGATAGTATTTGCCAATTAGTTTTCATTCTCCGAATTCCCCAGAAGCCAACCTATGTTTTTTTAGTGTTATTCAGCTATTGTAAACAAAAGATAAAAGCTCGTGTCATCATCAAACTCAACATTGTATTATCTTTTTAATAACATTCCCTTCATGCCACACAACTGACAGCTTCCTGTCATAAAACAAACGGTAGCCCCTCACTCAAATGATGTTCGTATATTTGTTGGTTGCCGAAAATGTTGCACCGTAGCATTTATACTTTGAGTAATTTGACATTTTTGTTGCACGTATTGAGATTCCATCAGCAAAAGCGTAGCACAGTTCATAAATCAGTAAATCCGTAACTCAAAATGGGAAGCGGCTTCGATTAATTATGCACAATTTGATTGATGTGCGTGAGTTGAATATTTAAATGATGTCAGCATCGGGTGCCTCCATCAATGGTAACGAGCTCAGACCGACTTGATGACAATGTCGTTGTTCACTTTTAATTAGCATTTAATGGCACTATTTGCATACTATGCTATATACCAGACCTCTATATACATATATATGTATATATACTCGTGACAGACACATTGTGTGTCTCTCAATGTAAGCGAAATTGTCTCTCATCAATCAGCCATACATATCGATAGTGAACAATACATACGAAATGTAGCAAATAAATTGCTTTCGATTTCAGATCATTTTTAAAGTTGTAAAAGCATTATGTGTGCTCATCTAAATTGCTTTAATATTATTCTTAGATATGTAACTAATATTTGCACATACCTGAGTACATTTTAATTCATTTTACAAATCATATTTTGTGTCTTGTGTGTGTCTTGAATCATGAGTTCCAATTTTGTTCAATCGTTGGCAATAAGTGTACAAATCAATACATAAACTTGACAATATTTATTATAATTGAATAAGAATCATATTACAAAACTCACAAATAAAACAGTATTATAATATTATTTGAAGTGGCAATGGACGCTCTGGTTTGCCACCGTCACTTTAGCATGGACCCATATTCCGAATGTTGAGTGCTCGTCCCAGTTTCTTGTAATCCCGCTGAGTACACTCGAATTCACAGCGATTTACATAGGTAACACCATTGGAGCCGCACACCTGCCCCTTCTCTCTGAGATTGCAGGGACAAAAGCTGGCCTCGGTTTGACCCAACCAAATGGCAGCCAACACCAAGACGACCAAAGCAAACAAATTCAAAGACTTCATCTTCACTTCCACTAATTAAAACGACGCCAGCAAACTGAATGATTTATATATGTATATATATATATTTAAAGTATTATCAGCAAGATGCTCTGAGATTCGTTGAGATGCGTCGCAACGTTGCCCGTCAAGCGTTGAATTTGCACTGAGCTTCAAAACGTAAGGCTTCAAGTGTTTGTTTGTGAAATAGTAAGGTGCTTGGAGAGAGGTATGGATGGGGTTTGGGGTTTGGTGTATGTACGTACATAAGTGCTATCTGAGTGTGCGTCAGGTTTGCTAATTAGTCAACAAATCGCTGACTATTGCGCGGCGTGTTATTGTCTGTGGAGTGTTTCGACTTGAAAACAAAAACAGCTGCGTTTCGCTCTTCTACTCTCAGTTCATCTTACTGTTTCTATGCTTTGCATTGTTTATCTCATTTGCTCAGCTTGAATTGTGAAGTGCTCAGTAATTTAGAAGTCTGTCCATTGACAGCCTACCCCAAGCAGCTGCATTCGAAGACGCAAATTCCATAAATGCTATGCCAATCTTGCAACTAAGTTGGAAAAGTTATCGTGTGCTTAGTCTAATTTCCCCAGTGACTCAAAGTTCTTCAAATTGACTGAATTACTCGCCAAGTACTTAGTTAGATAGCGAAAAGAGTGCGCCAATTGCCTTAAGCAAACATCGAGCTATATATATATATATATGTGTGTATATATTTATTTATGTATGTATGTGATGGCATTTCATTTATTGAAATTGAAATGGAAATGAAAATGGAAATGAAAATGAAAATTAAAGTGAGTGCCTGTGCTATTTACAGCAAACAGCAGATGACAAACGCTATTATTTTAGGCCAATTACTTTTGCCACCTGCCGGATTATCAAGGGCTCAGAACCATCGACGCACCCAGCACGAAAGGTGGCCAAGCTGATAAGAAGAGAGCCAGACACAAACACCGAAAGAGAGAAATAGAGAAAGAGAGAGACAGAGAGTGAGAGAGTGTAGTTTGATAATAGAGATGAGCTCGTGCTTTGCTTTTTGTGCTTGCTCGCGCACGAAAATCATATAAAAGTTTTCTCACTAACTGATTTAATTTAACATTAATATATTATGAGTAATAAGCTTGGCGAAATTTCAGGTGTCAAACTATAAATAATTTTTTTTTTTATTGACTATATATTATATATTTAAAGGCGACTAACAAAGGCATCGCACATTTATTAATCGAATGCATTTCTCTGATACCAATAACTAATACCATCACCTTCGGTAATCTAAATAGGTAATTATTTAAACACAAACATAAATAAAAAACAAAACACCACAACTCCCAAACACTTGCGATAAGATAAGAGCTCATGTAGAAAATCGAGCTAGACTAGCCCAAGCAAAGCAGAGACAACCGTCAGTATCAATACTGAGCTGCTTGTGGATTAACCTATAAAAAATAACAAAAACAATGAAATTACTTGGATTGTTCTTGGCGATGTGCCTGCTACTGTCGGTATTTGTGAGCGGCCATCCGGATGAGGAGAAGGCAGCACCAAAAAGGACCTGCCCCTGTCCACGCAACTTTGACCCGGTCTGTGCCAGCAATCTGATCACCTATCCAAATCGCTGCATGTATGATTGTGCGCGTCGTGACTTGGAGCGTTCTGGACGCAGCTTGAACTTAATAAGATCGGGCAGTTGTTAAACCGATATCTACAATATCTACAATAATTATGCTGTAGATATTCTGAAGACAAATAAATAAAAATGAACACAAAATAATAAGAAACTTTGTTGAATCATCAATCGGTATACATATATATGAATATTATTGCTTATCAAACAAAAGCATTCAAATGATAAAGACTGGGGAATGGGCAAAAAACCAAATATTCCTCGTTTTTCGCTTTGATTCATGTTACATATTCTTTACAAGCGATCATATTTAAATAAGCAGTCGGAATATCCATTCAAATTCCAGTCTATTGGCAACGCGGACAGGTTTTGCGATGCAGTAAAATCAGTCAATAAGCTACTAAATATGCCAAGTACACAAATTTACATTGGTCGAACCAATTTGAATTTCATATTTTACTATAACATGCATAAGCAAATGAGATCGTTGCAGTCATGCGGAATCGAAAAACCATTAGCTGATCTGATCTAATCATCATCTGATACCATTAAGTAATTCCATCTGAGGATGAGTCTAACCACGAAATACCGATCTTTGAAGGATGTTCCTAATAATATATCCTTCAAGTTAGGCTGTAAAATGGCGCTATAAATATGCTTTTGTGCATTTCTGGAGACGAGATTGAGCGAAGCGGGAGGAGGAGTTTTCTAGTAACCTAACTTCCAAGTTTGATAACCTTAACTCTACGGAAGATATAAGCTTTTAAGAATTTTGAGGAGCGAGAGTTGGCGTAACCGAATCGAATAAATTAAATTACCGTCTGTACGAGAGTATAATAAAAGACCGAATCTAAATAGGTTATTTTGTTTAAATACATTACACTTGCTATAAAATGAGAAATCATGTGCGAAATCGAGCCAGACCAGCCCAAGTAGAGCAGACACCACCGCCAATATTAATATTAGCTGCTTGTAGATTAACCGATAAAATATACCCACAACGATGAAGTTAATAGGATTGATGTTGGCGCTGTGCCTGCAACTGTCGGTGTTTGTGAGTGGCCAGGAGGATTTGAAGACGGAGGCACCAAAAAGCAAGTGTCTCTGTACATACCGCAATACTCCGGTCTGTGCCAGCAATTCGATCACCTATCCAAATTACTGCTCGTTTGATTGTGCACGCCGTGAATTGGAGAGTTCTGGGGACGGCTTGTTCATAGTAAAAAGGGGTCGTTGTTAAGCCGATATCTATAATATCTACCTTATATATGGTCTAAATATTCTGAAGACACATAAATAAAAATGAATCCAATATAATAAGAAAGTTCGTTGAAATATCAACAGGCATACAAATCTAAATCTATGAAAGAATATTTGCAATATTATTGCTTATCAATGGGAATGGGGAAAAAACCAACTGTCTCGTTTTTCGCGATAATATTTATAGAAACAGTTCGGAAATCTCTTCAAATTTCAGTTAGTTAGCAACGCGGACATTCTTCCAGATACAATAAAATCAGTCAATACAAACAAATACATTAGAAATAAATCGAAACAAATAAATTTGATTACATTCTAAATAGGTAATTATTTTGAAAAACAAATATAAATACTGAGTTGCTTGTGGATTAACCCATAAAATATTCCCAAAACGATGAAGTTAATAGGATTGATGTTGGCGCTGCGCCTGCTACTATCGATGTTTGTGGGTGGCCAGAAGCATCTGTAAATACATCGTTAATCCGGTCTGTGCAAGCAATAGGATCACCTATGGAAATCCCTGCTTTTTTGGGGGCAGCTTGTCCATAGTAAAAGGGAGTCCTTGTAGATCTATGTCTATGTAATATTTATATTCTGAAGACAAATAAAAAAACTGAATCCAAACTAATAAGAAATTTCATTGAAATGTCAATGGGGCTACATATATATAAATGAGTATCTGTAATATTATTGCTTATCAATAAAAGCATTCACCTGATAAAGACTGACTTTATCTGGCCATAAATAGCTGTAAATCAGATGGCAAAACATACATAGGTGAGTGTTCGCTTGGGTAAAATTCTGACTGCGCTTCAAAAAAATATATAGATCATGATTTTATAAAAGGAATCAAATAACAAGAAAGGAAAAACCCAAAGGTCTTAAGTAATCCCAAAATCAACACAGATATCAATACTTAACTTAGTTTCTTATCAACTCTATTCGACTTACTAGAACTTGAAGACTGCGAGATCCATTTTCTAACACGTCATATATTTTTGTGAATTTTGCATTTAAAAAAAATAAACATTTTTAGGATAAATATACACAGAATTGTGCTACTTATTTGATATTGAGCTTATTGTTAAAAGCTGTTTAATTATTTATGGTATTTTCCAGCTCTGTCATAGACCGTTTACTGACATTTAAATTTAGGTATAAGCCAGACAACTGTGTAAACAGCATTTAATTTTGTATTATCAGTTGAGCAAAAAGATCAAATTTTAACTTTTAAATAAAATATTAAATTATATGCATGGTGTCGCTTCAAATGAGAATTTGTCACAGCTACATGATTTATTTAACATATCGTCCCGCGAAATTAAAGCAGCCAATAGTAAAAAAGCTTGAAACTAGAAACATATAGTGAGTAAACGTGTCAAAAGTTTATTTCAAATAGAATTTTAAGAAATTATGAAATCAATTTAAACTCTATGAACTCTCTATCTATTTGAGTGGATTCAATTTCTGCACTCACCCAGCCCAGGTATAAGCAATTGATTAGAGCTTCTATAAGTTTATAAGTTACAGGCAATGAGTGACCAATTTTGAATACTTGTAACAATATTTATTTGACAATCTTTACAATCTTTGTAACATATTAGTTTCTAAACATTCCAATAATAAGAAATTAACAAGGTCCGTCTCTGGATTTGAAGAGACTGCGTCCTTGGCCCCCTTCTCGCTTGATCGCACAGTTCAGCAGACAGGGATTGCCATAGGTGATGCCGTCACTGCCACAGACTTCTCTTAAAATACGGGGACAGTAACAGTAGAGCTCCTGAGCAGAAGAGGGGAGCACAAACAAGGCCAACAGGCAAATGGCGAAAAGTGCGAGCAGACGCATTGTGAATAGAACTGAACGAATTGCTAAAACAGACTGAAGCTTCAAACAGTCTGTTGTAATATTTATAAGCGACTAAACAATAGCGAAAAACTTATCAAATCAACAACAATAAGCTGCGGAGCAAATAATATCGGCGTCGCTAATTAGTGTTAAAAATTCCGATTCTAGAAATATGAAATATCTACTTCAAAATGAATACCTGTCAATGTGTGTCTAGTAAAACCAATAATCTCAAGATTGTAAATTGGTATTATTATTGGTATTATGTAATGCGTTCATCACAGCATATGCTCAATACGTGAAAATAATTTTGTAGTAGTGCCTTCAATTGCTTCCAACCAACCAAGCAGGTTCTCGACTTGAGGTTGGCGAAATTGAGAAAATCAAATGAATAGCTTTTCCAACGTTATTTCAAATGGAATTTTTAGTCAAAGGATAACTCGACCAACGTGAAAGGCTAAAATCTACAGCAAAATAAAATTAGAAATGAAAATAAATAAAGATTTACTTAGGCTGCTGCTTAGATACCCTTCACAAATTATTTTATAGACGAAAAATTAAAAGAAAATAATAAATATTATTAACATTAAATGTGATACTGATAATATTTGTATTTAATTGGATTTCTTTTATGCATATTTCATATATTTCGAATAAATAAATTAAAAGAATATACAAAATACCATTATTCTTTAATATAAATATGTACATGTATTAAGCATTTCACACCCTTAATTTTTCAATAGAGAGTTCTAGAAATATCGTACTGATAATTTTATTCAGTTAATAAAAAGTTGTGAATCATTAAATATAATAACAAAATATTTCTTCTTCTAACTGATTAGCAGTGAATGCATTTCAAAAATTGTACAATCTCTCAAAATGAGCATTAAAAATAATCTAATCACTTCCTTAAGTGGTCGCGACAAATAAATCAGAGTTAGTTCAAATATAGGAAATATTTATTTAGTACATTTATTTTAGCTCTTTAAAAGGATACACAGCTCTTTAAGAGTCTCTCAAGGTGTCAATTAAATTGAGGCTATATCCAACTACTCATTCTAATTAAATAGTTTATATTTACCTTTCTATTTATGTCCTCTTATCAGCTCTTTCAGACTTACTAAAAATTGAAGACTGAGAGATCTATTAAGAAATTGATCACAAATTACCTCGCAAAATTACATTTTCTAAAAAGTCATATATATTTGTAATTTTGCATTTTAAAAAAATATATTTTTAGGATAAATATATACAGAATTGTGTTACTTGTTTGACATTGAGCTTATTGTTAAAAGCTGTTTAATTATTTATGGTATTTTCCAGCTCTGTCATGGACCGTTTACTGTCATTTAAATTTAGGTATAAGCCAAACAACTATGTAAACAACATTTAATTTTGTATTACCAGTTGAGCAAAAAGATCAAATTTTAACTCTGAGTGTACAAAAAATATATAATGATATGCAGTATAAAAAAGCTTGAAACTAGAAAAATAAACAACTAAAACTAATTTCCTATACAGCAAATAAACGTTTTAAACTTTTGTTTCGAATTGCGTTTTAAGAAATTATGAAATCAATATGCTGTATACTTACATTTTTTAAAATTGTAACTTAGTGGACTCTCTATAAATTTGAGTGGCAATTTCTGCACTCTCCCAGCTTTTGAGTGATTAGAGCTTTTTGCGTGCATACAACCCTTATATAAGTATCAGGCAATAAGCGTCCAATTTTGAATACTTGTAACAATATTTATTTGACAATCTTTACAATCTTTGTAACATATTAGTTTATATTCATTCCAATAATACGAAATTAACAAGGTCCGTCTCTGGATTTGAAGAGATTGCGCCCTTGGCGACCTACGCGCTTGATCTCACAGTTCAGCTGACACTCGTTGCTGTAGGTGTTGCCATCACTGCCACAGACCTGCCTAAAAATGAATGGACAGGGACAGAAGCCCTCCTGAGCGGAAGAGGGGAGCACAAACAAGGCCAACAGGCAAATGGCGAAAAGTGCGAGCAGACGCATTGTGAATAGAACTGAACGAATTGCTAAAACCGACTGAAGCTTCAAACAGTCTGTTGTAATATTTATAAACGACTAGACAATAGCGAAAAGCTTATTAAACCAGCAACGTTAAGCTGTGTGGCAATTAGTATTGACGTCACTAATTAGTGGTAAAATTCCGATTCTCGAAATATGAAATATCTACTACAAAATGATGTGATATTTCACCAACTTAAGCAAAACCTGTCAATGTGTGTCTAGTAGCAACAATCATCTCTAGTGCCTTCAATTGCTTAGAACTAACCAAGCAGATTCTCGACTTAACAGGCAGCTCGGCAGCAGATGTTGAGGTTGGCGAAGTTGAGAAAATCGTATGAAAGGCTTTCGCAACGCCTGAAAAGCAATTTCAAATGGAATTTTTAGTCAAAGGATAACTCGACCAACGTGGAAGGCTAAAATCTACAGCAAAATAAAATTAGGAATGCAAATAAATAAAAATGTACTTAGGCTGCTGCTTAGATACCCTTCACAAATTATTTTATAGACGAAAAATTAAAAGAAAATAATAAATATTATTAACATTAAATGTGATACTGATAATATTTGTATTTAATTGGATTTCTTTTATGCATATTTCATATATTTTGAATAAATAAATTAAAAAGAATATATAAAACACCATTATTCTTTAATATAAAAATGTACATGTATTAAGCATTTCACACCCTTAATTTTCCAATAGAGAGTTCTAGAAAAATCGTACTGATAATTTTATTCAGTGAATAAAAAGTTGTGAATCATTAAATATAATAACAAAATATTTCTTCTTCTAACTGATTAGCAGTGAATGAATTTCAAAAATTGTACAATCTCTCAAAATGAGCATTAAAAATAATCTAATCACTTCCTTATGTGGTCGCGATAAAATCAGATTTAGTTCAAATACAGTAAATATTTATTTACTACATTTATTTAAGCTCTTTAAAAGGATACACAGTTCTTTAAGAGTCTCTAAAGGAGTCGAATAAATTGAGATTATGCCCAACTATTCATGCTGATTAAATAGTAAAAAAAAAACCTTTTTATTTATGTCGATATATATAAATATGATTTTGAGGTATTCCACTGAAGACCCTGTTAAACACAAAGCTCATACAAAATGCATAGTATGGACTCATCCTACTTACTACCCTTTCGTACCCTCTGGCAATGGGTTATAACAATACACTTACCTAAGTTTGCACCCCTAAAAGTGCTGATTTATGCAAGGGGCAGCCGAGGACCTTTGGGCACTATATATATTTATATATATATATATATATATATAGGTACATCTATATATATATAAATGTATGTGTGCGTGCGTACATATGTACACGGTTATGCTGGGACCTGTTGAAAGGATATTCGTTCACACACACTTATGCAAAATACATATACAATTTTCTGACGACATTTTGAATATAATTCAATGCTTACAGTTGCCAGCACGCCGGAGACTCTGCCGACTAAGCGTGAGGAGGCGACCGCGGGGGCAGGTGCGGACAGCGGTGGCAGCAGCGGCATTGGAGCTGCAACAAGCAGTGGTGGTGCAGCAACGTCAGCAGCAGGAGACGGCGCAAGTGAGCCAAACAACGGCGAACAGAGCCCCACAAGCTGTGAATTGGGCAGCAGTATTCAATGCGCCAATGCGACAATAAATGGTCAAGTAGCAAGTAAGTAAACCTCAAGCTATACATTTTTCATACACTCAACCATGCACGAGCGGAGCGGGATGGGTATGGGATGAGTAGCTGACACTCTCAGAAAATCAATAGAGATGCTTGTACTCAAATCAAAGTCGCTACACTAAGAAAAATTATGTTGTACTGTCTGCATTTGTGAGCGCCGAACAGGATTGGGATAATCAGGAGGCTACAAAGAGATTCGAGCGTTCTAAATGCAGCTTGGACTTACTAAGACGGGGTAGTTGCTAAGCCGAGTTAAAAATAAAAATAATTAGATATTTCGTTGAATCATGAATGGGTTTCATCTTTATGTTTGAGGATCAGGAATTGATTGAGTTTTTTATTGAACGCTTCTGAGAAAATGCCAGTTGCTTGAATAATTTGCAAGGAATGCATGCATTAATTAACATGAATATTATAGTAATCAGTATATATTATGGTAATCATAAATACATATATAGAGATTATGTAAAATATTACATTGATATGTTTGCGCTTATTAATAAGGAAATTCAACTTATCCTTAATTATGCTTCATGTCTTCCACCGATGGCCGCAAGCGAATGTGTCGATTCAGCTCAGATATCGATACTTTACTGATATCGCTACAGACTCGATTACTTGCTCTCAATAATATCGATGCAATGGCCACAAGGTTGCCAGATAGCTTAGACCGCTTCTTGTTTATTTATCAATAAAAATAAAATGACAATCCTTGATCAGGAAAACAAAGTTGATATTTCAAGAAGGTTTCTGACGAAGTTGCTAATTATGTAAGCTAATAATTATTTTTGACATTTATTTATTTTGTTAATTGTAATGCGTAATTCTGTATTTTTATCAAAACGCTCTATTCAAATTTAACAATATTTTCTATTGCAATCCGTAATTGAAATTGTAAAAGCTGAAGCAAAAACTTCTAATACAGTTCTTCATTTGACTTATTTTCTTTGAGTGCAATCAACAATTTCCTTCGCAGGAGTAAACAGCAAATGTTGCAATCCCCAAATGCAGACTCTGTATAATTTAAGAATTTAACAAGAACAGCAGCAAGCACAGATTTTATGGTTAAAGCTCATATACCGATCGAGGAAGGCTCACCTGTTCGTGTATGGGGCAACATTTTGCACACATTTTGTGTTGCTGCTGATTTCTGGCATGTTTAGCTCATTAAAATCGTGAAGAGTGGCCACTAAAAGTAAGCATAAAACATTTCATCAGTCCGCCTCCAAGTTGATAGCTAAGATTCTGGCGAGACACGCAAATGGAGACCCGATAACCGGGCCACAGTAACAACTTAACAAACGATACCGTTAAGCAGAGGAATCTCGAGTGTAACATAAATTTAAGTGCTGCATAAAAGTCAGATTTTACGATAGCGAGCTGCCAGCAAGTAAGATTACCTCTCCACCTGGAGAGGCAAGCGGTTGCCTGGGGCGACTCCGCTGCACTGCCAAAATAAATGGAATGCATTTAAGTGTTGCTGCTGTTATTGCTGTTGTTGCTCTTGTCGTTTACTTGCCACTTGGCCCATTGCCGCCCCAGGAGCTGAAACATTTCGTGATTTTTTCCTTTGTGTTGGGCAGCTGCTATGCTCGCAATGCGCAACGCTTGGCAAATAAATAAATCCTTAGCAATTTACTCGCTAGCATCTCTTGGCATCCACTCCTATTTGCCTTGCCTTTGTCCTTGTCACAGCCGGCAGCAGTCGGTTGAAGACAACCCACCCAAAACCGGTCCCCCATTTGCGCTTCGGGTTCAACTGAATATAGAATTGTGTGCGACAAATATCTTAAAGTTATTCTACAAATTATTGATTTTTTTCTGCTCAAATGTAAGATTGCGTTTAGCTTAAGGGTGCAACAATAACAATCTTTTCTACTTCTTTCATTATTTTTTTTCTTCTTTTTCTATTCGAAAATTTATTAACACATTAAATTTAGTTGGCCTTCTTTTGAAAGTCAATTAACTTTGCCATTCCCTTCATTCTTATATTTTAAGCTATTTAAAGAAGATCTCGGGCTAAACTCTCTTCTTTTAATATTAAAGAGCTGTATTATATTATTTATTATATCCTGAATCTATTGTATATCAGTAAAACAAAAAGGGTAAAATGGATTGTGTTAAAGGCAGAAAAGAAGCAACTCCGATCCAATAAAGTGGATATCAATATTTCAATGGAGTACCGATAGCAACAACGAGAGCCACAATTTGAAAAGAAGAACAATTCCAATCGATATATAATTTACGTTGACATATTATTGATCAACTCAGTGTATATCGTAGTCGAGCTCACTCGAATACAGCACTTATTATTTGTATTATTTTGATTCAAAATCGAACTTATCATACTATGTTACATCAATCACAAAAAATTGAGCAGGCATTCGCTGGAAAGTCAATAAATGTCAGTTATCATTTGCGTCAATTTATTTGACGAACGAGGCGTTGTTTTTTATCAGTTTCGTGAATTTATCTAAACACATTTAAGCTTCATATACCAAAGAGCAGGATAATAATACATTAATCGTATATCAGGAGCGTGATTTGAATGTTTTCATTCGTCTCATATTTGACGCATATATTTGGAAATCCGTGTCAGTCAAATCAGTCAGCTTTGGGAGAACAAAACTCCGTTTTTTTGCTGCTCGCAATCAAAGTGTGTTTCTCTGTCCAAAAGTGTCAACTGGTTAAAAGTTAAACATAATTATTGCAATCCGACTAACACATACTCACTGTATACCCTGTATATTTTTAAATTGGAATATTTGCAGAGCACGGCTCACTTACAATTGTACGGCGTTCGAATAGTCGCAAGAGCTTCGCACAAATCGACGGACAATCGCAGACAGTCGCCTCGCCCTCGTCGAGCAGCAGCTTCTTTCAGACGCCGCTCAGTGAGTCACTCGCCGAGCGTCTAACTGGTCGGGGTAGCAACGGAACTGCTGCGTCATCGTCGTCAACGATCGGCGAGAAACGTTCGATAGAAAGCGCATCGAGGATTCTAAACTCCGCCGGCAAAATGCAGCCGTCTTCGCCAAATAAAACAAATTTCGCAACCGATGCGACACCAGCCGCGTTAGATCGAAACACCAGCGAATACAGAGCAGGTCGCGAATCTAGCGAATTTTTGAATTCGACTACGGGCACATTATTCCCAATTAACGATCGAGAAACGTCGGATCAATCGATAGACACGGGCTCAAATTTATCGGTCGCCGATGCATGGGAAACGGAAACTTTGCCACCTGTCGATACGCCAGATGCTCTCAATAAAGCAGCTGTGAGGTGAGTTTATTGTTAAGAACTAAGAAGTTAAAATCGTACAAAACTTTTGATACCCATTAAAAAAAAAAAGAAAACATCTCTTCAATACCACAAACACTACGCTATTTTAAATTAATGAAAATCCAAAAACAAAAAACAACAAACATTCCAATTACTTATAAGTCCAGCCCATGCCTAAGTTAATCGCTGTCTTTCCCTTTTGCAGAATACGCAGCCTGCTGCGTAGGATGGATCATGAGACCGTTGCCTACGAGGATATGCATCGCAATCTGCATTATGCGGCACGCGTGCTCGAAGCTGTCTTCATAGACGAGTCAAGGTAGGTTCAAGGGTTGCATGTGTTCTTCTCTCTTATACACCTACTATTTGCGCCATTTTCTAACCAAAAGTCTAACCACGAATCTGGAAAACAAAAGAACAAAAACAAAAACAAAAAGAAAATTGTAATTTGCTGGCGCTTTCGGAGATCGTACATTCAATTGGTTCAGGCTTTACCGAATTCGTAGGTCTTTCCCATTGATAATGCTGCGTAGCTCAAACATTAAAAAAAATAATAATAAAATAATTGAATTTGCATTAGGATTGCACACGAAAAGCGAGCTTTAAACCAGACCCATGAATCGTTGTGTTCCACTGGAGCATTGCGTACATTGCATACAACTACTGTATACATTTACTATATCATTACAATTCATCTATCGCAAACACTTAGCAAACGACCACTTATTTTTATTGTTTTTCCGTTCACAACTTTCACACGTTTTTTATATATATTTTATTTCTTTTTATATCTGTGTGTGTGTCTATTGTTTGAGCAGAAGCCCCACATCAGGTAAAAGTAAATTGGGGCAGATTGCGTCTTCATCCGTTGAGAGCGAAGAGTAAGTCTTTATAGAGTCAACCTCCGATTTGGTTTTTTGCCGTTAACTTTGTTGATTTTTAACTCTAAATCTCTCTATCTTTCTATCTATCTATCTATCTATCTATCTCTCTGTTTTCCCGCCCGTCCACCTCTCAAACCTCAACCGCGTGCTCATATCAACTACAAAACTTACCCCAAACACCACCACAACAACAACAATAACAACAATAAGCTACTACAATATTCATATCATCACTTGCTCTCTTTATAAATCCTTAAAACTCTTTAACTTTCTATCTCTCATACGTTGTAGTGCTATTTTCAGTTCATGTGTCGAGTATACTAAAGACTCCATACCATTTATTAATGCCTTGCTATGCAGTAAGTCTACTATATATATCATCATACGATCATCTCATGTATCTCATTGAAGAATATATGCATTTTAAACAAAAAACAAAAAATTAAAGAACGCGTGAATTTTAGCTAGTTTAGTCAAGTTGAATTAAATAACTAACTATTACTACTACTTCGAATCGTGTAAAATTGTCCCCCTTCGCCATCAAGCACCGTATTACTGAAGAACTTTCTTACGCTATCTCTCCGTTTTTTTCCTTCTCTAATACACTGTAATCTCTCGGTGTATTCATTATCGATGTCTCTACTTAGTAGTTTTGAAGAGTTTGTTCGTCCCCCCGAGTGCGCCAGATGATCTATCATCTATCTTTCGCATCATCTAACTTTATCTGACTATCATTACTTGCAACATTATTAAAAAAAAATACCTATCTCGACTCTTTGCCCTACGAACACAGACTACTTTGGGAAGTTATTGCCTACACTTTTGTGTTTTTACATTAATTTTTAAAAGTCGATTGTTGGGAGAAGACAGTTGTACAAATTGCATTTTTATTATTTACCACTCACACACACACACACAGGCACAAACACCCAGAGGACCCTGCCTTCAATTAAAAGCCCGAGTTCCCAATGCTCCTGTCACTCACAGGCGTGTTCATTTTTCATTTGCCCTCCTCCCCTCATATTGTGTGTGTAAATTATTCAGCAGCTCCTGACACAACTGTTCGATTTACATAGGCAAGTGTGTGGGTGGCGAGTGTCTCGCCCCACACCCAACAAAGTTTCCGCTTGCAACTCGTTGGAAGTATGCAACACTTTGTTCGTGGCCTGCATTCAAACAACGAGTGTTTTTCTCTTTCCTATTTTTACTCTTTGCCGGGCGTGCTTTTTGCAGCTTTCAACAACTAATCCACTCGCTCTAATTTACAAAAAAAAAATAAAATAAACCAAAACAAAAACAACAACTTCAACTGATGTACTTTTCATTTTTTCTTTCTACTGCCAACCATGTTTTAAAAACAAAATTCACAAAATCATAAAAATTACAAAATATATAAATATATATGTTAAATATGTATGCCAATCAACGAAACGTACCAAAAATATATTTGTCGTCTGTACCGGTTCGCTTTAACTCACTGCCAACTGCTGTGCAAAAAAACACTTGACCCCGCCTACCGCCCACCAACCTTCCCGCCCACTCTACATCACAAAAAAAAAAAACAAAAATCAAATAGTGATAATGTTGTTAAGCGCTGCAACGGCAACTGTAAAAATCTGAACAACAACAACGCAAACAGCAGCTGCGGCCTGCATAAAGCTGCGGCAACAGCAGCAGCGGCAGAGGAGCAGTCGTCAGACAATCAGACGACGAGCATCGAAAGTCGCACAAAGGGCGTTTCCCTGGCGCCGCAAACACACAGCGGACCCACTGGGCCGCCGGAAGTGAGCAAAACACTTGAATCTGTGCAAGAGGAGCAAGCAACTACGACGGCGACAGAGACGACGACGACGACGACAACAGCAACAACAACAATAGCAACAAAAACAACAACAGAAGTCCCAAAAGCAGGTGACGCAAGTGGAACGAGCGGATCGAGTGAAACGAGCCAAGCTGCCGGTCAAAGTGTTTCCAGCAGTAGCAGTTGCAGTAATAAAGCGACCGTTCAGCGACAAAGACGCCTGCGCACACCGGTCTGGGCAAGATCAATGTCAACGAATAAAACGTACTTGAATAATGGTTTTATACTCTGCATTAATTAGCGTAATTTCGATTTTGTATGCGATTTTCAGTTAATTGTACAATATTTAACGTTTACGTTATATTTTACGTTGTTACGTTACGTTAACCAACACAGCTCCAAAACAAACAACTCTCTCTCTATCTCTCTATCTCTTTCTCTCTTTCTCTCTGCCTATTTTTGTCTGTCTCTCTTTCTCTCTTTGTCTCTGTCTCTGTCTCTGTCTCTATCTTTATAACCAATTACTGTCTTTATACTTACCTCGAAATTGTCTACGTTATCTTTCACTGCTGTAAATATTGTCCAGATACTGTTCCCTACTCTGACCGCTTTAACTTTCAACCTATATGTATATAAATAAACATAATGATTCCCACTTTTTGTACCACAAAGTATTCCTCGTTACTTCGCTCAATGTTCCAACTACCCCGACCCCTTGCATTTTTACATACATTTTGATATTTGTAAATGTTCCTTCGCAATATTGAATTCATGGCATGTGATATATTGTCCTAATCATAATTTCAACTCTTGTATAATACTAATGTTAAATTGTTTCAATTGCTTGCGCATGTGTAAGCTCTGTTTGCGCTTCTTCAATAAGCCAATAACCCAAAGACGATCTCGTCAAACCACATTTTATTTGAGTTCAAAAATCAAAAATCGTTTAACGACTTTCTTCTCTAGCATCGATTGCATTAATCGATACTCGCTTACGCGTCCATCGATTTCGCTTATGTTAACTAACAGCGCGAACATCGAAAATGTAACAGCGCTATGGCACCGATCGCGTGGTGGCAACGCTGCGCGTGTCTCTTGCCGCCAAAAGTGAAGAAAAACAACATATTTGTTGTGCTTAAATTGTTTATTTTTTTGTACATAATATAGTTTATTTTATTTGCAACACATTGTGTGCGCTGAGCAGCTGTGCAGTGTTGAAGTGAGCATGAGCAGCGATAAAGTGAAAAACAGCAACGAACCCGATGACTCGGACGAATCGTGCGACGTAAGTTGGAAATTGCCAATTGCAAACACAGCAAAAAACAACAAATTAACAGCCACAATTTCCGGTTGATGCATGCAGGACGAATCGGCCAGTTTTACAACGAATAGCACCACATCGCGCAGCAAGTCGCCGGCGTCGAGCACGCGTAGCAAGCGACGCGGCCGCCGCAACACCAAATCAAAGAGAAAAACCGGCGCCGCCTACAAATACGAGTAAGAAAAATATCATGAAAAAAAAAAAGCAAAAGCGAAAGTGAATCAAAGTTTAACGATTTGCTCAATTTAAGCACACATGTCAAGGAGAATCATGGTGCGAACATATTTGGCGTGGCATTCAACACGCTGCTGGGCAAGGACGAGCCGCAGGTGTTTGCCACAGCGGGCAGCAATCGTTGCACCGTCTACGAGTGTCCACGCAAGGGCGGCCTCACACTCCTCCACTGCTACGCCGATCCGGATGTAAGTAAAGGGAATAGCCAGCAAATTCGAGTTAATCCATTCACATTATTCGATGCCAGCCGGATGAGGTTTTCTACACCTGCGCCTGGTCCTATGATCTGAAGACATCGGCGCCACTGCTGGCTGCGGCCGGTTATCGGGGCGTCATCCGCGTCATTGACATCGAACAGAACGAGGCAGTGGGCAACTATATTGGTCATGGCCAGGCCATCAACGAGCTCAAGTTCCATCCGCACAAACTGCAACTGCTACTCTCCGGCAGCAAGGATCATGCCATTCGGCTGTGGAACATACAGACGCATGTCTGCATCGCAATATTTGGCGGCGTCGAGGGTCATCGGGATGAGGTGCTGTCCATTGATTTTAATATGCGCGGCGATCGCATTGTCAGCAGCGGCATGGATCATTCCCTGAAACTGTGGTGCCTCAATACGCCGGAGTTTCAGCACAAGATCGAGCTGTCGCACACGTTTAGCCAGGAGAAATCTACACTGCCGTTTCCCACAATTACCAAACACTTTCCAGACTTCTCGACGCGCGACATCCATCGCAACTATGTGGACTGTGTGCAATGGTTTGGCAACTTTGTCCTGTCCAAGTCCTGCGAGAATGCCATCGTCTGCTGGAAGCCCGGCCAGCTGCATCAGAGCTTTGAACAGCTCAAACCGAGTGACTCCTCCTGCACCATCATCGCCGAGTTCGAGTACGATGAGTGTGAGATTTGGTTTGTGCGCTTCGGTTTCAATCCGTGGCAAAAAGTCATCGCACTAGGCAATCAGCAGGGCAAAGTGTACGTCTGGGAGATGGATCCCAGTGATCCGGAGGGCGCACACATGACCACGTTGCACAATTTGCGCAGTGTGGCGACCGTGCGGCAAATTGCCTTCTCGCGGGATGCCAGCGTCTTGGTATATGTATGCGATGATGCCACTGTTTGGCGCTGGAATCGGCGTCAGGCAGCCGCTCTTTAAAATAGCACAAAAAAAAAATACAAAATAAAACAAACCACAACCAAATCTCACGTGGCCAAAATCGCAGCACAACATGGATTTCTCTGCGCCTAGTTCCTAGTTGTTAGTCATTAGTCATTTGCCTCAATTAAATCTATTTTCATATATTTTACAAAATTATGTCTCAATAATTGGATTTATGCCAGCAAGCTGAAAATTAACTTGTTTGGTTAGCAGTTAAATCATCCATCTTCGCATTGGCTGTTGGGGCAGTGGCAGTTGCACATTTTGCCCCACCCAAAGTAATCAGTTAGATAATTGAAAACGCAGTCAGCTGCATGCAACGATATCCGGAGATGAAAACGAATGCGACAAACACTATTTGCCACCGGTTGCAAAACATAATTAGTGTTGTGCTGCAATTGAAATCGCTTGCTGCCACAGAGCAGTTTGTTCCCTGTTGGCCATTTTCTAATGGAGGTTTGCAATTGAACGCCATTTATATGCGCTGCGCTTGCCTCAAGTGGATGAGATGATATAAGTGCTCTGAAATTGAAACTGCACACAAAGACTCCTTCATCCAGTCATCGAAGCAGCCAGTAAAGGATAATCCAAGCTGAGCAGCTGGCCCATAACAGCTCCCAGCTGGCTTATTTAGCAAACAAAGTCTCGCATCTCTTTTCTTTATGCTTGCAGCAAAAATTCTGGCTAAGCGAGAAGTATAAATATCATAGATGCATAGCATCTTATATCAACGATATTTATTAAGATATATTTGTATATTTTGTTGCATTTTTAAAGCCAACCAAGAATAGAAAACTATTAAACTTAACTTCACCCAGAGCAGTGGTTAAGTAGTTTAGTAAATTCTATACTTATACAAAAACATATTCGTATTTACGAATCTGCTGCGCCACTCAATTTTTATTTATTTTGCCAAGCGTATAAAATTGTCTAGTCGCATATTCATTTGCTCTTTGTCTTTCGTCTTTCGCCTTTTGTCTTTGTTGCCTGCTGCTGATTGAGTTTTTGCATCTACTCTTTGTGCGATGTTCGTTGACCGTTTCACTGGGTGCAGAAACTAATCGAGTTGCCTAGTGCAATGTGCAAGTGTTTTATGTTAATTGCACTGTTTACAGAGCATTTCATAGTCGGCTATAGTCGACACTCGTACTTTGCTGGTATTGCTCTCTCCAATTTGGCGCTGTGAGTAATTAACAGCAGCGTTTTGCCTGCCGCTGCTGCTGCTGGCATTAAGCTGTCAATGCGAAGCGTAGTTGAGTTTTGGCCTTGACACGCAAAGTCATCCGCCGCCTGCCCTGTGGGGGAATATTGGATGACTACGACCGACTAACCGACCAACTAATCCCAGCCATTTTGCCGTATTTCTTCCAATTGATTGCACGCTGTCGCTATTGCTGTTGCTGTCCTGGGAACGTTAATCCTTTGCACCACAAATCGTGGCTGGCGGTGCGTCATTTTCATTTCGTGTTGTCTCGTTTCGTTTCGTCCCGTTTCGTTTTGCAACATTTACAGTTGATATTTTGTTTGTTGATTGTTATTGTTGTTTTTTGTTGTTCTTCTTCTCTCTGTATTATTATCGTTCTCATTCAGATGCAACTCAGCCAACCATTCAATATCGTCCACCACCACCGACTCCGCCTGTCACAGCAGCTCCACACATGTCCTGCGCTATGCTCGCCATAGCATAATCAGCTTCAACGAGAACAACAGCAGTAGACGAATCACGCCTCTTCGGTTTGTCACTCCTACTCCCATCTCGTTTTTTCGTGACTCTGTCTGTGATTCATATTACATGTGTAGAATTTGGCTGCTGCACTCTCCAAAATTACAATTACCCGCACCCTGCAAAACAGAGCAGCACAACAACAATGATTTGCGTCTTTCAGCTCCCTCTCTCTCTCTGTCACTCTCTCACGCACACACACACACACACGCCCTATAGCTCTGTTGCGCTCGCACTCACACTGTGTGTGTTGGTAAGCACTTGTCAGCCAAAAAATTAATCAAGCCATCACCGCAGGACAAGTCACTTGCGGGCGTCTCCTGTCACTTGAAATTCGTGTTTAACATTTGCGGATGACACCAAAAATTAGTTTAGCATGTCATTTGTCGGCCAAAAATGTTGCTGGCAGAGCGCCATCATCTCAAAAGTCATCATTTAGCGACAGACTTCATAAGCCGCTGGCAGTTAAAGTGTATAAATGAGAAATATTGAAGTCTATCGTGCATTTAATATCCGCAAATGTATGTCCACAAAAAGATGAAAGCTGCCATCGAGATTAAAAGTGCAGGCTTCTGTTTGCAGACTGTTTTTTGATCAGCTAATCAGCTAATGGTCGATTCATTGGGGATATTTATGTTGATTGAAATTGAAAATGGACCAGTTTCACCTGATATCAACTTTATATCAAAAGCAATTTCACCAATCACACATACAACACTTAAGGTATTTGCTGACGCAACTTTTCGCTTTATATATTTATGATAAAATAATAACAATAAAATGCCAAATACAACAACAACAATTTTAATTTCTGTAAAATTTGACGAAAGTATTAAATTCGATCTATATATGTATGTGTGTATGTGTGCATATGTGTATATGTTGAAGGTCTATTGTTGTTACCGTCGTCGATATCAATAGTACAAAATTCACAAATTAAATACCATTTGCGGCTTCATTCATGCCGATAAGGTGGAAATCATTTTAATGTGTTTTCAGTATTTTGTTTAACGCACTCGCCGCCGCTCGTGTGAAAATGTAAATAACTCTGCAGAAAAAAAGAAAAAACTTTACGCGCATTTCAAATAAATCATAATTAAAATCGGAAGATTTCTGCCATCATGCTGCCAAAGCCGAGAAAGTAATTGCAAATATGTCATTAATTCCAATTAAATTTAATTAAACTATATAAATCATTAAATATGCCAATGAATAATTCATTAAAACACATTACACCAGCACTTCCAAAATGCAAGCAATTATAATGTGAATAAATTCAAATGTGCTGAAAAACCCGAAACTCGCACAAAAACAAATTGGGTCAAATTGGGAAGAGACAAGACAAGTTGAAGGTATATATATATATATATATAGATATATGTATATATATGTATTACATATAGCAAAAACTGTTCTATTGTGTACAAAACGTTACAGTTAGTTAGCAAATTGTGAGTGGTACAATTTATATAGACAACGGGTCGCAATCATCAATCATCTTTTGCGTGAAGCATTAGACCAGTTGACGGGCCAATACGATTAAGTGACCCAAAAACACTGAAATACGAAACGAACCCTGGAAAATATCAACAACTACAACAAAAACAACATACACCCACTCCCCCCGCTCGCTAAAATTGAATAGCCCAATACAAACAGAGCAGACGGCGACAGACAGAGTTGAGGCCCATCATTTTTGCTGGGGGGCCTCAAGCTGAATGTTACAATAGGAAAATCAATAATAAATGATGTTAACTGCCAATTTTTGCCACATAAGCACAGCACCCCCCGTAAAATAGGTGCATCCAAATTGAAGATGCCTTCTGGCTGATGTCCTAATGCCACTGTTGCTGGTATTAACAACGATACACAATGCCAGAAAACAACACACAACGCCGAAAACTCCCTTTAATCAGACCGGCCGTGGGCGCCCAATGCGAGGGTTACTCCACTTATTTCTTGATAGCTACAAAAACTGAAATTTATTGTTGGCATTTAGGAATTCGTATTGCACTTACTGTGATTGTTTTAAAACTTAAATATTAAATAATTGCTGAAAAAATCGTGAGTGATTATTATTGATAATTATTAATAATTATTATTATTTGAAAACAGAAGAAAACTCCTAAAGCGATTATCATATTTATATAATAATTGAACAAATCTGTAGTGATTATTATTTTTAATAATTGAAAAAACGATTATTATTTTTAATCAATAATCGAACAGAAAAAAAAAACCCTCCGAAAGTGTTTATAATAGAAAAGAAAACCAGGAAAAGACTCTGAATAAATATTTGAATTGAATTGTAAAAATGTAAGATGAATTATTGAAATCTATAGATTTTAAATGCTCCTCACAATCTTTTTTCACAAGCTTTCCAAACTTCATTATAAGCAGCGTTAGAAAGAACTTAATTTCTTTTAAATTAATTGCGAAAAAGTTCGATGAAAATTCCCAAGCAGCGCACGCTCTCAAAGCATACTCCGGATTCAGAATCTAATGATGCGGCACACGCAATGCGTTTGTTCCTGGCTTTTGTGATGTTGCACGCATGTGGACTATGTGTGTGAGGTGCGCCTCTGTTGTTCAGTTTACAAAAGCAGCTGGCTTTCGCAAAATCATTGAAAGAAAACAATGCTGTCAATTTGGCAGCAATTTCCCTCGTATTCGACTATGGCGGCAATGACAACAGCGCCGACAAAACGCTTCAGGCATGGGGCACAGGAAATTGCAGACATAACTATTAAGTGGCATACTTTTGTTGAACATTTTGCAGTGGAGGAGGTGGTGGGGGGAGGGGGTTGTAAGGGGCGTGCTACATTATCATTGCTCCTGTGAGCTCCATTGCTGGCCGGACGGACGGCCTGGCCTCAAATGAGCCTTAAAATCAAACACAAAAACATAAAGCCATAAAAAGCCCTGCTACGCATTGGCCCAAAAGCTGGCTTTAAGCTGTGTTGTTCCTCTGGAATTTTCATCAAAAGTTTCCATTTTCTTAGAATAGAGAGCATTAAGTTCTCTTGCACCAACTATTTAAACTTTTATAGTATTCAAAGAAAAGCCAGCGTACAAGTTGGGCTCACCTTGCTTCTCACTAAACTTTCTAACAGACTACATTGTTTTATAATCAGTACTTGGATCCAATTCAAATGAACTTAAAATTTTCGATTTGCTACCTATTCACACACACTCACACACACACACAGTGGAAAGTCGGCAATTAGCAGGCTTTCGACTTAACCTGTTGCCTACTTGAAGGGGCTCGCGTGATTTGTAGCAAGCATTTATGGCGAATCACGCAAATGTGGCAATTTATTGTAGAAGAACCACGTGTGCCACACCATGGTAAAATGCAATTGTTGAAATAAACAAAAGTGCTGACGCTCATTACGAAGCTGCTTGGGAAATGCGAATGGGAAGGGAAATGGAAAGCTACTGAAACTTGTATAACAGTTACTTGCTACCTTGAGTGCTGACCTCCGAGCGAAGAGCGGCGATTCCCTCGACCGCCATCCACACAGATACTCAGATACTTGCTTGGCTGGCATGCAAAGTCATTAAATACGTTAAGGCGAACGGGAGGAGTTAAGAAGGAAGTTGCTGGCAAAGGCTTTGTGCTTGTGACGTTGTCGTGTTTATCAGTCAGCCAAAAGAGCCAAACAGCCAGGATATAGCTATAGCTATGGCTATATAGCGATTCAGCCATATTGTTTTTGTTGTTGCTGTTTGTTTGATGCCTTTTAGCATTTTGTGTAATTGTTTTGTGGAAAGAAGTAGTAAAAGAAATAAACGACGCTGCTTTTGTACATAATAGTTGCGAAGTTGCCTGCGCTACCCTAAGGACGACTCAAGAGTCCTTTCTCTTCATATTCTGTTTGTAATGCGCAAAAACAGGGCATATTCGTTTTGCTTTTGCTTGGAATTTGCAGTTAGTAAAAGTGACAAGTGCTTGTTTCTATATATATAAATTGTAAATTACTTTACTATTGGACAACAATTAAGTTGATTATTAATTAAGTCAATGTTGAATACAATTTTAGATTCACAATCTCCACCAATTTATCTCCGGCACTTAGAGTAGAGTATTGCTTGGTCGGGTTATTCCCAGTTCAAATCGTACTCTACTGCTCTGTTGTCATAATTGATATGCTCTATCTATCTGGTTTTATAGTGTGACATGACCTGCTGGCGTGCGGCCGGAATTAGGCTAGTCGTGGTGTATATAGTACATAAGAGCTGCACGCACAGGCTCTGTCGGAGTAGGTTGTTTCCTTGAGCCTTGAGCCTCGAGCGGAGCTGGAGCCGGTGCCGGAGCCAGAGCCTGGGCACGCAAGCAGCTCCAGTTTCGCGATGTTGTGGCACTTTTGCGCGCGGCTGCCGCAACATTTAGTTTAAATTTAACTCGCAACGAGCCAACTACGCGCGTCGCAGCAGCCACTGCCAAAAAAAAGGATTAAAATCCGCCACGCGCAAGCCAAAAGACAAAATAAAATAAGTCACCAAATTACGAAAAAAATTAACTGTGTAAATATTTGCAAAACGGGTTTATTTCGGTCTCGCTCCTTCGCTGTTGTCATCATTAAAAGCGCATTTGCCGTTAATTGCAAGCATACTCCATCTCTCTCTCTCTCCCTCTCTATTGCTCTGCAATTCGCGCTCTCTGTCTCTCTCTCGCAGCTAGAACAGTGATAAATTACAGTTAATTTCAAATGTGCGAATGCGAGCATAGATAGAACAGCTAATTAATAATAGTTGTAGTTGTAGTTGACATTGACGCAAAGTCAATTTATTTGACGCCTCTCCATCGATGTCTACAGCAATAACAAGAGAAACAAAGACAACAGCAACAACAAAAACAACAGCAACAAGAACAACAAGAACGCGAACGAGACCGAGAACACCAAAGGAATTAAGCACAGTTCGCCCGTGATCCTCACGATGAGTCGCCTGAGGCGTGAAAGCAGTCGTCAAAGCGTAATAACAGTTGAACTCATCCAGTTCATAATTCAGTATAACGCACAGGAGACACAGGAAAAGAAGAAAAGGTGCGACCAACAACATATTCGCATAAAACAGTGTTAAACAGTCTTACAAATTTTTATATACAAAAAAAAAACAAGAAACGTGTTCTAAGAGCAATGTTTTGTCACATTGATGCGGCGCGTTCCATGAAAACGGACTGGTATTACATAAATAATTTCACGTTAACTGACTCTAAAAGTTATGAGTTAGCAAATAACAAAAGCAATAAATATAAAAGGAGTGAAGTATAAATGCAATAAACATCTTAGAACCTGTCACTTGTCCCTTAGGAACTGCACAAGGACCCACACAAATTATGCGATACAGCGGTCGGTTGGGTTGGCCGGGGAGGGGGGCAGTACAGTTATGTAACGTTATCAACAGTGTGTGTGCGAATGTGTGTGTGTGACTTGAAAGCAACTAGCAAACTGTTATGTGAGCTACGTATTTTTCAAGAGAGAAGTAAATTAGAAATATCAAGAGAATCAAGGAAAGCTTCTGAATGCTCGAGTGAATTGTGATTTTTGGTAGGAAATCAACTGAGGAATGAGTTGAAATGCAATAAAGTTTTATAGTTGTGTAAAGGGAGGATTCTGGGTATATATATATTTATTCATATCTGATGTATTCCTTGAGTGGATTAAGTGCAAAGGTTTCCTCTTACTGTAAGAGACGCCAGACAGAATCAAATATGTGTTGAAATACTCGATTATTAAATCCGATTTATTTTTAAATATGGTGTAATACAATATGTAGTTAGATCTCCTTATTTAAGTCAGTTTAGTTGGGTTTTGTGCACAGTATCCAACTGGAAATAAACACAGCTCGCTTGCAGCGCAAGTTTTACACCTATTTGTCCACACAACACTCTGGCATTTTGTTTGGCCAAATTATTTGACCTTTTGCATATTTTATTAAAGGCGGCAGCTGTTCAAATTTATATGCACTTTATATTTACTCAATAAGTCGATGACAGGCTGCCACAGCAAATTACTGTACGTATTTCCTTTATGCTTAGTTTTCTATTATTTATAGTGTTTAATATCCTAAAAGCTCACCAGATTCTCAGGCCGATTTATAAACCTAACTATTAATACACCATTGAACACGGCTGCCTTAGCTAAACTAAAATAACGTATACGACTTGTATACTACAGAGTGTTGTGTACCTATGATTAGTTTACAAATAGTTAGGAGCTGTTCAAGGACAGCACTAAAAGCAATCTCAATAACACTGAGCCTTTACTAAGTCAAAGCTAATATTTTATTACGTTTTTAACCTAACGATTAGTACTTAATTGAAGAATTTAACTAACCTAAAGTCAGGTATTACCAGATACATAGTTTTCAGTATTCTGTACCTATGTTTAGTCTGCAAATAGTTAGCAGCTATTTGAGAACGGCACTTAAGTAATCTCAATTACGTAGAACCCCAATGAAGCAACCCTAACTAAGTAGAGTCATAATGTGTACTAACAATAACCACAGTACCGTTAGTTAACCCCAAATGGGGATTCCAGTTTGCTCTGCGCAGCACTGCGACTAATTAACCATAATTGAATATGGCGCTAATTTGCTTAAGTCATTTTGGGGGCTCTTCGGACGGGTTTGCTTAAGTGCTTTTTAGCTTTCTGCCATAACGAGCGACGTTTTTTTTTTGTTGTATTATTTTTATAATATTTATTTATTTTTATCTCTTGTGACATTATTTGTACATCTTCTGGGAATGGGGGGTGGTTTGTGAGTTTTGTGATTTGCTGAAAAGCTTGGCAAAAGGTTGCCATGGAAATGCACCGTTGGAGGCTGCAAGCGGATTCGCATCCCTTATTACCTTCAACACATTTTTAATTGACCAATTAGTTTGGCATTTCGGTGCGTTTTCAATGCCAATTACGAGTACGTAATAATATGCCACACGGGCTCAATTGTATCTATATGTATATTTTACTTTTTACTGTGTGGGTCCAATTTCAATACAAAATGTTGTAGAAAAACTTAAAGTTCTTTTTGCAAGTGGCATCTTCGTCTTGCGTTCGTTCGTGTTACTGCACGTTGCACGTTTGCTGTTGCGCTTGCAAAGTAAAACAAAAACTTGGCATGCAATTAGTGATTTCGTTTAGTCAACACCACAACGCCTACAACACACACTTAACACACACATCACACACTTAACACACACATCACACACAGACACACACACACACAAATAAAAGCATGCACTGCCTGATCAGCTTTTTTCGTTGCCTTTTAGCCTTGTAGTAAACTTTGTTGCATCCGGTTTACATGTTCAAAATTGTTTCTAATCTCAAATCTTATTCTTTTCGTTTCCCGTTAATGTTCTAACTTAACTTTAACATTTATATGAACAATAAATTGGTTTTCCAAGCACTCCTAGAACAACACTTTTCCCCGCTCCTAACACAAAAACCGTTTTCGTTTTTGTTTTCATTTTCAGTTTTGTTTTTTTCATTTTGTTGCCATATATTTTACAGTATATATTTTTCTGTAATTTTAGCTTAACACCAATAGCAAAAAAAAAATGTTTATAAAATCAACAATACAAAAAAAATGACAACAAAATTGCGCTATAAAAATTATTTGGTTTGATTTTACCTAATTTTGTTTAAAGGTTTAGTTAAACGTTTTGGCATTTTTCTTTACAAATTAACAAAAATAAAAAATATATATAAATATATAAACGAATTCATTACGGAACTGGACTAACTATTTGTTCTTTCTCCAACCGCTTCTTTTCCCAAACAAACCCAACCCAACTCCCTATAGGCGCCTGGCCGATGAGGATGACGAGCTGTCCGAAGTGCAACCGGATGCGGTGCCACCCGAGGTGCGCGAGTGGTTGGCCTCGACCTTCACGCGCCAAATGGCCACCACTCGCACCAGGAGCGATGAGAAGCCCAGGTTCCGATCGGTGGCCCACGCCATTCGCGCCGGCATCTTTGTGGATCGCATCTACAGGCGTGTCTCCAGCTCGACCCTGATGCAATTTCCACCCGATGTCGTCAAGCTGCTCAAGGTGAGTGTGAACTCTATCAGCATTGTACGATAGTTGACAGATGCCAGGCGAAGATCCTCATATGGCATACGCGCTTTTCGTATTTAAATTGCTACTGGATTATAAATTCCTTGAGATAGTTAGAGAGTCTTACTGAGTATTCCAATTAAGACCATGTTTTGTTTTTCGAAACTTGAATGCAATATTCAAGAAGAAGCCAAGCGAGTCAGTTTTGCTAGCATTATCCTAAAAGCCACACAAAATAGTGATGTTGAAAAGCTGCTTTATTATAATAGTGGAAATGATGAACCAAAAAATATAATCGATATTTTGTTGAGTCAAAATTGTAGCATGAATTCAGAAATATAATATTTCCAAATTTAAATGTATAATTACAAAAATGATATTGCTTTCAAAAATCGATTCCCTTTTGACAAATTAGAGCTGTGGGAGCTTTTGAACCATTCCTGTTTTTACTAGCTTTTCACCCATAGTTCCTATGACAATTCACTGTATGATGAGTTCACTGTACACAATGTAATACCAGCGAATTTTTTACCAATCTTTGAAGGGGTTCCTAGTAAACTACCTTCCAAGTTTGGTAAAAAAAATTATGTAGGAGTTTCCTAGAAATTTACATATATATTTAATGTAGTCCCGAAGGAAATTTACGCTCAAAGTTTGCTGACTGCTTCAAAATTGGGCAGCTTAATCGATTTGCAATTATCGATCTTATCGATTTCCTAGCCCCAAATCGATTAAATTTTATTTTCCAAGTTTTAGGTCCCCTTACACCTTGGGAATCAGATTGAAATTATTGCATATATGATTTTGTATTGTAAAGCTATTCCTATTAAAGTTTTTCAAATGCAACCCTATCAATAATATAACTAATATAACAGCTTTTGATCTACTATACAGTTCTTAATTAGCTGATTTGTTGTCTTGCCTATATTCATATATCATATATAGAACCTTGATGAATGGACGTTTGACGTGTTTGCATTGACCGAGGCAGCCAGTGGCCAGGTGATTAAGTATGTGGCCTACGATCTGCTCAATCGCTATGGGGCCATGCACAAGTTCAAGATAGCGCCCGGGGTACTGGAAACGTTCCTGCATCGCGTGGAGGAGGGCTATTGTCGGTATCGGAATCCATATCACAACAATCTGCACGCGGTGGATGTGATGCATACGATGCACTATTGCCTGTGCAATACGGGCCTGATGAACTGGCTGACGGATTTGGAGATCTTTGCATCGCTGCTGGCCGCACTGCTGCATGACTTTGAGCACACGGGCACCACCAACAATTTCCATGTGATGTCCGGGTCGGAGACGGCGCTGCTCTACAATGATCGGGCCGTGCTCGAGAATCATCATGTGAGCGCCAGTTTTCGCCTGATGAGGGATGACGAGGCCAACATCCTATCGCATTTGTCGCGCGAAGAGTTCAAGGAGCTGCGCACTCTTATCATTGACATGGTGCTTGCCACCGACATGACCTATCACTTTCAGCAGCTGAAGATAATGCGCAACCTGCTCACGCTGCAGGAGCCCACCATTGACAAGTCGAAGGCGTTGTCGTTGGTGCTGCACTGCTGTGATATTTCCCACCCGGCCAAACATTGGGATGTCCATCATCGCTGGACCATGCTGCTGCTGGAGGAGTTCTTTCGCCAGGGTGATCTCGAGAAGGAGCTCGGCTTGCCGTTCAGTCCGCTCTGCGATCGCAAGAATACGCTCGTCGCCGAATCTCAAATCGGCTTCATCGATTTCATTGTGGAGCCCAGCATGAGCATTATGTCCGATATGCTCGAGCATATTCTGGCGCCGATTGCGCCGGTGATTAAAACCAAGCCAGCGCCACTGACAGAGGAGGCGGTCGGTGTCGCTGAACCGGAGGGCGATGATGCAAAGCTATCGACCACATGCCCCATGATGCGCAAAAGCATTGCATCCTCTGCCAACAAGTTCACCATTAACAAACCATGGCTAACCTGTCTCACCGAAAACAAGAAGATCTGGAAGGAGCAGGCCATCAAAGGTACGCAAATCTAGCCAGCGTAGAGCCTTTGGCTTTTAATTTTGCATAATTTAATTGGCTTTTCGCTTAGCCGCATTTTGTGGTCAAATTAGGCCAAGGCCTAATTGAATTTCATTGCTTTGCTGGCCCTTTGATCTTTTGCCAACTGTTATTAAACTGATATTATTAGTTATTATAAAACACTCAAACCTATCACGCAGAGCTCTTAGATCGTCGAAGAAAGAGTACGTTGTAAAACCAATCTAGACGACAAGAAATTCCATTAAAATGTTTTAAACTACGTAAGTCAGCAAGCGGCAAATCAATTTTAAGTTTAAATCGACTACTAATTTGAGTAAAAGGTCAACGAAATAAAGGCATACTGTTTGAACTTTTCAGATTAATTAAACACAAAATAATTGTAGCATTTATTCTTCCTTTCGCATGTTTTCATATTAAAGAAATTTTATTAATCGGATGTTGTTGGCAATGACAAAACAGAAACCGATGCATCGATAATAATTCGCACGCAAAGGCATCGATTAATAAATGCATCGATGCTTTTGACGTAACGGTTAAGCACGACTAGATTAATCCCTTATATGTTTCTCCACACAGATGCCGAGGCACGAGCGCTGCTCGCCGCCGCTGAAGCTGCTGCCGAGCCCGAAGCCGACGATAAAAAGCCCGCCGCCGAAACCGAATCAGGCGAGCAAAAGGAAACGGCAACAGAGGCCTAAAACTCTGCCTAAAACTAAATGTGGCATTGACAAGCGTTTAACTAAGTAGTCTCTAATACAAAGTACAGATACAAAAGATATACATATATAGATAAGTACAATCTCTGCACAGATTATAATTAGAACAAGAACAGCAAGAACAAGAACAAGAACTATGTAGGGATGTAGGGGCATGTACATGTACACGTAAATATCTAATTTGAAAACTGTATAAAAAACATAATATGTTGATAAACAAAATGTAATGGTAAGAATAACAAAAAACAAATCGGCTAATTGCGCAGCTTCTTAAGCGCTATATTTTCATGTTAGTAGCTGATCAATCAAAAAGCATATATAGGATTATCCACGCAAAAATATGAATATTATTGAATGTACTATTTGATATATAGTATAATCTGTTGTTGCAACTAGTTTGTTAATAATGCTAAGCAAAACTGAAAACTGACAAAAACAAAAGCAAAAACGATTCGAAAATATTTGCGCAGAGCACAATTCGAGAGCATTTTTACTTTCCGGTATCATATAGAAAAAACAAACGAAAAACTCTGTAAATAGTTGGCATTTGTATGAAATTGTTTCGCTTTATGTCAGCAACAATAATTGATAAGCATTTACTTAGCTTAGTTTATAGAGTTGAAATATTTACTTTAACTGCTTCAAAGCAAACTCTCTACTTACCCTTTATGTATTTCTATATATATTTTCTTAAGTTCATTTTTAAACCAATTTGGAATTTATTGTACGATTATGTTTTTATAAATTTTCTGTATGCAACATCTTTAATTAAATCATATTCTTTTTGTAATGCTTCAACTTGTTTTGTTATTTCACATATATAAATATTTATCTATGGTTATTTCCTACACTAAATTGCTCAATTGCTGGATTGCAAGCGAGGACACCTTGGGCTGTCTAGATGTTAAGTACCTAACTAGCAAGGAAGAGAAGAAACCCCATACCTGAGACAACAACTAGTTATACAATTACTGTAAATATCTAAAGGACCTCTAACAGACTTTTCAAAAAAAAAAAACAAGAAAAGAAATCTCTATTTACTTGAATTTTTCCACTCTACATATGCACATGGCTACCTAATCGATGCATACCTCTTATCGTATGTATTTGAATGTTAAGAATATTTATATAATAATGCATACACATACGACCTAAACTCATAATCCTAATGGCGCACTACATCCAATAAGTGTTGTTTAACCATAAGCATATTTATTTTTATACGTGAACAAGGCTACTGTTTACAAAAAACGAAAACCAAAAACAAAACAAAAACAAAACAAAAAACAATATCTATAACAATTTATATGTTAGACGATTCTTTTCGTTGAGTTCTTGTGCGTGTTTTTCTCGTATTCGAAGAAGAATTCAAACTAAAATGTTTTAAACGTTTTTCAAAATGTCTGATAGCGGGACCATTCTTTTAAGATTTACCACTGCTCTTACCACACAGCGACAGTTGGCAGAGAGACAGATTGGGTTCGAAGGCGACGAGCGAGATGGCGATATGATATGAAGGGTATTTCCCGGTGTCGATCGTGTTCGTGTCTTGGGCAACAGAGTCAAGGATCGGGGCGGGCGCGGCAAAGAGCAGTGGTAAATGTGCTTAGCAGTAAGGTACCAAATTATCAGCTGAAATTGGGATCATAGCTTTATTAAGGTAGTAAATACTCGTAATTAACTACTATAGTTGGTAACAGTGCATGTAGTGCACACATGCATATATATATAAATACATGTATCTATATGTATGTGTATATGTATATACATGTATGTGTATGTGTTGTGTATGTGTGCATGTGTGTGCTAGCCATATGCCGTATAAGCCATATTAAACCATACAAATATAAATAGTAACTTAATCTCATACTTATTATGTGTAGCTACAGCAAATATAATCGCATAGCATAAATATATACCATATTTACCATACATACCATAAACAATAAATACAAAGACACAAACACATATGCATATGCATATGCATAAATATTAATAATAATAATAATGTTATTGATATTGATCACAAATACATATTATGTATATATAATGGTTAAGAATATGTGTGTGCGTGTGTTTGAACGCTCAAAGCGATTAGGTAACGCACAGCTATAGTCGGCTATAGTCCGTATCTGTATATGTCTGTACAAAATTGAAACTGAAAAATTTGGTGAACGCTGTTGAAAAATACAAAATGCGTAGGATTTAGGGCACTGATCACATTGTGCACATTGCATTCAGTTGTTTGGCTATTAGTGGTGGAGCACATGAAAAATCCTATTAATTGACTAAATTGTTATATATATATTATATGTATGTAATCTCTGTTACTACTAACACATAGCAAAAAACAATACATTCAAGCATATGTCTTAACGTTATTAGCGAATTGTAGAGTTGTAGCAACAATAAATATTTAACATACATATACATATATGCGTACATATATTAAATGACTATAATACAAAAGAGCTCCTGACTATATAATAATAATACATAAATACATACATATGTATACTTGTGCACGCATCTTCACAGCAAGAAACTGGCTCAGAAACAACATAATTGAACATTTCTTGTCCTACGTTTTTTTAAGAAAACGATAAGATTGCAATTTACCATCGTTATGTCTTATTAACTTTGCCAACCCAGTTTCGACAGATCTTTACTGATATTTTCCGCTTAAAGTTTCATCACAAGTGCAAGTCAGTAATAATAATAATAATAATAACAATATATGTATAAATATATGAGTTGAAAGCAATCATTACATTTAAAGAATAAACTACTATAAAACATATGTAATACTTAACCAAGCAAATTAAGGCAGACCCAACTAAACAAACAAAATGTGTGAGTTTTGAGGAAAACAACAATGTGCACAGAACATCGCGCAAATATTGAAAATAACAACCTATTTTTAACCAGCACAACACTTAAACACTCTTTAAGCAAACATACTGGACTATAAACTGTAAATAATTTTCTTTCATTTACAACTAAACAATGCATTGTTTATATAGCAATTAATTATGAACTTAAAGGTTTTTCGCAAAAGCGCCTACAATGAAGTTTATCAAAGAAGTCAAGTTTTCATTTTCCTAATAGGTTGAAATCAAAAACAAAATAAACTATGCGTACTTATTGGCTGGTTTAAAGTGTAGCAAGAAATGTGTGCTTATTACGAAATACCTTCAAGAAATTATAATAACACCATATGACTTTTAATATACTAATAAAGATATTATTAAACCTACAACGTTAAACTTTTTTTAAATGCTTCGATTGCGGATTGTGATCTAAATTGAAAATTATCGATATTTCTGACAGTTCGACTCGATAAGAATAACAGTCTGTTACCAGCATGCATAACAGAGCTGGAATGGACAGCTTACGAACAGCTGTTCAGCTGTGAACGTAACATGTGATTGGTATTGTGTACACGTTGCGTGCTGACTGTTAGTTTTTTGTAAGTAGCTGCACAACAAAAAGCAATTTTCTCGCCCAGTGTTTGTATAAAAACGTCACAACAAATATTATACGGCCGCGTTGCATTGAATGAAAAATGTATAACGATGCTGTCACAATCGCAAATAAATGAAAGCAATTTCAATTAGCAAAGCAACACAGTTGTCTGGGCTTGTGTGTGTGCGTATGTGTTTTGTGTGTGTGAGTGAAGTTTTTTGCTCATGGCGTTGCCATGCAGGCAGCAGCAGCGGCAAGTTGCAGATTGTTGGTGTTGTTGTTGCTGCTTATTTGTTATTTGTAAAAAAGGCCATGATTAATGTGTGCAAAATGGCCAAAACGTTTCGGTCAAGTGACAAAGTGACACACTAATCTAAAACTAGGGCTATCGCCGTCAAAACGTCGTTTGACCATAAAACGAGCCCCGCCCCATTTGAAAATATTTTGTATTTTCATTTTATTCGCTTTTTTTGTTGTTGTTGTGTGGCAAAGTTGTCTCTAACCAAATTAAGCACAACACGTTCACAAAACCACCTTGGCACGCCTTGGCGCCGGCAACCCCCTCCCCTCTCCAGCCCCCCGCCATATCCTCCCCATATGTTTGTCGTGCTTGGACTTAATTAATTTTGCACAATAATCGTAGCAGCTTCGCCATGTAAATAAACCCCAACCCCCCAGTGGAATCTTATCGTTGGCTCTTTATCAATGGCTCTTTTATTTTAGATAAATATGAAACGTAACTGTAAAATGTGAAGGTATAAATACCTATATGCTATAGACGTATTGCAGATCTGATATAATAATCCAAATTCCAATCAGCTGCCTTGGTATTCTTCTTCTTCTGAGTTAATCTGCCAGAGAAATGCAGTTGAAAAGTCTTTTATAAAATTTGTGCAAATTGAAAATTCATCCATTTGTCGCTTATTAATTAATTTGCTTATCTCGCACGACTTTAATTGTAAAAACAAATACATATCAGTTATCATGTTATGTTCACGTTTTTTTTTTTTTTTGTTGCTTTTTCTTCAGGCAGCAGCAGCATTTGCAGCAGGTTGTTGTTGAAAGATACGCCAGCGCCATGCACATAGAAAACGGCTCGAGTAGTCAACCAAAACGATCCAGTGCCAAAAATCGCAGCGAGCCAAAAGCGTGAGCACCCCACAATCCTGTCCAGATCGAATGCGGCAAACGCAACAATTGGCCAGCATTTAAAAAGACACTCGCTACACAAGAGAGCTAAAGATAGTGACAGAAAGAGAGAGAGAGGAAGGAAGGAAGATCCCCAACTAGTCAGGCGCTAAGCAGTTGCATTTATTTTCGATTGTAATCCATCAAGATCATCGTCGTCGGCGGGCAACATGGGCAACAAGAACTCGTGCTGTGCTTACTCGAGTCCACAGTCGGATCGCAAATCGAAGGATATACCGCCAGTGTTCGAGGAGCGGCATACAGTGCCGCATACATCGCAGCATCAGTTGGATGGCCATCATGGTTCCGGCGGGGTTGCAATGTCCGTGCATCATCAGCATCATCAGCACCAACATCATCATCAGCAGCAGGGCGGCAGTGGCAGCAACGATAACTTTGAGAATCAACAGAATCTGCAGCACATCTCAGAGCGTGAGGCGCTCGAGGGTGAGGAGGATCCATCGGTGGATCCCACAGCAGCTACAATGTTTCTGGAGCGATCCAAAGTGGAGAACGGTGGCATGTCCCGCAAACGTTCCCAGCATCAAATCGCACAACAGAACAGCGGAGGCGGTGCCAACACTCCAGGTGCGAATAGCTCGGGTGGCGGTGGCGGCGGCATCGGCACCGGTGGTGGCCTAAAAAAGAGCTCCTCCTGCTCGACAATCTATTTGGACGACAGCACCGTGTCGCAGCCGAATCTAAAGAATACGGTCAAATGCGTTTCACTCGCTATTTACTATCACATTAAGAATCGTCAGTCGTATCGACGTCTGGACATCTTCGATGAGAAGCTGCATCCGCTGACGCACGACCATGTGCCCGAGAACTATGACACACAGAATCCGGAGCATCGCCAGATCTACAAGTTTGTCCGCACTCTCTTCAATGCCGCCCAGCTGACGGCCGAGTGTGCGATCATCACGCTCGTCTATCTGGAACGCTTGCTCACCTATGCCGAGCTCGATGTGGGACCATGCAACTGGAAGCGCATGGTGTTGGGTATGTTGTATTTCTATTTGATATGTGATCCATGGAAATCTATGTTTATATAAAAATATTTTGCTTCGATTTATACACAGTATTTATAGAAATTCTTGTAATTTGCAGGTGCCATACTGCTTGCCTCAAAGGTGTGGGATGATCAGGCAGTGTGGAACGTTGACTACTGCCAGATACTCAAGGATATTACGGTCGAGGATATGAATGAGCTGGAGCGACAATTTTTGGAGCTGCTGCAGTTCAACATCAATGTGCCCTCCTCCGTTTATGCCAAATATTATTTTGATTTACGGACGCTTGCTGAGGCGAACGAGCTCAATTTTCCGACAGAGCCGCTGTCCAAGGAGCGTGCTCAGAAACTGGAGGCCATGTCGCGTGTCATGCAGGACAAGGTGACAGCCGAGGCGCTCAAGAATGGCATCAAGAAATGGTCCTCGATGGACAACATCAGTCAGGGCGGTCCGCGGCGCAGCGTGGCCATATTATCGTGATTTATATTAGCTTATTAAAAACTAAAAACAAGATGAAAACAACTGTATTCTATTCTGTAGACGCCGTAGCGGTTCCACACTGTCCTTACCACAAAACAGAAACAAAAAAAAAACTAAAATGATCGCCTTTAACTCGATCTAAATTTATTTAATTATTTAATTTGTACTACATTTCGACGCAATCAACATTTGTAGACACTTCTCGCATAGCTTACAAAAAACAAAAACCAAAATTCACTTTTGTACAATTCAATTACATTTAATTTCGTTAATAAACTTTGCAAGAAAGTTTTTTTAGCCAATTAAACCGAATCTGAACGAAGACAGACACAACAAAAATACGAATGTTTTTAACAGACACACACTCAGACACACACACAAGTCTCGAATGAAGGACCACTTTTTATATATATACACAATAATATACATAGCTTGCATAATTGTATATTCTTGGAAGCGACACTACCGATTGCCGTCAAGGATTTGGATGTTTTTAATATACACACATGCAACTACAACTTCAACAGCGCGTAACCAATTGCCAAAAAAAAAAAAGAAAAGAAAAGAAATCTATTTAAAAAGTAAAAGAAAGAGAAATGAAAGGAAAACGAAATTTAAGTCATAGAAAATGCTCTGTATAAAAAGCTTGAATATTGAACATTGTAATTTTTAGATTTTGATTTGGTCGACAAACAATGCAAATTAATCTCAATGGATTCCAAAAGTGACTAAATCCAATATGTATTTTAACAACTGCGCCCATTAAGAAACAAGAAAAAACAAATATTTCTGAAAATTAGTTACGAATTTAATCTTTGTTTGTGTCCCAATTACATTTATGTGATTTTTGATAGTTTCATCTTAGATATCATATGTGGAAAGATAGCTTTCTTATCGACAATGCTTGAGGGCGCAGCACAATTATGGGGGCGCGGCCTGCGCCAAATTAGATTTGTTTTGCTTCATATTAGCATTAAAACACAGCGCAATATTAACCCAAGATTCGTGAGTAAATTAATATTTAGTCATATAAGGATACGAATTATATGCAAATGTATTTTATTTTGTAATTTATTTTACGATAACGCGAAATAAAGCAAATCACAAACTAAATGACTCGGTTATTATACTTTTTGACTCTGATATAATTTCATATTTACCAAAGTCCTTAGAAAATTCAATAATTTCCAGCTTTGAAGATTGGAGTTATTAAAAATCCAATATCTTAAAATAATATCTATAATAAGATCAATAATTGGTGCACGCCCAAACAGGAAAACATTGAGGGTTTCTAGGTTTTGAATTGACCTTAGTCAATCCGAATTACTCATTCCATTCATTCATTTGTTTTGTAAACAAATGAAACCAAACATAAACAGATGAATGAATGGGCCGTTTTCTAATTTTATATTTATACGATATTATTGTCTTATCGATATATGTGGCTTATCGCATTTTTGAATTATGACATCGATATTTTTCAGCATCCTGGCCATCAGTGGTGCCAAAATAGCTATTTTCCGGTCGGTGTTGGATGTATTAAAACAATTCACTTTCAAAAACCGTATATTTTGACTAATATTGTAATTATTATTTTATTTTAATATGATACATTCTAAATTTAACAAATCGTAATTATAAAAACAATAATTTTAGGACTATGACAATTTTTAAAATGTTACTTATTGTGTATCGATAACACTAAATATCGTACAAGAAGTATCAGGCACGCATTCTGAAATATCGATATGCTGCTTTATTATATCAACCCTAGTTCCGATCTCCTCGCTCCTCATTTCTTGTGCACAAAAAAGTGCATTTAAAAGTAAATACAATTGTGTTAAAAATACTATGCGTGGACGCGATTGAAAATTGTGAACTAAACCAAAAAAAAAGCCAAAGTGCGTGCGGTATGGAATTTTAACGCATTCGGTGTCAGCCTACAGCCAGCATCAAGAATTTGTATGTGTCGCGGTGCGGGACGCCTGCTGCTACTGCAACATACACAAGCGTTGAAAAAAAAAGAGGAGTGGTGGGCCAGTCAAAAGAACTTGGATTTCTGGTCTGACCGCTGTAAGTACAATGTGCATGTGTGAGTGTGTGTGTGTGCATGCACATACACATACACACACACTTAATCCGAATTGGGCATCAATTGTGCTATTCTTAAGGAACAGTTGTACAACTTCGATGCTGCCATATTTTTTTTAAGCTGAATAATTTTACCGCCTTTTTATGCCAAAGCACAAGCCCCGAAAAGCAGCGCGCAGTCAGTCAACGCCAGTCAATAAGAACAACGCAATCGCTCACCAGCGCTCGCACACACAAACACACACACACAGATTCGACTCACAGTTTCTGCACCTCTCTCGCACTTGCTCTCTATCTAACTCTCTCTCTCTCTTTGTTATGCCTTGCGTCTTTTCTGCCTCTCCCACGAGAAACAGGAACATCGAACACGAAACAAGAGCTCTGCACGAAAACACGAAACACAGCAGGGGCAGTTTCAAACAATTTAGAATATGGAGCAATAATTAATAAAATAAATATTCTTTAATTACCACAAAAAAAAAAAAAACAATTTATGCAACTTTTATAATTTTACTTAACATATTTTTTTTAATAAATAATTATAGCGTTCTTAAGCGTCTGATTCTACCAACTGTACTGCTGCCTAAAGAGTTGCTTAGTTCGATGAAAATACTTGCATTTTTAATTATTTTATTTTTTTCATATTATATAATAATTATTGACATAATTTTTTCAATATTTGTATATTGTACATATTTATTAATCAATATAAGCTATTAAGGGATTCAATATTTTAAACGTGTTGGGGTAGCCAACAAAATAAGGCGAGCTGATGAATACATATTGGTACTGTTCCGTTTTCATGAAAGATGCACGTAGTAGTAAGTAGTATGTCAAATGTATGTGCTCACTGTGTATTCGTGCAGGGCACGAAACGAAAGCGCCTCACGAAGAACTTTACATCGCGTTGCTGCTGCTGCTTCTGCTGCCTCCGCGTCTCATTCAATTTTCAGTTTGCTTTGCTCTGTACACCGTACACCACCGCCTCTCACCCGCGCGGCGATTTGATTTTTTCTACTACTACTGTTGCTGCGCTGCTAAAGTTTTTTCCACACTCACACATACGCACGCACTACTGCCACCACTACAATCAAGTAATTTTTATACATACATACATATAATGGCGTCATAAGAACATTTTTTGCGAATGTTTGTGCCAAAATTGCCCACAAGCAAATGGCGGGGGATGGGGTGGGAGGCAACATAGTGAAAAGTGCGCTTGCAAGCGAGTCGAAATAATCTAATTGGAAAAACAGTGTACATTTGTGAAATTCTAATACAATATTATCAAATGACTTTGCGGTCGACAATTGTGTCTGTATATGTGTGAGTTCGAGAGTGAGCGATATATTCAAGTGTGTGTGTGTGTGCGTATGTATAAGATACGTGAGCTGCTGTGTGCTCAAGTATTGTATCTGTGTGTGTACGTAATAAATATACACACATACCGAGTTCCCATTAACGTCATCATCGTGTCATTTTCTTGTTTGCAAGGCGGCGCAGGGTTGCATTTTCGAAAAAATGAATTTTTCGTATTAATAAATGCAAATGCAAGTGAGAAATTGTTTGATTGGGTGTGTGTGTGTGTGTGTGTGTGTGTGCTTATATCCATGTATGGCAAATATGACATTTTGTGTATAGCTGCCCCTCTCAGAAATTACATTCCTCAAATTTAGTTGGCTACCATATGTTACATTAAACTCAGATTTCCTATAAGAAAATACAATGAAATGCATTTTAATCTATATTATGGCAGATTCTCTTACAGTCTTTTTCTGTTCGAATATCGTTTATTTTATTAGTTGGTATTTTATTAAACAATTATGAAATGCACACTAATTGCCTTTGACGAAAATATGTCTCTCTCTCTCTTGCATCTCTCCGCTCAGCGCAAAAATATTGAGCGACAACTAAACAAAATTAAAAATAAAAAAATGCGGAGAATCGAGGCAACAACGGCAGCAATAATTATAACTATAACTCGAGTTCGGCATAGAATGTGGGCAAAGCGCAAAACTTGCTTGTATGCGCCGCCTGTACTGTTGTTCGCTCGCTCTCCGCTTCGGTTCGGTTCGGTTCGTTCCGTTCGTCGCGCCCGCCTTAGCTTTCATTTTTTCTCGTTTTGCCTGTGCCAGCCTTTTTCGCTTTATTTTGTACTTACGCTTTGCGATTCAATTCGTTTTTATTGGTTTTCCGCTTTAGGCGGTTGGAATTGTACGTAGCGTCGTCGTCGTCGTGCAAATCGTCAGAGGGGTGTGTGTGTATGGGGAAACGGGGGAGAGCATTGTCGTTCAATGAATAATGAGAGGCAATGTAAGTATGGCAGAGAGTGAGAGAAAGAGAGAGTCTAAGGCAGCAACAGCGTATGAGGGCGAGAGAGCGGGCAGCGAATATCGTGTGAGCGTGGAGAGCAAAATAACAAATAAAGCAAAGCATAAAAGTGCACAAAGCAAGGAAGAAAAGGCAAGGGCCAGGCAGGCCACACAGTAAAGAGACAGACGACCACAGGCCGAGAAGCCAGTGACAGAGCATTTCAGAGATAGAGAGAGAGTAAGATAGATGAATGAGAGAGAGGGGGCAAGCACAACTTTTTTTTGGCGGAACAGCCAAAAATGAAGCAAGGCAGAGAGCTCCAATATCTAAAAGACGGACGGGCAATGCACGCACATACCGCAATAGATAAAGCACATAAACTGACATGAACACATATGTGTGTGTGTTTGTAAATATATAGGAACTTCTTAGTTGTAGTAGTAGATACAATTAATTTTATTTGTTAGCACGTTATCGCATTTGACTGATTTTTAGATAGTTGCAATTTTCAAAATACTAATTAATTAATTAATTCAAAATACTAATTAAAAATGTATTTGCAATAAATACACATATGCTTATGTTTGTATGTACGTATTGGTATATTAACACGGGATTCAATTTCAATCGAGTTAACCATGCAAATTGTCTGTAGCTACCCCCACTCGCCCCTGCCCTTTAAATGCGTCGCAGTTTTCAAGCACACATACACGTGCATATGCATTGGTGTTTGTGCTTTTGCATATTGACTGCAAATAATTTTCACTTTGCTTTTCCCTCCCCTCCGGCTGTTTCCACTCCTGAACTTGTAGGCGGCTATCGGTAATAAAGGGCCGTGGTTGTGGTGGGGGGTAAAACTGTACCATGCCGCGGTCCGTTTGATAATTTCGCGTAAACATAAACACAAAACAAACTGTTGCTCACCGCTGTTGTTATCGTTGCTGCCTTTCTCTCTCTATGCAGGTGGCCTGAGCGTATCGAAATAAATACTGATTGCAAGTGCATGAAGCAGCCTGTTAACTGTTAAACACATTTAATATGATAATTCTCTGCTCCTCCTTCTGGTGAGGCAGCAATACGATGATGATTATTAAGGCCAAGCAACAGCAATAGATTACATAAAAAGGTGAGTATTGAATACTGGTGGTGTGCAGAAGAAGATTAGGCAGTTAACAGCATTTTAATTCCAATTGCAGTGTGAGCCTTACTATTTCTCAATTATTAGCTTAATGTGGTTGGTCGGCATTCATGTCAACAGACTCAAGATGCCGTATAATGATTTCCGCAGAAGCTGCAAAGAGGATGAAGAGATTGAATTAAACGCGACAGGCTGGGCAAATGTCAAAATTTTCAGGATGCTTCCAGAGCACGAATGTAGGAGAAATCCCCTCTCAGATCCCAGACGGTTCCTTCTAAGCGGCCAAATATGGCCTATGTGTGTCAACCCATCGGGTTGACTGCCGTCTAACCTAACCTAACATAGCTTAATCAATTGAACATTTTTTAAATGCCGAATTTATCCAACAGAAGAACAATGTCATAATTAAATGAAATGTTTACTTGTATAAAGTAAAATTTCCTTGTAAGAGTTGTAAAATCGAAAACTTAGCTTTCAATGCGTTAATCTCAGTTTAGAGAAAAATATTTAAGACATCTAATTAAATTAGAATTTAATGAAAAATATTTGGCGACTGAAAAGTGCATTTCCCAATTTCTCCAATTCCAAAATAGTATTTCTTATATTTGAGTATAAAAAGTAATATTCTTAAAGTTTTCTTTTGCTTTTTCCTAGTTATTTTTGTGCATAGCTTTAGTAGCATTTTGTCCGCTCCGCTCATTTTATTTGCCCGGGCCCCAGCAGCTTAAATTGGAGTTACACACAATAAAATGTATATGTATTACATATGTATATGTATGTGTACATATATTCTTCCTACCTCACCATATAAAAAGTGGCGCCCTTTTTGTGTGTTACAAGAGCTTCTTCTCTCCACATACCCCGTCTGCTGTTTCTCTTACGTATTTGTATTTGTTTTGTGTTTGTGTGTCGTCTGCTGAATTATTTGCTGGGCCAGTGAAAACAATCAAATGTTGTAAAGCCAGCCAGGAAGAGAGTGGGAGAGTGAGAGAGAGAGCCTGATACAAGAGCGCACGCAGCTTTAGCTGGGGGGGGGAGAGGGTAGAGTGTGCTGCTTAAGCGCTTACTACATCTCTGGCAGGACCTATGCAAACAATTTAATACGATTCTCTTCTCTCCGCTACCCGCCAATCCAACCATCCATCCAACCCCCACTCGTGCGCGCGCGCTTCGTTTCTCTCTCTTTATGCTTCGCACTTATTTAACCCCCCGCAGGCAGCTCTAGTTTTTCACACACACACACATATGCAAACACAAACACACACAGAGACACATGCAAACACTTACGCGTTGTCTTTAATCGATTTGTACTTCTTGATATTTACATCAGCCGCCACCTGCCACCTCTCGCACTCTCACTCACACTTTGACAATCTACTACCGCCTCTCTCTCCACGCGCTCGCTCTCAACACACACGCACACACATACACACATATATATATACATTCTATCAAATGCTTGCATACTCTGATTGGATATCTAAATCCTGAATCCTGCTAAGGCGAGGCATCGACTGCTGCGGCTCACTTCACACCCATCTTAGCAGCTCAGCTCAGCTCCACTCCCTTTTTCTCATGTCTGCATCTATACTTGTTTTATGTGTGTTTGTGTGTGTGTGTGTGTTAAGAGTGTGTGTGAGTTTTGGTTTTACAATTTATACAAAGTTATTTCATTGTGAGTGCAGAACTGTAGAACGCTCTTAGAACGCTTAAAACCTCTCTTTTCTCTACTGCTCCTGATGGATGGATGGGCCATTTATATCATTTTATCATCATAAAATCAATAACTGCCCCGCAGAATTTTTGAACATATTTACCACATGGCGAATTAGTCACTCATGTGTGTGTGTGTATATATTTATATATATATGTATATGCTGCTCAACTGTACTTGTGCACGTCTCATTGAAAAGGGTTAACGCTCGCCAGTCAATGCACCAGTTTTACATTTGTGCGCTTTTTACAACAACAAACAACAGCAACTATAAAAAGCGTTGCGCCCAACTAGCAAAATGTTGTCACACTGTTAACTGTTAACTGCTCTTCTCTTATTTGTTTTCTAGCACTGTTAATCTTAACATGCTGGCGAAATCATTTGAGAACTTAACTTTAATGAGAGAAGATTTCAAGTTTATAATTTTTGCTTACAGTCTTCATTTTTGTATCTCAACAATGTTTACTTGTTGCAGGTGAAACCTCTGGAATACATATATGGCGTGCAGTCGGAAGTAAAATCGATCAACTCCAAGAATTGACCAATAAGAATAGAGAGGAACAGAAGAATAAAGCTACATGGTAATTTGGCCAAGCGCTCCATCACATTTTTGATACACAAACGTTATAAATGTGTCCAATTTGAATAATCCGAGACAATAAATTCCACTTGACTTTTTGTAGCCACGACGGCCAGCAGCGAATGCAGTCGACAGCAGCAGCAACAACAACACTATGTAGACTGCAACAGACAACAGCTACAACAACAATAACAAGAACAAGAACAGCAATTCAAGAAGCAAGAAGCAACACAGTAGACAAACAAACTCAACCAACAAGATTCATAATATATATTTGTTTTACAAGAGGCGAAAAAAAGCGGCAACAAGATTGCACCGTTTAGTTTACTCTAAATGCAGCACGTGAGCGCTGCCAGTTCGGCACCTTCGGTGGTTTCAGCACCGGTGGTGACCACTGGCGGTGGCACCACCATCACCTTGGGCGGACCGCCGTCATTGCCCGGTGTAAAATCGACGGAATCATCTCATAAAGAGGACGGCGGCAAGCAGCCGCCACACGGCATTGAAATGTATAAAGTGAACATTGAGGATATTTCGCAGTTATTCACGTATCACGAGGTCTTTGGCAAAATCCACGGCGATGTGGTTAATCATGTGGCGGCGGTGCATGGCAGCCAGTTGCCACCGCCGCAACTGCCACCGCCGCCCCCCCTACCGCCACAGACGACGCATTCGGCAAGCGCAGCTGCAGCAGCAGCGGCAGTGTCCACAAATAATGCAGCCGTTGCTGCTGTAATGGCCTCGGCCAATGCAGCAGCCGCGGCTGCAGCAGCCGCATCAGTAGCGGCATCAGCACAACAGCAACAACAGCAACAACAACAGCAACAACAGCAACAACAACAGCAACAACAGCAGCAACAACAGCAACAACAACAGCCAGCGACAAGCACAAATGCTGGAAGCCAGCAGGGCATCGCCACGGTGACAACGACCAGCTCGGGCAGCAACGGGGGTGGGAATGGGGGCAACAACTCAACGACAACGACGGGTGAGTTGCTAATGCCGAAAATGGAGGGAGGCATCCATGGCGTTGATGGTCAGTCGAGCGTTGCGTTGGCGCCGGATGGCACGCCCATTGCGACTGGTACGCATGTGTGCGACATTTGTGGCAAGATGTTCCAGTTTCGCTATCAGCTGATTGTGCACCGCCGCTACCACAGCGAGCGCAAGCCGTTCATGTGTCAGGTGTGCGGTCAGGGTTTTACCACATCGCAGGATTTGACCCGTCATGGCAAGATCCACATTGGTGGTCCCATGTTCACGTGCATTGTCTGCTTCAATGTGTTTGCCAATAATACGAGTCTGGAGCGCCATATGAAACGGCATTCAACGGACAAGCCATTCGCCTGCACCATTTGCCAAAAGACTTTCGCACGCAAAGAGCATCTGGACAATCATTTTCGTTCGCATACGGGCGAAACGCCGTTCCGTTGCCAGTACTGCGCCAAGACGTTTACGCGCAAGGAGCACATGGTCAATCATGTGCGCAAACACACGGGTGAGACGCCACATCGTTGCGATATTTGTAAGAAGTCCTTCACGCGCAAGGAACACTATGTTAACCACTACATGTGGCACACTGGTGAGTGTGATTTGGTGACCGGGGGCGGACAATGCGAGCGGCGAGCGCCACGACCACAAAAACCAGATATACAAAAAAAAAAAAAAATATCAAATTGAAATTCCAAACTCAAAACAAAAAAATGCAAACCAAAAAAAAAACAGCAAAAATTTACAAAATAATTGAAATTATCAATATCATACAGAAAATCGATAACCGATACCAAAATTCCTGTAGAGTACAAAAAAAAAAGAGAGAAAAGATATACCAACCAAAATCAGCTACAGATAATATATCAACAGCCATCACATCACACCAACCAAAATCAATATCAATATCAATTGATCAATCAATCAATCAATCAAATAACCGCAACTGATCCTGCGTACTTCCTCTCGTCTGCTTCCTGCTCCTATCCAACAACTGTCTCTACATTGCCTATGCTTCCTATATATATATATAGGCCTTCTTATATGTAGCCTTCCAGTTTTCCCTGCATTTTGTACTCACCAACCACCTCACCACACCACACTCACAAATCGATCCCTACTATATTACTCCTAATGCTTCTGAAATGTACATTTTAGAGCTGCATAACTGTCGATAGTAAACACCATTTGATATCGATCAGTTCGATAGAACACTTTAAATGTTTATAAACCATATTAAGTGTTATTTAGTGATGACTAAATCAAAGCAAATCTATTCGATTATGTTAGTTTTTCTAATTTTCAATGATGTTTTTTTTTTCGAAATACAATTTTTGATACTTTGAAAAGTTGTTCAGTGATTATCGACTTTAAAGTCGATTATTTTAACTGTTTTGCAGTCCAAATTAATACTTTACAAATGAAACATCGATATTTTCTATAGAAATTATTTATGCTATCGATAAACTAGTTTTGAATAGCTTGAAATTTATATTTATATTATATGAATGCTGTCGATTGCTGTTCAGTTCCTCCGTACATTTTCAACTCTCGCTCAATACTCGCTCATACCGCTCATAACACTCCCCCCCTAAGCCAACATCACACACACACACACTCACAAATCACAACCACTCATCATCAATCCAAAACTCTCCACTCCACTCCACAATAACTACAACTACAACTACAATTGTAATCCTCTCAACCTGCGCTCCCCCGTTTTGTTTTGATCGTCGTCTTCATTACGATTTCTGCCTATTCGCCTATTCTTTTGCGTGTAGTAGTTTTGCCTGTGTACCCTCTACCTTCTTCCCCCGATTTGTCAACGATCTCCCTCTCTGCTGTACAGGGTGCAAAAAGAAAAGAATAAGATGAATTTATATATATATATATATATTTATATGTATGTATATATATACAATATATATATGTATAGGGAAGCGTTCGTTGTTGCTGCTTGTCGATTGCCAACGCGTCCTGTGCCTGTGCCTACGGCGTTAACTGTGCGACATACGTTGAAACACCCACTACCCACTCACACACACACACAAACACACGCTGCACACCTGAGACAGGTTGAGTGAGTTTCGTGGAGAGCGGACATCATCTGTGCACATGCAGAAGTGGGCTGAAAAGAACCGCAATTGACTCTCCAACACACACACACACACACACACATGCATTTAAGCTAGGCTTAGTTTTTGGCGTCGAACCCGAATTTCCTTCAATTTGGCGAACTTTACGTTCACACGCACACATCAGCATATATCAGCATAGCGCTCGAACTGGAAAATATAATTAGGGGTATTCAGTAGCATTCGCACACACTGCGATTTTAGCACTACATTTCCAGCTCTAGGCACTCACGCACACACACATACACACACCTCATATTCTCATACACATACACATGCGCTTCATATGATTCACAAAAAAACAAAATAGAAACACGAAAAACCACGCCCACCGCCCATGCGCCACCCACAAAGCCGAGCCTCCGTTCGCTTCGTTCGAACCCAACGCAAGCCACGGCCAGTTTCACACACACATAGCGGTGCCGGGGGTTTCCATTATTTGATTTGTTTTTCCAATTATATAAAATTTTTCTTAAATGCCATTTATTATTTTGATTTCGTTATTCACATATATTTATTCTTTTTTTTTTTTATTATTTTGGCGGGATTATTTGAAATTTTGCAACAATTATTATGTAGTGAAAAGAATACGAGAAACGATCGCAAAAAAGTGTTTAAAATGCTTGCGCTAATCAGAAAAAAAAACTCCCTACCCTATACTTTCTGTTCTCTGTTCTCTCTGTGTACCACAAAAAAAAATAAAATACAGGTCAAACACCGCATCAGTGCGATGTCTGCGGCAAGAAATACACGCGCAAGGAGCACCTAGCCAACCATATGCGCTCCCACACCAACGAGACGCCGTTCCGTTGCGAAATCTGCGGCAAGAGCTTTAGTCGCAAGGAGCACTTCACCAATCACATACTCTGGCATACAGGTAAAGAGACAAAACAGAATCAAACCAAAACAAAAACCACCACAATAATCACACACAAACCAAGTCCAAATATATCAGTCGCACTGGAGAGGAGGGAATCAATTTGCCACACACACACACAGTCAGTCAGTCGCACAACAACCACACACACATGCGCGATTGGTGCACGAGCAGTGATAACGAACTCTTGATGGGGGAGAGGGGCAAGGGATGGGCGTGATAAAAATACGAAAACAAGATAACAGCTTTTAATCAATCCAAAATTCGATAGGATTTATTCATTGACTATTGGAACTTATTTATAAAAATGAATTAAAAATATCTGATATAGTCAGAGTTTATAAATATTGCTTATGAATACTCTGAATTCTTAATTTACATTTGCATTTAATTGTGTGTGCTATCAATCAGAATACGCAGAGCATTCAAGATCATTAAGACGCATTTAGTTTAAATTTAGCAAATATATATAGACCTTTATCGGGTATTTTAAATAACAAAAGAGACTATAGGAATTAATAACTTGATTCTTGCCTAATTTTTGAGATAAATTGATTAAACGCCCATCCCAATTGAGAACGACAAGACTCGACTTCAATAAAGGACCCAATAATATTTAAATATATACATAGTGTATTGATTTGAATGAATGATTACTAATCTGTAATGTTATTTGTACGATTCTTACATTTTACCACGCAAGCAGGTGAGACGCCGCATCGGTGCGACTTCTGCTCCAAGACGTTTACGCGCAAGGAGCATTTGTTAAATCATGTGCGCCAGCACACGGGAGAGTCGCCGCATCGCTGCTCCTACTGCATGAAGACGTTCACGCGCAAGGAGCATCTGGTGAATCATATACGCCAGCACACGGGTGAGACACCGTTCAAGTGCACGTTCTGCACGAAAGCGTTCACACGCAAAGATCACATGGTTAATCATGTACGGCAACATACAGGCGAATCGCCGCACAAGTGCACATATTGCACCAAGACGTTTACGCGCAAGGAGCACCTCACCAATCATGTGCGACAGCATACGGGCGATTCGCCGCATCGCTGCTCCTACTGTAAGAAGACGTTCACCCGCAAGGAGCACCTGACGAATCATGTGCGTCTGCACACGGGCGACTCGCCGCACAAGTGCGAGTACTGTCAGAAGACGTTTACGCGCAAGGAGCATCTCAATAATCATATGCGCCAGCACTCCAGCGACAATCCCCATTGTTGCAACGTCTGCAACAAGCCCTTCACACGCAAGGAGCATCTGATCAATCATATGTCGCGCTGCCACACCGGCGATCGTCCCTTCACCTGCGAGACGTGTGGCAAATCCTTCCCACTCAAGGGCAATCTGCTGTTCCATCAGCGCAGCCACACCAAGGGGCAGGAGTGCGAGCGTCCATTCGCCTGCGAGAAGTGCCCCAAGAATTTCATATGCAAAGGTGAGTCAATCACTCAGTCAGCCAGTTAGTCAATCAATTCAGCAGCAGAGTGCAGCACGCGAGACGTGGCGTCAGCATAGTAGTCCTCCTAGTCCAGCCGCTTATCTGCTACCAACCAATCAATCCACTATCCAACTCCCCCTCTCCCTTTCCCTCCCCCAATCCCCATAGAAGCCACACAGTACAGCGAATAGTCTGGAACAAAAGTCAAAAAGTCTAGTTTTTCAAGAATTTAGCTAACATTTTATTATTTTGTTATATTTAAATTAATCTATATGAATAACTGAAGACTGTAAGTATGTGTCCAAAATTACTATTAGCTTCCAAAGGTAAACCATAACAAATATTTGAAAGTGCAAGTGTAATTTTAGTGAAGAAAATAAGATTAATTATTTTGCAAGGTAAGCTAAATCGCTAAATGGATTCAAAAGTTAATTTTTGAAAGAAAATAAGTTAAGCTAACACATAATAATTAATAATAATATTATTTTCAATTGAAATCCAAGCTAATATTTATATTTCAACTGACTTTTGTGTCCACTATTCGCTGCACTCTGTTCGATCGGTTGAGTTGCCTGCCCCAATTATATCCACTATATACTTCCTCAAAAAAAAAAAAAGATTGAAAGAAAAGTATGAGAAGAAACGCCCGCCGCCCGCTCGCTCGCTCGCCTTAATTTGGTTTTGGTTCTGGTTCGACTGCCCGCCACAGGTCAAGTCTGAAGAGTTGCCCCCACCAAGCCCCACAAAATGATTTGTTTTTTTTGTTGTTGTTGTTTGTTGTTGTCGAAATTCGATAGAGATCCTTGTCGGCAGATATCTTCATGTCGCTTCCATTGTCCGTTTCGCAGGTCACTTGGTCTCGCACATGCGCTCCCATTCGGGAGAGAAACCGCACGCGTGCACACTGTGCAGCAAGGCGTTCGTCGAGCGCGGCAATTTGAAGCGCCACATGAAGATGAATCACCCGGATGCTATGATGCCGCCACCACCCGTGCATCCGCATCCGCAAATACCGGCTGGTGTGCTGACCCAAGTCAAGCAGGAAGTGAAACCGATCATAAGTGAGTCGGACACAATTCATACAATTAATAAGAAGTCACGAGACACGCGACGTGTCTCCCACAACTACGCTCGTTCAATAACCAAACTAACCGACTCTTCTCCCCTCCTCCCACCTGCCCGGCACATTACAGTTCCCCATCACTCGGCGACGACGACGATGCACACCATCCAGCAGATAACAGCGGGCGCCGCAGCGGCGGGCGGCGGGGCCGTCCAGTTAGCGCCCGGCCTGGTGCCGCTGGTCACTAGCTCGCTCATCTCGCACAATGCACAGCAGTCACAGAAGCAGCAGCAGGCGGCGGCAGCAGTTGCTGCCCAACAGCAGGCGGCAGCAGCAGCCGCTGCACAGCAACAGGCGGCCGCTGCGGCGGCAGCCCAGCAGCAGGCGGCGGCGGCAGCAGCGCATCAACAGCATCAGCAACAGGTGGCCGCACAACAGCAACAACAACAGCAGCAGCAGCAGGCTGCCGTCGCTGCGCATCAGCAGCAGCAACAGCAGCTGCAGCAGCAACAGTTGCTCCAATTGTCCATACAGCAGGCGGCCCATCATCATCAGCAGCATCAGCAGCAGCAGCAGCAGCAACAGCAGCAGCAGCAGCAGCAACATCACCAACAGCAGCAACAGTCGCATCCGCAGGCACCGCCACAGCAGCAACAGCAGCAGCAACAACAGCCGCCGCCACAGGTGCCAATCGCATTGATAAGTGATCCGACTGCGCTGGCACGTGCCGCCATGCAGCTGCAACATCTGCCCACAAATGTGGAACAGCATCCGGTGGTTTACTAACAGTAGCCCCTGCTGCATGGCTACCCAGCGACGGCGGCGGCGGCCACAACAACGACCACAACACAGTGGTGAAGAAGCACACAAAATCCGGCGGCCAATCGAAACTGAGAAACAAGAACAACAACATCAACATCATCAACAACAACCACAACAAGCAGCTAGTTAGTTATATAACAACAATATAAAGCGTATTCATTTATATAGTTTTTAACAAAAACAAACAGCGCGCTGGGTACGCCTTGAACCCCAATCTGTATCCTCCCCCGCCCCCTCTCATCTCATCTCGTCTCATCTCATCCCGTCTATCAGCATCCTCCTCCCAGTCTCTGGCGACAACTTGCGCAACGTGCAATACAAGAAAAAGAAGAAAACATCTCATCATTTTATTTCCCTTCCAATTGTTCTCTAACCGATCTTTTTTAGACGCTTAGCGTCTATATAATATTATATTTGTATATATACATATATATATATATGTGTGTGTGTATATTTTTCACGTCCCTGTTACATTTATGAAATGTACGCGCAACGTCAGCGATGGGCGTGGCTGTTAGCTGTGCTATCGGCCAAGTCAACAATCAGAGAGGGTACTTCATCAATATTGGGTTCCAACAAGTTGGATCAGTTTCGTAATCAATTTGATTTTTATCCGTTTTCGGGCTCCTGTATTTCTTATATTATTATTATTATATTTTTCTTATTAAGCTATCTATGCATAGGAAGTGAGAGAGACATTCATATATATAAAACTTACAAGGCATCCTCATATACCACATACAACAATTATCATAAGTATATATATTTATGTATACACATACATATTAACTAACATAAATTACATATACTTTGTATATAGAAAGAAAACTGCAGCAAAACTTTGGAAAGTCATTGGAAAAATTATTGTATTATTTTGTGCATTTTGTAAGGCAAAGTATGTAAATGAAAAAGCTTAAAAAAAAGCTAAAACATACAAACATACATACATAGAAACTACACATATACATACATACATACATACATACAAACATACATATTATGCTAATAGCAGCGCCCAGTTAATATAAAAAAAATCGCCGCCGCCCCCTCTACCTTCAAGTCCCGTTAATATTTAAGTCAGACAAGTTGTTGGTTGCTTATCCACCACAAATAAATGAGAAAGCGAAGATGAAGAAGAAGAAAATGAAAATAACCTGCTATATATGGGGCAAGGCGTATTAGAACAGTTAACTAACTAACGAGCGAAGGAAGAAGCAGAGGGTGACGCGTAGGCTAAGTCGAGAACTAACGAGAGTTGAGAATGCATGTAAGAGAAGAAGAAGAAGATAAATATATATATATATATATATATTATTATTATATTTAATGTTAGTTGAACTACTAAAAATGATTAAGATTGATGATAAATGAGACAGAGAACGAAAGTGGATTAGTTTTTAGTTACATCTACGAAATGTGTGTGTGAATCAGCGCACGCGCTATCTTTATGATTACGATTATGATATATGACAACAACAAAACAACAAACAAAAACGAAAAAAAAAAACAAAACTAAATCAAGAAGTTATAACCTCCCCCCCTACACACACACACAACAACAAATTCACACACACTATTAAAGTTAACAACAATAATAAATAAAACTTGGCACAACTCACAATTAAATATAACAATTACTGTGCTTATGTTGAAAACAGCAACAATATATAGAAGAAGCAAGCCCCAAGCGCCACAAGCAACAACATATCTGCTTTAAATTTTACAAAAAAATAAAAAACAAAAAAATAAAGAATAAAAAAAAACTATTATTAGATGAGTCAAGTTTATTCATTTTTAAACACCACACACATAATGCTTCCTTTTAAATGCAACATTTTAATAATTTAATATTTTAATTAAACATTTATAATTTAACAAAAAAAAAAGAAGAAAATTGTACATGTACACAAATAAAACAACATACACAAAAAAAAATAACAAAAATTGTGGTTGGTTTTGCTTTGATTCGTTCATTTTGAAAGAGTAAAAAATGCGAATCCATTAATTATTTTCAAGACATTTTTTGGCGGCTATAGAAGTTTTAAAATATATACTAAGAATGCAGGGAACAATTGAAAATTGTAAAAAAGAAAACATAAAAAAAATACGAAAAGTAAAACAAATGTTGCGCGCATAAATTAAATTGTTTAAACAAAGAGAAGAAAAGAAAACACAAATTATTGCGAAGTTTTAGCAGATTTTTGATTGTATAACGAGTCGCTTAAGTCTTATGTATTTTTATATCGAAGAAGTGCAGCTAATGAATTCAAAAACTTTGAAAACTTCGCATAATTGTAAAAAACAAACACACACACAAACAATACACACACATGCATACATATTTATGTAGTTGTTTTAGCCGTGTTAGTTTTTGGTGTTTTTAAAATAGATTGGTGATGTGTATAGTAGGACGCAGTATAAAAAACAAATATCGAGTATATATTGTACGATTATTAACTTATATATTAACTGATTAACTGTATCAAGCGTAGCAAGCGAATGGCAATTCTTTAGGTACATATGTACTAACAACAAATTTCAATTGTGTTGCAATATTTAAATAAATTAAATGTTAATTTGTAAGTATAAAAACAGACACACACACACATACAAACACAAACACCACCCACACACTTACAAATACACACGTAATACTAATAATAATAATGATAATTATTATTAACAATAAGCTGCTGAGTCGCAAATGATTCCTAAAACGCCTGGCAGCCAATTAAAGCAACAATAAAGAAAGAAAACAAAACAAAAGTAAAACATAAATCAGTAACAATACTAAGTAAATAGAAACAATAATGTACTATAATGCAGATACAATATATACACTATATATACCTACAATATATGCCTATACCGACAAATGAAATTGGATGAATAATAATAAAACATTATAAATACAACATAGAATATATTGTAAAAGTTAAATGTAATTAAATACATACAAATTGATGACGTAGTAAGCACCAAACAACAAATAAACAAAAAATGAAAAAAAAAACGATAAATAATAATAATGACGAAGCAACAACACAACAAACAAATTTTAAAGGTAATAACGAAAGTTTGCAAGTTTTTTGTTTACAGTTTGCAGATAATGCGCTCATTTCTGGGGAATACCACAATAAATATTATGGACGCAAGGATATAAAGGAGTCAACGATATCGGCTTGTTCTAGGTATACTCTTTCGAGAACTGCTGATTTCCTTTTACCTGATGTAACATTTAAAGCGGCAGATCGGGTTTTTAAATAGTTGCTGCCACCTCCAGTGGCTTTGGTATTAAATTGCATCTAACATTGTTGTAGACAGACCACTTAACAGAAACTAGATTAATAGGTGTCTATGCATAATTATACACAAATGTGACAAATTGCTTGTAACATTGTTGCAGGCAGTTTTTTATAAATAAATAATGAAATATTGCCTGATGCTGATGCAAATTGGTTCTGGAATTCAATGCGAAAATCCTGCGCTATATCATTATAGATATATTTGATATTTATATATTTAATAAACGTATTTTTGCTTGATGAATATGCTAATGCTAAGTGAGCGCAGTTCTATAAAAATAAAAGCAAAATTCCACTGAGCGACTATCGGCTCTGAAAACTATGGGCATGCCGATAGTCGCAATAATCGCAATAATCGGCTGGCTGTGGCACATCACTAACTGAAGACGGCAGGTAGGTGGATGCCGCCGTTGCCTGGAAAAAACCACCCCTAAAGGAAGTCACGTTTAGGTAGGCAGGCGTTGGGAATTATGGAACCTAGACAGCTGGCGGAATTGCATTTATTTGGCAGTGTTTAAAATGCGCTGCGACTGCCAACAGCTAAACAAGAACGGCAACAGCAGCACTCCAATTTCCAAGCCAGCCCACAGATGACAACAGCAACAATAGCAGAGCAATCATCAGGTAAATTGAAACGGCCTTGAGAATATAACCACTTCGGAATGCCAAACAATAACTATCATCTGCAACTTAGAGCCGGGCCGACCCCCTTCGCTGCTGCAGTTGAACGATGACGTTTTGGCCTTGATACTGACCCAGTTGAGTGTGTATCAACAGTTTCAGCTGACACACATGCACAGTCGCCTGCGGAACATTGTCCAAACGCTGTGGCGCACGCGCGTCCACAATGTTGTGCTGCACGATGAGCAGCTGTGCCGGGCCACGTCGCGACAATTTCAGAGATTCATGTTGGCCCTGGCGCCACATCTGGAGCGGCTCAGTTGCCAGCAGCTGGATGTGCGAAGATTGCGTATGCTCAGTGGACACTGTTTGCCGGGCGTGAGTAGCCTCGAGTGGTTGGGCAGCGAAGCGCAGCCGCGACGTGGACGTGTCCGTTTTGTGGATGAGGATGTGCGTCTGTTGAGGCGCGTCTTTCCATCGCTGCGCAAACTGAAGCTGCGCGGCTGCCAGGTGACGGGCAAGTATCTGTGTGAGCTGGAGCTGCTCAGTGAGCTGTGCCTGGACGAGTGTCAGTATCTGGAGTCGCAGCACTTTCGCGACATATTCCGTCAGCTGAAGCTGCGCACATTTGACATAATGGAGGATTGCGATGAGGTGAACTGCTGTGATCTGGTCGACGTGCAGCTGTGTCCTACGCTCGAGCACATCAAGATTGCCGACTATCATCTGTGCATGGAGTCGGACATAACGCAACAGCTGCTCCGATTGCCCCGGCTGCACAAGCTATCCATCTACTCGAAGAACTTTGTGTTCGATGTGCTGGCGCGCATAGCGCGGCCCAGCAGCCCAGCCACAGCTGGCGGCACCAAGCAAATCGAGGGCTTCTCTTTCAGTGGACTACTCCACGACTATGAGCGCTTCTTTCGCGAGCTAAGCAATCTGCGACAGTTGCGCCGCCTGGAGGTGCACGGCCAGTCGAAGGATGAGGGCCAGCTGCAGTGCCTCAGCGATCAGATGCTCTCGCAGTTGGCCGTCCAGCTGCCAGAGCTGTGCGAGCTGCACCTGTGTGGCCATCAGCTGGAGAGCCCGGCTGGTCTGTTGCAATTCATTAGCAACTGTCGCCAGCTGCGCATCTTGGACATGACGAGATCACGTTGCGTTGGTGAAGCGTTCATCACACGCTGTCTGACGGCGCTGTCCAAGCAAAGCTGGCGCACTCAGCCACTGGAATTGTGGATCCGACAGAGTGACATTAATCCCAGCTGTGTGCAAGTAGGCGTGCAAAACAAATAATACCTGATCTCATTATTGATGCATCACTAATTTCCACATTTTGCTTTGCTTGTAGAACCCGCGATACTTGATCAGTGAGAGATGGCTGAGAATTGATACCAAAAAGATGACGCCCAATATGGATTATGTGTCCGGTGTGCTCAAATTTAGCTTTGTAAGATTGTAATTGATGACCTGCCCCAAACTGTGCCTAACCCAACAACATTATTATTAATTAGCCCTGTATTATAATCGAATTAAAAACAAATCGCCTAAGCACTGAATTAAATATGAAAATTTAAATTTCACTTACATTGATTTATTGCTTTTTATTTAGTTCAACTTATTAATGACATTTTGATTATTTTGTATTCACGAGGTACGAATGGAATCACCCTCCTAATCTTTCATTGCAAGTAGTATATAAATAATAGGATAGATTTCCGTTTCTAAAATTCAAGCACGTTTTTCTACAACAAAAAATAATAAATTAAATAAATTAGATAGAATTTCTTAAATGAAACCTTTTTTTTCCTTATATTACTAAACCTTGAAATTTTAAATTTGACTTATACACAAATTTCAGATATTTTATAAATTCATTTGATTTAATTTGAAGCCACTTTTGATCACGAAAAATTTCATTACTATTTTCTGAATTTCTGAAAATTTGTTTCTTCCTTTTAGATAACCGCTTTTAACGGAAATTTTTGTCGTATATTTTGAAATTATTTCTACAAACATAAAAATCATTTTAGTTCTCCCTCAATTCTTGCACTAAAAACGAATTTATAGCAGATTTGAAAAAGAACCGCTGAAATCTATAACTAATATATTTTGAAGACCTTCGACCTTACTTTAGAATATATAATGAATATAAAAACATATTATCGATTAGTAGAAATTAATAGGTACTTGAGATTCGTAATCTGAAATAAATTGTGAATTAGTAAAAATCTGTCTATTAGGCAGAAAAAAAACATTACAGTTTATTCGAATCTTGATTGATGACTTATTCATCAACTGACAATTAGCGATACTCAGATACTCAGATACTCAGATACAATGTAATAAGTCAATAAAAATGTATAACATCGTTTTACAAAAGATATGTAAAACATATATATATATATTTGTATATCAATATCAAATATATTTATATACATTTATGTTTATAGTAGTTGTATGTTGTTGTTGCGGTTGTTCAATTTTATCACATCAGCGCCATTGCTCATTGGGTCCAAGTGCGATTGGAACGTGGCTCTGTCAAGTCTTATCAGTAAACGCACGGAAAACTGGAAAAACACGAAAATTTTGTAGATTTAGTTGGCTGCAACTCTGTTGCCCAGTTGCCGATGTTGTATTTTGCCGGCCAGGTTAGAGTTTAAGTGATAACGCATGAGTACGATGCGAGTGACGGGTGGTGGCACTTATGTGGTGCCCCCATTTCGGGGTAAATGTTGCCGCGTCTGCCCGGTCTCCGGGCAACTGTACGCCACCAAATCGTTAAAAGATAACCTGCGCCAAGATTATGGATCGGTTGAACCGAGTCGACCATTAAAACAACACTAAGTACTGAGTGCACAAGCATTAAGAATTAAACACAGTATTGTATGGCCAATACACTGCACAAAAATTGTTTCCATCAAGTCATTGACCGATCCACCATGCATACAAGCAGATAAGCTGATTATTATTATTATCAGGCTGAAAATGTTGTCAACTCGATCGGCGTCTGTAAAATGTACTCACTTATTTTGTACAGTGCATCAATGAACTTTCTTTAGGTGCTGTATCAATTCGTTGCAACGCCGCATAATAATCGTTTTGCGTTCAGTTTTCTTTTTATTAATATTTGTTTTATGTGTGTGTGTGTGTGTGCATGTGTGTGTATTTGTTGTTGTTTTTTTGTCAAGTACTAAAGTAGCAGCATGTTTCTTAAAGTAGTCAGTCGTTATCAAGTCGGCACTTTGAGCGTTTCATATGCGTCTCCGGGAAACTGGAAAATCTTTTGAGCACCGGTTCAACTTGCAGGATTCAAACAAAATACAACAAATAAAATCGAGCCAGTCAGCGAAGTCAACGGTATTTGTGGCATTATCAGTGAGAAAAGAACCCGATGTGCATTATCAGAGTTGAGTGACGATAACCTATATGGACCTTTGTGTCTTCGGCTCGACATTAACAGCAAAAGACAATCGAGAACAGGTGTTTATAGCAAGAGTGATTAATCTGTTCTGTGCCGTATCATTGGAGAGGCCATCCAAATCAAATTACCGAGGTAAGTCATCACCTTATGAACCAGTCAACTCGCTAATTATATATTTATAGAGTGTTTTGACATACATTAAATTGTAAAATTATTAAGTCGAGCTATTATGATTATATATATCCAAGCGACACTGAACTCATAAAAGCGTTGCTAGAATTATTCAAATTATTTGTGCAACGTATTAAAGCAAAGCAATGCAAAGCAAACCCATATTATAATATAATATATATAATTTATTATATTTGATAGCTATTTGTGTATCTATCAGTTTTAATCTCTCGGTGCAAACTAATCTCTCCGTTTTAAGACTATCGTGTTGAAAGTTCTACTATTTCTGCCGGATTCATCGATTCTGAATCTCCCTAAACAAATAATCAGTATTTCCAGTATTACGTATCCAAACTCACTACTCGCGCATATAATTATGCTCTTAATATTTTAAATAAAAATTGAAGTATTGATCATGTAGTTCATGAAGCAATCCGGTTCTTGGTACATATTTGTTTATATTTATTTCTTTTTTAATTTTCAAAATAATGTATTATAAATATTTCATTTCTATTCTTTATTTACTTATTTTATAAATAGTTTACTAATCATTATTTTTCTATTATTTATTTGTTGATAAACATTATTATTATTTATTTACTCCTTTTTATTTATTAAAAAATTCTGTACTACAATTTTTATTTCGTGTTTTCTTTTGTGGATCATTCATGTTTTCTTTGAATTGACGTTGATGGCTTTTCTATGCTTATAAAACTTAAAATTTATTGTAGTTTTTCGCGTCGGGGAAATGCAACAATTTGTAATAAATACAAAGAAATCAGAATATATTTTAGTTTTATTGCCAAGCTTTAATAGTGGCGCATAATAAAACTAAAGCAGCGCATTTATTTATTCACAAGCCCGAACTGGAACCAGCGGCTTGCGACAAACGCGTTTAAATACATACAGGTATACATATGTACATACATAAGCACGTACAGAAAATCGTCGATAACGGGGGGATACATTTATATTTATCAATTACGATTATGAATACAGAAATTGCTTGGGCCCGCTTGAAATGAGATCAATATGAGAATATATTGTTGACTACAACCTGGGTGTTTTTTATCCGACCTTGATGAAATTTGGACAGTTGATCAAAAATATGTTAGTGTGTATTATGTACTAATTAGAGTCTTTAAATTTATATAAATGTAATTTATATTCGAAATAAGTCTGTAGCTATTGTAGTATCTGAGAAGCGCGGGTTCATACAGACGGACAGACTGACATGACTATATAGACTCGGCTGTTGATGCTGATGATGCCTCCATCTTCCTGTTACATACATTTGCAGAAAACCATTTGCAATGGGTTCAGGGTATAAAAATAGTTTTAAGAATGTTGTCGGCTCGTCCTAATTGCTCCAAAAGAGAAAAAGAGCTCAACGATTTTGGCTTGCAGCTCTTTTCTCCTGGGGATGTGGTCAAGAAAATTTTATTTTGTGGTTTACAAGAGAAATTCAGACGACGTATCTGAAATTGAATTCAAAGACGTCAAGGTTATGTGATCTTGTCGCGACTAGTTAGTCTGAGCAGAAATTTGCTATTTTGAATAATTAATTTGCTAAGGAAAAATGTGTTAAAGTTGTGACAACAACAAGCAAAATACCTAATTTTATGATATTTTTAATTTATGAGAAATACTTGACTTGAGCCCGGATTAAAGCGTGCGTAAACTATTGCAAGTAATTGATTCAATATTAACTACTTACTGATCGTTATATATTTAAGAGCAAGTACATAGTACAACCGCTGAGCCAGTTGACATAAATTAAGCGACTAGCTATTTGAATCAAGAACGTAACTTGATACTAAACTCGAGATTCATTTCAGGCGCAACCATCGTGCTATGAGTGACATGATTGCAAAAAATCGGATTGCCTTGACCAGTCTGGTGGGTGTTGTGCTCGCTCTGTTGGGACTCGTCTATGTGCTCAACCTTGAGCGCATACAACGTCGCGCCTTGGAGTGGGTAAGTGCAGCCAGGACGAATGGATTATCCATCAGCCATATCAGGACACTATCAATTATTACATATCATGCATACTTTCAACAGTTTATGGTGCTCAAACCCAATTCGATGCTTAGCAATCTGTGGCAATCACCCAATTTGAGCATTGCGGTAAATATTTACATCTTTAACTGGACAAATTCGGAACACTTTAACGATCCGAATGTGAAGCCACGCTTCGAGGAGCTCGGACCCTATTCATTTACGGAGAGTCAACAAAAAATGAACGTCGTCTGGCATCTAGAGAATTCCACCGTATCCTATTTGCGTCGTAGTCGCTTCTACTTCAATGCCACGGCCAGTAGCGGAAAACTGAACGACACCATTGTGTGCCCCAATACTCTGAGCGTTGGTCTACTCAATAAAATGCAGAACTGGAGTCCATTTCTGCGCACCCTCATGCTCATGGCCATGAACATGTATGGAACGGAGGCGACATTCAAGAGGTCTGCCGATGACTGGCTATTCAATGGCTTCGATACGCCGCTGATAAAGATGAGTAAAATGGTTCCCACCAAAATGATACCCCAATTGCATTTCCCTTACGAGCGCATTGGCTACGGCTATCCGGTAAGATTGATTCTATGCAACACTTTTAAAGCTAACTTTAGTTTCATTTAAGAAAGAACCGTCTTTTAGGCAAATCGAAGATTGTATACTCTTCTTGAGAGAAGTCAGCCTTCTGACATCCAAATTTTTCAACAATTTAGTTTTTATTTTTTTATGAGAACTTCATATTTCACTTTTGTGTTGTAATATTTTATCAGAATGGGATGGATTTGATAAGTGGATAAAACTAATTTTCGTATGAGAAAAAATATTACCACCGATTATGACGGATATTTGATTAAGTGATACGATTCGATGAAAGAAATGAAGTCATGGCAAGTCATAACGCTACTTTTAATTGAGAACTCAATCTTTAATGATATTTAATGATTGCAATAAGTATTTTATACCTGATAATTGAATCATATTTATTTAAAATAAGCAGTCGGTTTTAAATTAAAATTAGGAAATAAGAATAGTCATGAGTGAATGGTTCTTCGAGTTTGAATAGCAAAATGTTTTAAGTAACTTTTGCATTTACAATAGCCTTTATTTTCCGAGTGTACCATGGAAAATTGCTAATAAATTGATTCTCGCTCACAGCGCAATAGCAGCACAGAGATCTATGGTCATTTTAATGTCTACACCGGACTCCAGGACTTTAGTAAATTGGGTCAAATTGCGCGCTGGCGTTACGACAATGTCACCAATGGTCATCCCAAGTGCAAGCTGCGTGGTAGCATGGGGGAGTTTCATCCCAGTCCACTGCGGCAGGGTGAGCCGATCTCATTCTTTCTGCCCGACCTTTGCCGTGAGCTGAAAATCGATTACGCGGGCACAATGGACTTTGAAGGTCTCGAAGCTTACGTCTACAAGGGCTCGGCGAGGAATATGGCAAATGGTAGCATAAATTACTCATCAATCAATCAACCACTATTTGACCATTAATTGAAATTTCAGGAACTGACAATCCAGAGAACAGCTGCTACTGCACGGACAACTGCCGGGAAGTGCGTTCGGGCCTGTTGAACATCTCCACCTGCTGGTATGATGTGCCCATTTTTGCCTCATCGCCACATTTCTATAATGCGGATCCCTATTATGCTGATGCAGTAGATGGGATGAAGCCGGACAAGGATCGCCATGAGATTACCGTTATACTAGAGCCCAAGACTGCAATGCTTCTGGACATCAAGGCGCGCCTGATGATCAGTCTGCTGGTGGAACCGCGTCCAGAATCGTAAGTAAAGAGTATTAATCTCAGCATTGTATAGAAAATAATAATTATTGTTAATCTTCTCATGTGTCCAGCGTGTTTCGCAAATCACGTAGCAATTTCTTTCCGCTCGTCTGGGCCGACTACAGAGTTCGCATTTCACCGGATCTTTTGTTTTATTTAAAACTCGTACCGATCTCTGCGCTTGTCGGAAAGGTCTGCGGCTTTGTAGCCATAGCCTTGGGAGTTATGATGGTACTTTGGTATCCGCGACAGATGCTGTTGCAGAAACATTTCATGCGCAAGATCGATATTACCAGCATGGAGACCCGCATGCAGGCAGCCACAGCGAATACGGAACTCAAGAATTATGCGGTGGAGGGTTCACCACTGCTTGTGGGATTACAATTTGTGGCGGCATCGGATGACTCGCAGCGTGCCAGTTGAGAGCATGTGTCATATTAATAGATTTAAATGTAATGTGATAAGGAGTAGTTTCTAGAGTTGAATATGTTTGAGTCTAAGTAATACTAAGTACATACAGAGTAAGAGTGTTAGTGGTGTTTAAAAAGTAAGCTAATAAAATATCTTATATTTCTCTTTTTATGTGTGATTTCTTCGTCAAGTCCATACATTGTTGAAATTATCTACTCGCTTATTTCATGATAGCTGAAAATACAAAGTTCTCTTGCTCAATAAACTTTATGAATATTATTGTAATTGGGCTGTATTTAAAACTTACCTTCTTGCAGGTTACTCGGGTATTTTTTGATTTTGCTATCAACATTTTCTTAATCACCAAATTCAAAACCTCACTAATCAATTACTGATAAGCATTTCATAAGAACTATACGAGACACTTAGTATATGTATGAGTATATGAATATATATGTGATCTGATAAATGTTGACATTCCAACATTCCATTTTATGCTGAAAAGGGATCGAGTCCGTTAAAAATATGAATTTAAATTATGTATTACCGTTTACCGAGCAGTGGTGTACCCGTTTCGGAGAGATGGAACCGGTTTTGTCATGGATGGCCAAGAAGTACACACATAGGCAACGGGAGATGCAAAGAGATAATGTTGAGAGAGAGCGAGAGCGAGAGCTGCTACGCTCTTTTGCTGCTGCCACTCTCATTTCTGTGCGCTTACCCTCTCAGTTGTAGAGTTGCATCGATGTTCTGAACATTTTGTATAATGAAATCAGCGTTGCATCTACAAGTTACAGAGACAGACTATAAAATTATAGTAACAATTTAAAATTCATTGAATGTCTAATCGAAATAGAACTGCGTCAAATAGTATACCAATTTAGAATATGACAACTAGTGGAATACTGGTGTAGGGTATTTTGATGTCGACCAGCTGCTGAATAAGCAGCTACTACTTGCTTTTAATGAAAAATATATAATTGCTGCTTGGTGGCTTTTCGAAAAATAAAATTGCTTCAGTCGCAGAACAGGCGTAGTGCCGCTCAGACATGGTGATCTTGTGACACGTGGTTGTTTGGCAGGGTTCAAGATCAAGTTAACGGTGCGTTGTCGTCTGGCTATATTAAAACAAACGCGCGCGAGTGAGATGCAAGTATGCGAGAAATAGACGCCACCAATACAAATACACACGCATTAAAACCACAAAGTGCATTTAAAGAAACGTTTTGATTTTATTGTGGTCATGAATATTAATGGAAGTGTAGCTAAAATTAAAGAGTATTTGAGAACAGAGCATGTAATTTCAAAAATAACAAGAGGAAGCAGTAAAAGTGACAAGTGCCAAAGGTGTTAACCAAAGTCGCAGACGTTGAAACCAAAACAACGCTTAACAGCTAAAACGTAAGAAAAAAAATCCCTACGCACATAATTAAAAAGTTGTTGCTGAGAGCACGCGAGTGTTTGTGTGTATGAGTGTGAGAGAGAGCACAAGGCGCGGGCGCGAGAGCGTTAAGCCCGCAGCTGAATACGAATATGAATACTGGCGAAACGAGCGTACGCTCCTGCTAATTGTATATCGCTGATAAAACAGTAAACATTAAACAAAATAAAGAAATACGCTGCCATTTTGTTGGAGTTACGTTTCGCAAATCATACTGTGACGCATAGTGAGTTTTGTGAGTTTGGCAAATTAAGATTAGCACTACACATAGAGAACATATAACAGTACACATATGTATGTATGTGTGTATGTATGTATGTATGCATGGTTATATGTTCATTTTGGCACATTGCACTGTCTTGATCTATTTATAGGTGTATCAACACATACAGCATATGAACATAGTGAAAGAGCATAATATGTCAACAGGTTGCGGAAGTGACGAGCTGCAGAACAACAACAGCTCAAGGATTCCTGTGCAAGTAAAATATAAAAAACCTTGTATTCTTATTTGCACTTCATACAATAAACCCCATTAATGTTCAGCTTAAAGTTGCGTTTTTTATTTTTTATAATTGTACGAGGCAAAGTTGTTGCCCCCAATCCATGACTAAGTGTTAAATTCGTGTGATTAATTTTCTGTTTCTGTGTCAACAAAGCAAAGTTAAATAATCAGAGCACTAGGCAAAAAACTGGATGGTGGCTGTGGGCGTTGTTCACAAATGCAGCTAGTCGAGTAATGGAACACCCATTTTTTTCCTATATTGTTTTCAATATTTATTTAACCTTGCTACGTGTGCATCGATTTCAAAGTAAACACACGTACATTTGCAGCACATATGCCCAGGAATGTTGAAGTGCTTTTGTGCTGCATCAACAACAAAAGGCCTAAAAAAAACAAAGGCCGCGTAGCAACAATAATAATATATTACACCCACTCCAACTGTAAACGAACCGGTTTTTTTTAGAGCCTGGCTAAAATGATCAGTGGGGCAATCACATTTTAGATTTCTATTAGAATATGCATATTTATATAATTTACATTAAATTTTATATTTTTTTGTTATTGATTAGAGCTATGAGTAGTTTGGATTATAGAAGTGTGGTTTTTATAAATAAGTTTCTATAAATAAAAAATATTTTTTTTTTCGATTAGATTTACAATTACGACGCAGTAAAGCTTCACTGCGCTTTGGCGCGTGATCCGTTTGCAATTTTCACACGCTCTCCCAGCCGCTGCTGCTCTCGCAAGTTCACGTACAAGCCCCGATAACGATAAATCGATAAGGCTCAACTCGCCTCACACATATGCATATATACAAATTTACTGACTGGACTTTAACGCTCTCTCTCTCTCTCGATGTGCTTATCTGTATTTACAGGCAGCGTCAACGACTCCGACGACGCAGACATCGACACACAAACGCTTTGCCTCCTCAGTGCAACATAGGAAGAGCAACAGAACAGGCGTACGAAAAACTAAAAAAGTTTCCTGCGCGACACCCACAGCAACAACAACAAAAACGATAACGGAAGTAGCCTCTAAAACGGGCAAGGCCAGAGACGTTGTCGGTAATCGTCATCGAAAATCGCAAAAGCCATCGCAATCGCAATCAAAAGAGATGACATCACGCGCGCGTCTCTGTGCCTGGCGGCTGAGCATTTTCCTATTGGGGGCATGCTGCATAGCCGGTGGCGTTTATCTGCTGCGCAACTGGATTGACATGTTTACGCACATGCGCGGCAAGGTGAGTAAGCTGCTGGCTGATCCAAACAGGACTTGTTGCAGGGAGTAATTTTCAAATATAAGAAGTATAGTTCGCAAGACTTTCTAGTAAAAATGAACATTATTTAGCACGCCTCTCTTGGCAAATTCAACATATTTTCGCTTAAGTAATTTTCTTTTTAATATAGTATTTTATGGAGCTGCCCCATATCTAACAGTTCTTATCTAATCAGTTACGGTTCTTTGCATAATTACATCAGTCTTGTTGCCATCCAGTCAAGTTCCATCTCGAGGGAGTCAAGATTCTCCAGCAGCCAATTTGCCAAAACGGCGTCGGGGTCAACTGGGCGTGAACCTCGCTCATTAGCATACAATTAGTGTGGCATTGGCGGATGGCAGGGAGAGCGGTATGCTCGACATTGGGGGACTTCACCAGTTGTCTGATTAAATATCAATTGGACTCAATTTTCCACAAAAAAAAATATATAAAACTGAGTGTGCTGCAGGTGTTCGTTAAAAGAAAAATAACGAAAGATAAGATACTTGTTTTATATACCCTTTTAGAGGGTATTAAAATTTTTTTTTATGAAATGTGTAACGCATTGGAGGACACGTCAGCGTCATCATTAAGTATATTTAATCAACGTCACAAACCAAGTCGATATAGCCGTGTCCGCCCGTCTGTTCGATTGCTCAGTTTTAAAGCTATCTTGATGAACAGCCTTGTTATATATCCGTCTATATAGCATAGATATAGATATAGCGACAATCGGTCGAGAGATCGTTTTAGTTACTCATTTTGGTACAATATAATTACACAATTTAACCTTGCCATGTGGAATATTCAGTTGAAAGCCAGTCGTAAAACTTTTTGTTTAAAGTACATAGACATAATAACAAATATCGAACTCTGGACTTCAATTTAAATGTCAGCAGATTACCTCCGGTCTACGGGGGTATACAAACTTCAGTGTGCTTTTGACATTATTTTATTACCTATTTTTGGCCACTGACTAAGAAGTTTTGGCCTAATACGGATAGTTGGTAGTTTGCCCCTACAATCAATCTATCATTGTGACATGAATCACTGGAGCGAACAGCTGCAAGGTTAATCACATCACTGATCTATTTTGCAAACATGTTGCCAGCGGAAATATATATGCTGTTGCATTGACAAACCTCGTAAACAAACCATTTCAGTTTTTGCCCTAGCAATGACTTATCTTATCGCAAACCATTTATCATTCGAATTAAATGGTTGATAGGAAACAATGTATGAATCGTTAACTCTATTTTATTCCTTATTTTTTTGTGGTTTTTTGATTGTGTTGATTTTGTCTTTCATGCAAGCCAAATTCATAAAAGGCTTTTGTAATTACACCTGCCTTATAGTGCGCACAGGTGTGTCGCCCTTGACTGAAGAACACCTGTTTTACAGACAGACTTTGATATCAACCAACTAACCGCAACCGCAACAATCTAGGAAATCCCATCCAATCTATTTCAACGAGCGCATATTTACACGTGCCGTTGTCTCACACCAAACATGAATGTAACAATAATTCTTCTTATCAGTTAGTCATTTCCTAATTCAAAAAAAGATACAGCGAATGATAATGAAAATATGCCTAAAGTATATGACTCGAAACTTAAATTTCAAAATGACCGCTACGGATTTATTCCAAATGCTATAATATACACCTAGAATCTAGACAAATGATGAATGCATGTCGGGATGGATTTTTGATGGGCCGCTGGGCAAAATGCTGATAACATGACGCTCACATGACATTTGACTGAATGATCGCGTAATTACATAGATAGCCAACAATACAGCGAGAGACTGACATTGAACAAAGCGTTCCAAAAGTCGACTCAGGGCCATTTCAGGGCTCTAAAAACAAAATGGGAAAAACAAACTAAGGAATGATAATAAGAACTAGCAATTCGTCTATATCTATCTATCTATTCAATTTGATCTTAATTAGGTGGTTAATTTTATGATAGCTTAAAGATAAAATTGTTTATAATTTAATCAATTACGATTTCAGGAAATGGCACTCAGTCCCACATCGCGATCGTTTGAGGGCTGGAAAGTTTCGCCGCTGCCGCTCAACTTTGATGTATATCTATTCAATTGGACAAATCCGGAGGACCTTTACCAGGGCTCCCCAAGAAAGCCGCACTTTGTACAATTGGGACCCTATCGATTTCGTGAAAAACCCGACAAGGTGGACATTGAGTGGCACAATCAAAACGCATCAGTTTCATTTCGCAAGAAAGCCTTTTTCTACTTTGATGCTGCCGGCAGCAATGGCACCCTGCAGGATTTAATCACTTCGGTCAACACAGTGGCACACGTGAGTTGCAATCAAAAGTGGTGAATACATATCTTACTAAAAGGCTAATGTTTCCTATTAGGCTGGTGCCCGTCGTCTTTACCAATTGCCCTCAATCATTCGTGCGATAGCGTCAGCCACGCTGAGCTCAGCGCAGGATGTCAGCGAAACACGAACAGCCGAGGAATGGTTATTCAAGGGCTTCGAACACTCTTTGGTCAATCTGGGCTTGTTGCTCAATCCCGCTGATGTGCCATATGATCGCGTAGGCTATCAGTATGGGCGCAATGGCAGCTCCAGTTTCGATGGCGACCTTAACATATTCACTGGCGCCGATGACATCAGCAAAATGGGCCAAATACACTCGTGGAACAATTTAACGCATACGGGCGCCTTTGAGGGTGCTTGTGGCAAAGTCATGGGCTCAATGGGTGAATTCTTTCCGCCCAATCTAAGCACCAAGGACAGCGTGTACCTCTTCTTGCCCAAATTGTGCCGCGCCGTGCCGCTGGACTTTAAGGAGGAGATCACAGTGCATGGCGTCACCGCATACAAATTCAGTGGCACCAGACACGCCGTGGACAATGGCACAATGTATCCGGATACCAGTTGTCTCTGTGTGGATGGCAAATGTATGCCGGCGGGTGTTATCAACGTTGGCCACTGTGTTTTCAACACATCTATCTATATGTCATATCCACACTTTTATCTGGCCGATCCTAGCTATCTGGCGGCGTTGGATGGCCTACAGCCGGATCCTGAGAAGCATGAGTTCTACATGGCACTGGAGCCGAACGCTGGCGTACCCATGGATGTGGGTGGTGGCTTCCAGGCCAATTATCTGATGCAGCCGGTGCCAGGTGTTTCGTAAGTTAATCATGCACAGCAAAGTCTCGCAGTGTTGATGACACCTTTTAATTAATATTTTTCAATTGCAGTCTCTATGCACGCGTGCCACGGGTCCTACTGCCACTGATGTGGGCCGAGGAGCGTGTGCGTGTCAGCAAAGAAATCGCAGAGGACATTGCTCTCGTGCCACTCATTGTTATGCTGGGTCAGATCTTTACGGGCATACTGCTTGCCGGCGGTCTAATCTGCATTTGCTGGTATCCCACACGCCAATTGACGCGACTCTGCCATAGCGATGATCCCAAGGCCAAGGTCTCCGTATTGCGTCCGCTAGCCACCTTTGGTGCCGCCACCAATGTGACTGGTGCGACCCCAACAGTGCAGCAACTACTTCGTCAGAATGCCAGCCACAATCAGCGAGTTGTCGTCCGACTGTTGGACTATGAGCGCAACTCGGGCATTGAAGATACCGATGACGAGTACAGCGCTGGCAACACTTCCACAGATCGGCTAATCGAGAGTCGCTCAACAGATGTGATAACTAGTTAATATATATATATACATCGTTGCATCTTGCATTTTCATTCGTTGTTATATATATTGTACAAACATATATGCATATATACATAAGGAGCCTTCGTCTCGCCATTAAGACTCAAGAGGCTGTTCCCCCTAGCCGAGTTGCCTCATTCACATAGCGTTATTACATACATATTCACACACACACGCACACATACACCACTCATCCATACATAAACAAACACACACAAATCATGCTCACATTCTTTCCTCATCTCACTGCACCAGAATTTATATGTGCGTGCCGGGAGTTTAGAGAGAGAGATTGATAAGATTATTTATTTATTAGTGCCAAAAACGAAAGAGAAGTGAAAGTCATTAACTAATTTAGTAAGTAAACTAAACATCTTAAGAGTGATTATTCTAGGTCGAAAGCTATCAATCCCCTTGTTAACATTAAAACTGCGCACATCCAAAGTATTTTTATATTATACTATATTATATACATGTATAAATTTAATGCATAACGGTATTTTTTAGTTATTTTTTTTATATAACAAGGTGGCGACAATTTGCGTCTGAATTGAAATGAAGTGATACAAATCTAAAACGCGTATTCATCGAACGTCCTCAACTGAATACGTAAGAAAACAAATTCTAAAAGAAAATATAACTGAATAAAAAACACAACAAACAAAAAAATACGAATACAAATGAAGGAATAGTTTCTTTACACGCTCTTCAGCCAGCTGGAGACGGCCCAAAAACAGAGGCTGACAAAGCTAAAGCTAACCAGGGAGTTAAATGTGCTCGCACCGTGTCCCGTATTCCCCAGATCCAATTGCGAGGACAGCTCTTCGGGCACATCCAAATAGACACGATCCAAGCCGAAGCCGAAGATAAGTTTCCGTAACTGAGCCACATCCACATAGTCGTTGGCCGACGACCAAATTGTCAAAGTGCACTCGTTGGTCCCATTCACGGCAGCAACCAGATCATGCAGCTGCGTGGCGCTATTAGCGGCAATGCCGGCACGGACGGGAAAAGTGATGGGCTGTCCTGTAGAGGTCACGTTGTTGTCATTGATGACCTGCAGCATTGCGTCGCACTGCTCCTCGGTGTACTCGCCCTCGCGGTAATTGGCACCCCATTTGGTCGTCCAGCCAATGGAGAGAACGGCCTGCTTGTAGCGCATGCAGCCCGCAAAGAATCGCGCCGGATCCACTGGCACAGAGCTGATTTGCTTCACGGGTCCGCTGATTATATCGGCATTTATCCAAATGGGATATGTCATCTAAGCGAATAACAAAGCAGTTTAGCTAGCAACTTAACAATGGTCCAATGGTTTTGTCGACCTTTGGTATGGTCTCATCTAGAATTCCAAGGGAGCCCTCGAACACCTCTATTGACTTGAAGTCCAACTTGACACCCTTCTCGGCTCCCTCGTTCTCCTCGTTGTACACCTTGATTTGCTGCAGAAAGTCCTCCAGTGTCAGATCCGAGACCTTTGCTGGCGGATGTGCCATCACCGGCAAGTCTGGGCCCTCGCCATTCAGCTTGCCCAGCACAATATCGGCCTCAATCATATCAATGTCGCCTTTGAAGTGCCGTTAATAAGTGAATAAGTTAATGTGGCATTTAAGGGTCAAATCAAGTTTATAGTTTATACTCACTGCTGAGTGACTCGCCGAGCAACTGCTGGCTGTTGACGGCATGCGCCCAGCTGATGGCAGTCAGGTTGGTGGCCTTGGCGTTGAGTTTGCCCTTGTCGTATCGCACCATGTCTACAATTTTCGCATGCTCCTCCTGATCCTGCTGTAGCACAATGTAAATGGGCAGATTCGTTGCTTCTGACGGTTGCAGTGTGGCCAGTTCGTAATAAAAGACGCTGTCGTTTAAAGCAGCTCCATTGATGTTGACCGCAAAATTTGCTATTTTCAGACAATTTTATTCAATTAAATATATCGGAGAGATAGAGAGAGCTTTCGCTGATACATGTATGATATGAGAGAAAAATGCAGGTATTATTTTATTTATTTATTACCTTTAATAATCGGAATCGACACTCACAAAGAGAGACGGTCACATGAATAAATGTTTACCCACAAATAGGGTTCAATTCTTGTATCTATGAATACAACCACATTTTCTGTTTCGTCATGCGTATATGTGTGTGTATGGTTGTGTGTGTATGGGGTTAGGAAACAAAAGAATGCTTGTGTGCGAATGAGTGCCAATCAGTAACGGTTAATGAATTTATGCTTTATTGGAGGTGCTGCTACTGGAACAGTTTCACCCGAATGCCTCAGCAATTTCAATAAAACTGCGAGCGACTTCAATTTATGAGCGAGGGAGATGCCAGTTGCAATGGGAATCAATGACAATGACATTTATCGGCTAGCTGCAAAGTGCGCAGGCGCAATGGAATGCAAGTGATGCGTAGACGACGACGACGACAACAATAATAGTTCCTCTGATAAGTTAAGAGACTTTACCGAGGATGCAAATCAGAAGTGCAAGTGACTGTGACCCTTGCGCATTTGTGCTTTTAATTGCCATATTCATGCTGCAGATAATCATGTGAAACAATTATATTAATCAGGCAGGCAATATATATTTGCGATAAGCATATCAAGCGTATAATATTGAAGTATTTTCTTCCTCTAATCGTTGACCTTTGTTCGTCTAATTGAAAACAGTTATTTCTTGTTTTTCATAATAATATTGCTTACAAGTTCATTTTGGTAATTATATAATATGAATTTTAAGCAAAAAACATATATATTTCTTTTCGACGATTTTAAAACTTCAACGTACGATAACTGCAGTGTCGCGAGTAAAGTAAAATAATTTCTAAATCACAACGATAAGAATGTATTGATATCGATATCGGTAAATCAAATATTTAAAATATGTATATCTAGCGATGGAAGTTACTTGCTGCTGCACTTAATTCGTGCGAAGTGACTGGTGTAAGAGTGAAAGTCTTGTTTACAGCACATCTCTAATGGCGCTCAGCTATGGAAATGTTAATATTCTGTTACAGCCAATGTTAGATTCAAACACATTCAAATAATAGAGCAGGCTGTTAATAGCATTTAAAGCAAATGTTTGACTTGATGCTGCTGTTAGAGGGCTGTTAAAAAAATACCAAGGTAAAACCAAAAACACCACAAAAAACAGGTGCTCAATGTGTGGGTATTACGTGTACTGCATGATTGTGAATAATATTTTCTCCGTTCAACCGCACACAATCAGCAGCCAGTAGCGGCCCGATAAGCAGCCGGCACAATTGTTGAGAGCACACTCATCGCTTAAGTATATAGAAAGTGATTTCCGAAAATGGACGATCTTATCAGGAAGGGTGCTCTGTTCCTCATGAACGAGAAGTGCTACGACAATTACTTCTTGGATCACAATTTCCTCGATGGTAAGTGGCATCCGTCAACGAAATTGCTGTTGTTGATAATTGAATTTTTTATATTTTTTTTTTTTAGTGCCGTGCTTTAAGGCGCTGCTGAGCAAAGGTCTCGGCATTGGCATCATTGCTGGTTCGGTGCTGGTGAAGGTGCCGCAGGTGCTGAAAATCCTCAATGCCAAGTCTGGCGAGGGCATTAATCTATTGGGCGTTATGCTGGACCTGCTGGCCATCACATTCCACATGTCGTACAGCTTTATGAATGGCTATCCATTCAGCTCATGGGGCGACAACACTTTCCTCGCCATCCAAACCGTCGCCATTGCTGTCCTCGTCCTCTTCTTTGGCGGACGCCGGCCGCATGCTGTCATCTTTCTGCTTGGTTATGCGACTATACTGTACGTGCTGAACTCTGGAATGACATCCATGAGGGTGTTGCTCGCCATACAGAGCTGCAACATACCCATTCTACTGGTTGGCAAACTGTCACAGGCACTGACCAACTACAGGGCCGGTTCCACGGGTCAGCTGTCGGCGGCGACGGTCATACTGATGTTTGCCGGTTCGTTGGCACGCATCTTTACTTCGATTCAAGAGACTGGCGATCAGATGATTATCCTCACCTTCTGCGCTTCCACTTTTGCCAATGGCGTGATCTTTGCGCAGCTCCTTTATTACTGGAACAAACCAGTCGCTGGCAAAAAGGATGTCGGAAAGGTCAAGAAGCCCATGAAGAGCAAGAAGGCTGACTAAGCTGAAGATTGCATAGCTTTTAGTTTAAGCAACGTTTTCTCGACATGATAGATCAAATATCAAAACTTTCAATAAACTTATTTATAGCGAATTTTAATAGGAGTCTCTCTCAGTTTAACTATCGCCCTTAAAGTGCTGCTGCAGCAGATCCAATGCGCGGAAGCGATGCGAGATTTTATTCTTCTCCGATTTGGGCAGCTCCGCATAGGTTTGATCGTAGCCCTTGGGCTGAAACACCGGATCCCTGCAATATAAATATTTTTGCACAAGATTTTCAATTAAGAAACTCCCAAATACGAACCATCCAAAGTCGCGTGGACCACGTGGCTCCACAATGGAGCCCTCTGTGATGCCCTGAAAGATTTGTGGCTCCGACGTGCTGCTCTCACAGTAGGCAAAGGTGCAAATCGCACGCGCCGATTTATCGTCCCAGCCGCTGAGCAAACGATGCAGTCCCTCTGGCTGAAGTTTGTCCAGGAACCACTTAATATACGGACCGGGCAGACCCTGCAGCGCATTGAAGCACAGACTGGTGTCCTCGATCAGTACGGGTCCATTCACCTGTTGCGCTGCCTCCTTGCACTTCTTCACCGCAATCTCCTCAATATCGCCCTGCCACTCGGGCAAATCCACTTGCTTCGAAATGACCTGGCGGGGGAAATTGGGTCCCAGTATGGCAATCAGTTCCTCCAGCTTCTTGGCATTGCCCGTAACAAAAGTAATTGGTTTCGACATTCTGCGCTTTTGTGCTCATCAATTTAAGCAATTGTCTTCAACAAACAAACACAGATGCAATAGAAAAAATGCGGGCTCGTTTAACAGATGATTTCATAAGTTGCGCCATCTATCGGCTGTTTGGGCTTTCAATAGCACAGGGTCGTCATGCATTGCAAAAAAAAACGGCAATTAATTTAAGCTCAGCATTTATAAATAAATATTTTATATAAAAGCATAACAAAACATAACATAATTGAATGGGACATCTTTAGGAACTAGCAACTAGAGAAAAGCGCCCCAGCCAATATACATTGCAGCGAGATTGTCCACCTTAGTCGCCTCATTGATCAGAAAGTTCACCTGTCCCTCGGTGGACAATGGAATGCTGTTTGCCTGCTGTCTTTTAACCTGCAAAAGGTAGCTGAATTTAAGTACTTGGTTGGTGCACTCAATGCTACTACTACTACTCACATGTCCTTGCAGGCGCTCGGCAATGCGCTGCACATCATTGGTCACTTTGGGATCGGTTAATTCGGCGCCAGTTTTGCTTTTGCTAGCAGTTGCCGTCAGTCGACTCTGAACGCCCAGATCGTAGACGAATGGACGCAGCATGGACATGAGCGTCTTGGTCTCCTGCCTGAGCAGTCGCAGCGTAATTTCGCAGCACTTGCGAAAGCTCCCCTCGACACCGAGCGGCCCCATGGCCGTGATCATGTTGTGAGTGAGGCGAAAGGGAACCACTTCGGGATAAGCAAAGGCCTCGCCCTGATTGAACAGGCAATTGAAGTCGACGTGGACAGCGTCGCCATTGCGCTCATCGAACAGTATGTTCTCGCCATGACGATCGCCCAGGCCCAGAATATAGCCCACCATGGACATGACGGCAACGGTGCGTATATACGAGTTGCGTGCCTCATACCAACTGTGCGGCGTGCTGAAGCGCTGCAGCAGCCAATCCTGAAACACAGGCGGATGTGCGGGCAGCAGCTGGTTGAGGAACACCTCACGTTTGCGTTCCATCAGCTCCGTCTGCGGCACGGCCAACTGTTGCAGCTGCCTGCCACTCATCACCTGACCCCGCTGCATATACAATGCGATGCAGATGCCGCGATAGGAATTGAGATTCGGCAGCCACTCAAGCAGGCCACATTCCTCGTTGAAGGGGAGCACTGCGTAGGTGCGAATGTGCAGGCGGCGCTGGCGGGCACTTGCATCCTGATGCAGGTAGCGTTTCATCAGGCCATTGAACTCCATGAGACGCGAATCTTTGCGCAAATCATCCTTTGGTTTGACCATCACATCATAGTCCTGTCCATCGCTGCAGCGTATGGTCAGCTTTTTTGGCCGCGCCGCGGAACGCAAGACCAGCACCTTCTCCTGGAAGCCACTGATAAAGATCTGCTGATACGGAAACCAGTTGCTGGCAGGCAATTTGCCGTTTGTCTGCGGACTGGGCGACGGCGAGTTATCCTGTGCCGAACTAATGCTAAATGTGGGCTGCATGTACTTCTCGAAGGGCAGCAGGATGTTGGAGAAGTTCGCCTGGTTGCACAGCAGCGGCAATCGTTTGTCCAGATCGCTCAGCTTGTAGCTGCGATCCAAGGTGACCTCCTTGTTGGTGACGCCAATCAGGCGCTCGGTGAGCGTGTTGAAGTCACTCAACAGACGCTGGAATGTGGCATTCTGGAGTCGCTCATCGCTCAGGATCAATTTGCAGCGCTTGACGCGATTGACGGCGGCAGACTTGAAATGGGGCAATAGCATCCAGAGTGACTGCTGTGGATAGTCCCCGATCAGCTTGATGATCACGTTGCGCAGCACTCCAAACACGTCCGGCGATGGATGACACAGCCGGCTTAGCATCTGCGAGTAGGCCGTGTAAAACATGGCCGTCGGTAGCGCCGAGCAGCAATTGTTCAGCAGATCGTTCATCTTGCGCACCAGCTCCGTGTGGGAGGTGGAAGCGACTGCTGTGGCGGCCGTGTCCAGCCAGAGACTGATCAGACGTGGCATCGACTGGTAGACATGATCGCTGCCATAGCGCAAAGATTTGGCATAGTTCAACATGATCTGCAGCAGCAGATCCTCATCTTCGCGTGAATTGGTTGCCGACGCTGAACGCGCCTCTCGCATCTTCTCCAGAAATTGTGCCAGCTGGACGTAACAACGCTCCGATTGTCGATGCACTGAGATTGCCTCGTGGAAGTACTTGAGGATGGCATCCGCACACAGATTCATGGAGTCCGCGTTGTACGTGGCCTGCAGATATTTGCCTTCGAAGTAGAGCTGACGCTGCTCAGCACTGAGCTGCTTGGGATTGCCATCACACTGCTGCCGGATGGCGGACAATTGCTCCTCCAGATAGTTCATGGCCAGCACCTGATCGCCCTTCTGCCAGAGCAGCTTGGCGCGCTCCAGGAAGAGACCACTTGGCCGATACTCCGCCGCCTTCATTAGATATAAATGGGCGCGTTGCAGTTGACCTGCATTGCGATTGATCTGGGCGCTATTTAACCAGAGCTGGGCCAACTGCGTCTGCAGCTGTGCCTGCAGCGGCACACGATCGCCCACGCGCCGCTTGAGCTCGCCGAGCAGATTCCGACGAAAGCTATAGATGGGCTCCAGCACGCGCAGCTGCGGCTGCAGCACCTGCAAACGCGACTGCCAATCGGCAAAGTATTTATGCATTAGTTGCGACTGCTCCTTCTCCTGCTCCTGCTCCTGCTCCTGCAGTGTGGATAGCTGCTCCAGCAGCTGCTGGCTGCACTGCAGCTCGTGCAGCATGTGTAGCTTTAGCACCTCATCGTAGGCATGCGCATAGGAATGCTGTTGCATGGCGGAACAGCTGCGCAACTGCTCCAGCACCGATCCACGCATCTTGTCCAGCAGCGCCTCAAATTCCAATTTGGTGGTGGTGGGTTGTCGCAGGGCCAGGCAGGCCTGGGCGCACTGGGCATGCCAGTTGGGTCGGCAGCGCCTCTGCTGCTGTTGCTGCAACTGCAACTCCTCGAGTTCGTCGTAGCTGCCCAGGCGCCAGAGCAGCTCCGCTTTGCACTCACTGAAATACTGATCAGTGTGACGATCGGACATTCGCTGCCAGAGACCATCGGCGATGAGCAGCGCCGTCTTGGGTGTGTCCATCCGCAGATAGGCGTCGATGATGGCACGTATGTGATCTGGCTGCAGTTGCTCCGTGCTGGACAACAGTTGCTCATAGCATGTAATCATATCCTGTTGCCGTTCGACCAAACGATTCACCAGAATCTCCTGGGTCACACTCATGTCCGAGCGGCGCGTCTGCACTGCCCCCTCCACTGAATCCGAGTCCATCAGTCGCCCGTAGAGCTGCACCAGGAACGTGAACTGCTCGAGTAGACGCGCCACCTTGTCACCCTCCGCGATGTAGGCCTCCAGATATCGCAGGGCACGCGCATACTCGCCACAATTGTAGCTGGCGCGTGCCACACGCAACTTGTCGATGCGCTGCAGGAACTCATAGATGGCACCATAATTGGCATCCACAGATTGGGGCGGTTTGCCGCCCGTGCTCAGGCCATGCAAACGCTGCCATTCGCGTAGCCAACGCTGTAGAAAATCCAACAGCTCCGCACACAGTTTGCCAGCCAAACGTGACTGATCCTCCGCACTGGCGCCTGCCTGTGACACCACGCTGGCTGACTTGGTCGTGGCGCCATATTTACTCGACTCAAACAACTTGTAGCCGAGTGTGTCGGGATCGACTGGGATTAGTTCGCTGGGTTTCTTGGATGCTGTGGCACCCTGTTGTTGGGACAGCTCATCGTTGGCCTGCAGCACCGCCTGGAACTCCTGCTCAATGTGTAGACGCTGCTCCGCAGTGCACTCAAGCAACGCATGGAGCAGTATGTACGGATAGAAGGTGCTCAACATGTTCGAGTCGCGACGAATGCACGGCTTATAGGAGCTGAGCAGGTGACGCGTCTCCGACGACTGCACATAATCGACAAGTCGCACGGCCCAGAGGAATGCCCACAGTTCGTACGAGTTTTGCGTATAGTGGCTGCCAAAGAGCGGCTGCTGCTGCAGCGTACTGGAGCGCTGGGAGCAGGTGTAGCAGGAGTTGAGCAACGGTTCCATTATTTCGCGCATGCGCAATGGTAGCGATTGCCACAGCTGCAGCTTCTTTTGCTCCTTGGGCGCAATGCCGCATACAGCGAGCGTCTCTTGTATGGCCAGCGAAAAGTTGTCCACATGCTTCGTCTTCTGCTGGAACTGATAGCCGCGGCACAGCGCCGTCAGTGCAAGCACCGTAAAGTCATCCGTGAGAACGCTCAGCGGTAACTGTTGCGGACTGGCAAAATTGTAATTCGATGGCAAATAGCTGGCATCGATGGCACCCAGCTCGCCCAGGCATTTGGCTGAGGCCAACTGCAGTGAACGATCGTCGTGCTGGCAACCCGCCATGAGCACATTGACTATCTGCTCCATTAGTGGCTCCATCGGCAGCTCGTGCAGTATCATATGATTGAGTTGAGTGCGGCGTCGACCGAGCAACTCGGAGAGATGCTCCAATCCATAGACACGCACCTGCAGGCATTCATTGGTGATTTGCTTATGCAGAAAGCCCAGTTGATCCAGCAGCGGTGCCTGATCCTCGCCAGCTGCTGCAGCAGCGCCCAAACACAGGTGTGCTGTGTGTCGCTCAATACACTTTCGTATGGGCTCCGAAACGTGCTCCTGACGCTCCAGAAAGTATAAGTCTACAATGGCGATTAGGTTTAGGTATGGGTACAGTAGCCATCGAGCGATCCCTGTGCTTACCTTGTATGTAGTTGCCCAACATGGCGGCGTTGCGGAGGATGACAAATTCGTAGAGCTCATTCACCTGCTCCACGCTATATGCGAGCAGCGGCTGCAACGTGGCCACTATGCGACCCAGCGACGGACCCAACTCCTGTATGTTGACCACATGCAGGAAAATGTGCCAAATCTTTAGGCAAATGCGCTGCAAACTTGGCTCCTGCAACGTGTGCACAAAACTCAGCATGGCAATGATCTTGAAGCGAAATTGTGTGACATGTTGAGGACCAACGAAGCGCAGGATCTGGCCAAGACTATGCAGTGTCTCCTCTTTGAGTGGCTTCTCAAAGGACGGCTCCGACAAGCAGCTCTCAAAATAGGTGATGACACCGAGTATGCGCTCCGCTATAAACGTGGAGAACTGTGCATTACTCGCTTGGGTGGATAGATCCTCGCTGCCGACGCTGAGTTGGAGTAGGTTTTGAAAAGAGCGCATCACAAAAGTCGGATTGCGATTGAAATAGATGAGCAGCTCGGCAACGGTTTGCTGCACAAATAAATGAATAATGATTATGACAATGTTTAATAAAGGATGGAATAAGGGCAAGCTAAATTACTGGCGCACCTTCACATCGGCATTCATCAGTTGCTGCACCGTGCACTTGGTGCAGCTGGTGACCAGCTCGATGCAGCGATTGGCCAATTCCGGTTCTTCGGTGAGATAGACATGCGCATACAGCCGTAGAAAGGAGGTGGAGAAGAGGGAAGCCACCGATTTATGCAGCTGCTTGGCTATGAACACAAAGATGCCCTTGCAACGGGGCTCCCTAATGCAATAGGGCAGCACCAAGGAGGTGAGCAGACGATGATATTTACAGGTGAACTCCTGCACACACGAGAAGCCCAACATCTTGGTGAGCTGTAAGCCAACAAGGATTAAAAAAGTATTCATTGTATGCCATATTCCAGCACTCACCGCTCTGAGTGAGTGAGTGAAGCGCACTCCTTCCGTGACATAGGCATCGAGTGCCAGCTGGACAACTAAACCGAGTGCATCCCGCTTGTACCAGTTCCACAGCGTAAGCGTCTGTAATCCGTGGCGTGCACACAGTTGACAGGCGGCGAGCACCGCCTCCTGGGCGACGAGAGAGCGCGTGTGCACCATGAAATAGAAACTCATCTTGAACCAGTGGAATAGCGACAGGTTATCTATGTCGGCATGTGCTGAGCACACAATCAGTCGGAGTAGCTTGCGCTGCTCCGCCATGCTTTGCTCCTCCAGCGGTTTGGAAAGTGTGCGCACAATGCAATCAAGCACAAGTGAGGTCAACTGTTGCATAAAGTCCTCGGACTGGTTGGCCAGCACAGGCACCAAACGCTCGTAGCTGCGTTCGCTGAGCTCCTGCAGGTTGGACGACTCCTTGAGCAATCGAAGGTACAACGAGGGTTCCAGTTTGATCAGATCCAAGTGATGTGTTATGAAGGCGCATGGCATCTTAAAGAGCATCGCCTCAGCGAGGTCGGCCAAGTTGGAACTGCTTAAGTTGGGTGCACTGTTTGGCTTGCAGCTGCCCAAATACAAGCCAGGCAAGGTGGCAGGCAACGGTTTGCACTTGGGGCAGTACATAACTATCCTCTCCCTAATCTTGAAGACATGCGCTGGGGCTGCTGATTGCGCTGCTGTGCAGAGCAACAAGCGTAAAACAGCGGCCAATGTGTGACCCTCCTCTGCTGAGTGCATAAGTTTGGGCAGCGCCTGTTGCAGTTGGGCGGCTTTTATGTAGCCGGAGACATAAAGCTGTGCCAGGTGCTCGTTGAAGAGCTGCCTTAACTCGGAATGCGTTGAGCTCACCAGACCTATGTATTGCTGTGCGAAAAAGCTCTGCAGTTGCGTATGCGCGCTGGAAGGCGTCTCCAGATGTAGCGTGGCCAAAGCCTGGAGGGCCCCCAATTTATGTTGTTGCTCCTTTGATTGCAGGCTGTGCTGCAGTACGCCCAGGAGCTGTTGTTGTGTCTGCGGCTTCAGTTGCAGCCGTATGCAGTTGGTTTGCAACAGCAGTGCACAGATCTCCATATACTCTGGGCTAGCAGCACACTCTGCCTGCTCCAAGAGTTGCAAACTCAAATGATTCCAATTGCTGTTGGCATCTGTGGGCAGTGGCAGCTCATAGAGCACTGGGAGTTGAGATAGCAGGGCAGCATTGAGCGCCTCATCGCTGGCAACCACCAGCTCTCGTTGCTTATCTAGCAGCAGGAGTTGCTCCATTTGCCGCAACGCACGCAACAAGGCGAGCAGCTGCGGCAGCTCTCCAGGAGTCGTCTCGGTTAACAGTTCAACCAGACAGATGCTTATCCTATCCAAGATCCCGTCACGCAATGCCGGCTGTTTGACAGCAACGACGGTCAGCAGTGGCAACAGCTGATTGGGTTGTCCACGCCACTGACGCTGCAAGAGTTGCACTGTGTGTGGCTGCAACTCACAAGCAGTCACCTCCAACAACTGGTGTTGCAGATAGTCGGACAATGTCTGCATCAAGTTGTCGCGCGCGTCGCTTACAGGCAGACGCAGCAGCTCGTGTAACAGTTGACAGCACATATCCAGGCTATGAGGATGAGGCATCGTCTGCGGCTGCAACACGACCAGCAGTTGTTGTGTCTGCGTTGCCAAATGCGTCAGTTGTGTTTGCGTCATGCACTTGGCTTGCAACCAGCGGCAGGACAGGGACCACATGAGGACAGCAGCGCGCAACGTTAAGCAGGCATAATGTGCCACATCTACATTGCTTGACCAGCTGGCGGTGGATTGGGCTTGAAGCACTGCGCAACAATAGCTCAGACTGGCCAGCTTTGTATCCATGTTGCACTCCTTGAGGGTGAGCAACGCCTGCTGCAGACTTCTGGCAAATAGTTCCGGATGCGTTGCTTTTCCAATGTGTTGGGCGTGCTGCAGCACCAGCAGCAAGTACTTGGCATACGCATCTGAATGCTCAAGCTGCAACTGGACGGCTTGACAGGCGCACTGCTCATCGAACGCTTGCAGGACACTCACGTCGCAGCGAAATATCTGCAATTCCAGGATGCGTACCTGCTGCGCCGGCTGCTTTTTGGGTTTTGTGTAATCGAAGGCGCTCATCTGATCGTTGAGCTGCTGCAATGCCTCCACATAGGCAACCACGAGGAGTTCGTATAGCTTGGGGTGATTGCACCAACAAGATGCGAGCAACTTCTGCTGTAGCTGCACATTCTTGAGGCACTGTCTGGATTACATTGGTTAACAAGTACACTTGAGATACTAGAGAGAGAGAGTTCCACTCACCCCTCATCCCGACACTGACTCAAGCACACGGCGAGTTTGTTCACAAGCCAAAGCAGGAAAACGTCTTGGAATTTGTTGGGCAGCTCGGGCACCGACGAACAGCTGATGAGGCTCGGATCCTGGCAGAGTATGTTGTCCACCACACTGTAAACGGCCGACAAGTTGGCTTGATTCCGATTCACCATATTGTACAGCACTTTCCACATATCCTCACGCTTGTCCGACATTTTTTAATTGCAATCTATAAATTTTAAATACAAAAAAGCGAGGGATATTTATTTTGTACGTCGCCAGCGTTGCCAGATCAACAATTAACAACTGTTGACTGATTTTAATAGGCTGATACGAAGATCGCGCAGTTTTGCGAAAATAAAATACCAAAAAAATGCATACCCAATAAACTAGAATCTAGAGTAGTAAAATCTTGTTATACTTTCGTATAAACTGACAAATTGCTTATATCTTTCAAAAGTTCTGATTTTGATTTTTAATAATGTAATGATTAAAATGTCCTAAGCAATTGAAAAGAAAATGATTCCGATTCGAATCCCAGGCAGTTATTTGTATTGAATTGCCCTATAAAAATAATTTGGATAGCTGCATTATCATTCCCTTATCACAATACAAACACATAGACGGCTATTAACATGGAACAAAAACTAAATTACAATAAAAATTTGCTTATCTTTGATTTTGTGGCATGCGTCATATAATTAATGGGCTGGAACTTATCACGTTAAGAGCAGTTTTGTTCTGTTCAATTTTAAAACTACGACGACGTCCTTTTAAGCTATGTACACATTTAATAAATAATATTTTTCCACCCCCATATGGAAGAGTCGAGAATATATTGTCGCAGTAATCATACAATTGCTTCAGCGGATCCAAAGGCCAGGAATATGATCCAACCGATTAGATTAATGCCTGCCGCAGCGCTGAAGACCATCGGCCAGCTCTGAGTCAGTTCCAGGATGTGACCGGCTAGATAGACGCCCAGAAAGCCGGGTATTGCGCCCACTGTGTTCATCAGGCCAAAAACGCTGCCCGAATGCAGCGGCGCCAAATCCTGTGGATTCACAGTCACCGCATTATTATGAAAGCCCGTCCCACCAATGATGATGGTCATACAGATTAGCGCCGTGTGAAAGTCCGTCGTTCGACTCATCACGAACAGGGCCACATTCTGTGCAGCAAAGCAACAGCTCTGGATTAGCTTGCGCACTGCTGTCGTTGACCAATCTCTGGCTATCAGCCGTGTCGTCAGGTATTTGGCAAAGAACGTGCATGGAGGCAGCGCCAACCATGGAATCATGTTGACCACCCATCCCTTGGCATGCGGAAATCCATCGTGGAAGTATGTGGGCAGCCAGGAGAGCAGCACAAAGAAGCAATTCATCTCGCAGGCATGCGTCAGCACACAGGCCCAAAAGGACAGCCGACTGAAGTAGCGCAGCCAGGGCACAGTCGTCTCCGCTGGCGTTTTGTTGGCGCACAATCGCGCCGGTGTGGAGATGTTTATGATGCGATTCCTCTCGCCGGCCATCGCATAATAGCGCAATACCAACGCCCAGGCGAAGCCCATCAGGCCAATGACACGGAAGACATACGACCAGCCAAAGTAGTCCAGCACAAAGGAGCCCATGATGCCAGTGAGCAGCGTGCCCATTGCCGAGCCGGATGTGAGCAGGCCAAAGAAACTGCTGCGTTCATTTTGGCATAGATTCTGCAAGCATAGAATATAATATAAATATATATTCTTGGTTGTCTCCAGGTGAAACTCACCTGACTTGTCAGGCTAATCATGCTCGGAAAGTGCACGCCCTGCAGTGCACCATTAAATATGCGTATGGTGACAATAATTGGTATCGCATAGCTCTTAACCGATGCCGCCGACCAAATAATCGTCGGCATCAGGAATGTGATGATGGACCAACCAATGGCTGCCAGTAATATGACACGCTGGCCGCCAAATCGATCGCTGAAATAGCCACCCATCACTTGGGTGAGTGTGTAGCCCCAGAAGAATGAGCTCAGCACGGTGCCCGAATCGGTTTTACTCCACTTTTGTGCGGCGGCAACGGCGGGCACCAGCAGCGGCATCGTTGTCCGCGTTGAATACAACATGCAGGTGCCAGTGAGTAGCGTCATGAACCAGACGCGTTTCTCGTGTCTGCGGAAGAGTAAGCAATTTAAACCATGGAACTTCGACTACACTCTGATTGTTACTTGCCTTGTCCAAATGTTTTGAGTGTCAACCAGTTCGCCGCGTAGCAGCGAATACTTTAGTTTCTCCTCCATGTTAACTTAATAGCTTGTGATGAATTTTGTATTTTCTTACAACTGATATTGGACAGCCTTCATTTTAACTTCAGCCGCAGTTGTTGTGTCGCTTGTAGCTTCTGCATTTCTTTTATCATATAATTCGATTGGTTTGTTTATTGACACAAAACAATTTTTTTAGCTGCGTATGTACATTTCTTTGTACATATGTTCGTCTTTTACGTGGCCACTTTTTTTAAACAACATTTGATCAGCTTAAAAGTTTTTAATGTGTTCAGTTTGGTCGAATTCTGTGTGCACTACGTTGCTGCGAACAAGTGTTGAGTCTTTTGAAGAGTGCACTTAGGAATAAATCTGCACATAAATAATATTATTTATTTAAGCAGTCGAGCTCTGCAACAGTTTTGCACATTTAAGGCAACAGCAATTAAAAGCTAGTAATCGCTTATGGTTATTTATAGCTGCTTCGCAGATCTTAAATGCTTTGAAAAGGGCATGCGATGGCCTTGCGACCTTGCCACACATGTATAAATCTAGTTGCCGAAACATGTGTTTCGGCGTTGCCACTCTAAAATAATCAGCAGTGCTGCCATTTGCATTAGTATGGCGCGCAAATGCGCATATTTAAATTTTTGCAGTATTAAACTATCATTACGGATGTAGAAAATCGATTTGAGCATTCATATTGAACCATAGCGTGTGTTCATTAATTTTATTCAAGTAATCACTTATATAGTATTTAGTATATGTATTTCATTCGTGTGGAGTAGAGGAGGGGGGAACGGGACCAGAGACGTTGATAGATAAAGTGAAATAAATATATAGATTACAGCATATCCGGCAATCTAAGCAAATTACTCATCGAGCGTAAGATGCACATTGGCGGAGGGATGCAGGCCCAGTTCCTTAAGCGTCACTTCGTTGTGCTCGATCTCCAGCGACTTTCGCGGAAAGGCACATATCAACTTGTAGCCCTCGAATGGTATGTGCTTGTGCGTTTGCCTGATATACAGACGCAGTGTCTTCAACTTGGTGTCCGAGGGCCAGCGCAGTTGGACGACCTCATCGGTGCCGACGGCGTCGAGTAGGCGCAGCTTGATCGCTGTCAGCTCTGCCGTCTGTTTGCCCAGCTGCGCCTCGTACGAAATGGTGGCGCCCTTGAGCTCCTCCTCGTCGAACTCCTCGAGGCTCTCACAGTCACTGGCATTGGCATTGTTGTTGTTGCTCGCTTTTGTGGGTGTTGCTGCTGTGGCGCCGCCATTCTCATTAATGGAATTCTTGATGGCCAGCGCCAGTTGCTCCTCCTCGCTGAGCTCGAGCAGCTTGGCGCGCTTTTTACGCGTACTGGCCGTGGAAGACGAACAGGATGCGGCTGCCTCCACATCATCGTCGTCATCATCATCAATTTCAATTGCGGCACGCTTGGAGGTGCTTGCTTCCTCCAGCGAAAAGTCACGATGATCGCGTAGAAATTGCCGCAAATCTGGCAAAACATTTTGTTGATTGGGCTCCTCGGGACTGCGCCAGACCTCCTCGCCGGTGCGTGGATCAATCACGCACAAATAGGGCAACTTGGCACAGCGATAAAAGGCGACAAAGCGCCTGCCCTCGGAGCTATCGTTATCCACCTGCCAGAGCACAAACTGGCGTCGCACCAGCTGCTTTAGCTCCTTCATGCTCCACACGTCACGATTCATTGTTTGCGACTGAAAATTATCGCCTTGGACATTGACCAGCAGCCATCGTTGGCGAGTGCTGGCAAATTCGCGCGCCGCCGCCAGCGAGCCCGAGTAGAGCAGGTCGGTGGGCGGGCGATAGAGATCACCAAGGCGGGATGAGTTGCTGCTGCCAGTGGCATTGGAGCGATTATGCAGCGAAATCGCCTGACCAGCAACAACCATTTGGGCCGAGCGATCGCGGCGTCGACGATGCGTACTCGGATCGGAGTAGACGCCGGTGGCTTGGAGCTGCTCCTCCATTAGAGCGCCTTCGCGTGCAAAATCCCGGAGCGGACAAACCTTGATGGGGTGCGTAACATGCGACAAACGACTGTTGCTGCTGCTGCTGCCGGACGCAAAAAAGTTGTCATCCTCCGGCAGCAGCAGTTGTTCCCGGACTGGAGCAATGGGTGCACGCACCACCTCCACCTCCTCAACAACTGCTGCTACGGCGTCAGTTGCTGCATTTGAAGTGGGTGCACCGTTGCCACCCTGCTCGAAGAACAAGGCAACGGCTGCGGCCACATCGTTGGCACAGGCACCCAGATAATGTTTGGCCTCCTCGGTTGTGCAGGCTGTGACTTCGACCACGCGCTCGACTAGTTCGTCAATTGTTGCTGCATCGCCACTCGACATTGCGCTGCAGCCTCCGTTATTTGAATTACTTGCTTTTGTTTTTGTTTTGATTTTGATTATTCCTAGACGCTTACAGCAAAACACTGAAAACAGTAGCTTAATACTTTTTTATAAGATGTAAAACGCAAAATTCGCAGTGATGTGTTGTTTTACAGCACTCAAAACTAGTGTTCAAACTATTGACAAGAAATTTATCGATGCTATCGATACGAGATAAGCAAAAATGTTGTGAGTACATTTGCAGCTGGTTATTATAAATGTTAAATCGATAACTGTTACTCTTCTATAGTCACTGTTGTGGCTGTCACTGGTACATTAACTATTGCTCATCTCTAAGCAACAGTATCTCTGCGTCAACTGCACGATAAGAATTGCTGATTATAAAAAGGGAAGAAACTCAATCAATTATGCGCGCTTAGTCTAAACATACCGATGCGAAAGTGATTGTGCTTGCATTGCGCCTGTAAAAAGGGCTTGCATTCTTCCAATAAGAATTCCTATACGCAAAGTAGAAAAGTTCAAGTGCTCCTTATAACGAAATTATGTGCTCAGAGTGCATATAAAATAAATAGCTGTGAGAATATTTCAAAGCGTCATCACTGCTGTTGCTGTTGGCTCTGTGCATTAATTTCGTGCCGCACCCGCCGCTCCCCTCCTGCTGAAGTACAAAATGGTTTCGCTGATAAAAAAACAATTGCTGAAGCATTTGTCTATGTAAGTGTCATCGTCATCGTAAACAAGTTAAGATCATTAAATTCAATTACAAACTCTATGCAAATTACGGCCTTACGGTTGTCTCTGTGGCGCCACTTTGCTGTGAGAAATTCAATTGATTTTTCCAAGCGTTGCGCTTCTCTCTTCTGTTGCTGTTTTTAGTTTCATTTGTTGTTGCTCTGTATGTGTGTGGATATTTATACATATGTGTATATGTATGTGTGTTACATATTTATATGTATACTTTTTGCAGTCTTCTAACACCTGCATAAGGGGAGGGGTTGCTTCTTTTCTTTATCGTTTATCGTTTAGTCTCCCCCACTCCCCCTCCCCAATAACAACGCCAATTTATCCACCTCCTTACGTAGAGTAACAAGTGGATGAGTGCACACAGCCCCCTACCCCTTGTCGCATGTTTGTGTGTGTTTACGTCTGTTAATGAAAAAATAAAATATACAATTTATATTTTCAAGTGGCCGTAATTCACTTCTACTTATTTCTCAAACCATGAAAGTATGCACCTGTATATATATATATATATGTATAGTATGTGTGTGTGTGTGTGTTCATAGATATGAATGTGTGTGTGCTCTTATGTGTCTTATATATGTGTGTGTGTCCTGACAGCTGGATAAATAAGAGGTGCACAGGAGCGGATTACAGTGCAGGTCTGCGCCCAAATAAGAATGCAGTCATTTCTAGCACTTTTTGAGCAGAAACTGAATGCAAACTACGAGTATATTTGCATAAGTCAGCTGTAATCTTAGCCGGTTAGCTTAAATGCTTTCAGAAGGCTTATGACCACATGTAGCGCCTTCTGCTTAAATCCAGTTCGCTCCTGTGCACCAATAATGTATGCAGCACATATGTATATATAAATATATATATATAAATATATATATATAAATATATATGTATGTATGTATTCACAACAAGTGCCGGCTTTGTTTGCTGATTATTTGTCCCGTGTTTTGAAGTTAGTCCCACGCAATTAAGCTGCAAACAAACTAAGTTTATAGCAAGACTTTACGTGTAAATGCAAAGCAAACTTGTTGCCTTTTATCTTCAGTCCTTGCTTCCTTCCTTCCTCCCACAAAACAAACGGTGCTGAGTAAAAAGTTTCGTCTCTTGTCCCAAAAAAGTTTGCAATTTAATAAACTTTGGCAAGCAGCAGGTGAAATCATTTTTATCTCAGCCCTAATTCGGCAAACTTGAAAAAGGTGCAGACTAGCTTTAAGATGGATTACAATTTAGAATTTAAGTTTCCCATACGTTGGATTAATGATTTAAGCTTTTGGAACTGGGCTCTTTTTTTTTTAGCGAGGTCTAACCGCAAAACTGAACTACAGTGGCGGACAGAAGTCTGCGTTCGACAGCAATTTCAACTCATAATTAAACAAAAGTACCCTTTACTCCGAGGCTTATAAAATGAATTATAAAAGGTATAGGTGGAGGAATAGCATTGAGAGGAAAATCAAGCTTTTCAATTACTTTCCATTTATGTAAATGGGAACTGAGCAGCTGTCTATTTAGTCATCTAAGAATGGAAAGAATTAAATCAATTCATCAATTTTGTTCAATATTTAGATATAAATTATGCATGCAAACCATCGACTTCAAATGGGTCAATTGATGGGTCAGCAGCAGCTGCAGACTGCGGCGCCACACTTGCTGCCACAAATGAGTGTTGACAGCTGTGCGCAGCCAAGCTGAGATAAATAGCTTGTCAGCATCCTAACTAAAAGTCTTTTACATATATATTGTGTTTATTGTAGCTACACAAAGAACCTGTCCTCGGATAAAATCAATTTGAGCACATTTCGTGGCGAGGGTGAGCTCTCCAATCTGGAGCTGGATGAGCGTGTGCTAACCGAGTTGCTGGAGCTGCCCAGTTGGCTGCGTTTGACGTCGGCCTGGTGCAATCACGTCTCCTTTCGCATTGGCTGGGCCACGAAAACTGTGCCCATAACGCTGGTATGCAAATATGGCTTATAGCAACACAAAGCACTTGATAAACACCCTCTATTTACCCTTTGTTCCGAATAGACGCTCGACGAGGTGCGTATTACCATCGAGACCTGTGATCCCACAGCGCGTGATGCTGGCGGCGGTGGTAATGCGACCGCTGCATCGCTGCCACAAGTGCCTCAGGGTAAATACAGCTTCATACACAAGATCGTCGATGGCATCACTATTGTGGTGAACACGGTGAATGTGAATTTTGTGAGTGCCGCCTTTACCGCCTCCGTGCAAATGTCGCGCATTCGGGTGGAGTCCAAGACGCCCAAGTGGGAAAATGGTGATTTGCGCTTTACACGCCTCAAGGACGCCCAGAAAGGCATTATCTTAATCTTCAAGGAGCTCTCATGGCAAACGGTTCGCATTGAGGCCAGTTCCACTCAGGACAAATCATTGACTCCGCTACGATTGCTAACGAATCATGCACGCTGTCGAATCACGATACGCAAGCGTCTATCGGATTGCGCAGTGTTGGCCTCATGTCTATTGCTCATACTGGATGATCTGCTCTGGGTGCTGACCGATTCGCAACTGAAGGCGGCGCTGCATTTCGTTGATTCACTATCGGGTCTGATTAAGGTGGCCACACATGCCACTCAAAAGACAAAGGCGGCACGTAAACTACAGGTCAGTAGGGGAATAACTTTAAGTTGGAGTTTTCATCTGTAGTAGTTCTGAAAACTGCCGATTTCTAATATATATATTTTCTTGTTTGCCGTGTAGACGCTGCCCGAGTACCAGGCACAGGTTGCCCAGCAACAGAATCGGCTCTCGGCATCGGCGCATATGACGCCGGCGCAAAGGCTGTTCAATGCATTTGATGTGCGTGAGACTTCGTATCATTTCTTTAGTCAGCGCATTGATTTGCACTTGTGCGACGATGAGGGTGATGGTCGCTCCGGTTATCCGGAGCTGGACAAGGGCGGTGCCCTACAGGTGTCTGTGACCGCATTTCAAATCGATTATTATCCGTATCATTTGGCTAAGTCGGATCGCACGCATTGGGCCAAGTACAAAGAGGCGTCGGTGGCGCCAGCATTATGGCTAAAGGAATCGCTCAATGCGTTTCGGGAGGCGGTGCTCAATCTCAGCCAACCGAATCGACCGGCGACGCATGCCCCACTCGAGCGCAGTGCGCCCGCCTCGCCCATAATGCTGAGTGCATCGTCGCTGTTGGGCTCACAACATGGCAGCGTTGGCATCGGCTCCAATGGCAGCAGTACACCCACTGCAGCAGCAGCAGCAGCGGCTGCCGGTGGCTCCGGTTCCGGTTCGGGATCGGGCAATGCATCGGCCAGCAGCCAGCATACGCAGGCAACGCAACAACGCAGCACACTGGAGAATCTGGCCAAGCTAATGAGCTCTTGCTTCATACTGAGAATCGAGGATTTCACATTGTATCGCGTGACCACGTCGGGCAAAAAGCAAATGCCCAAGGAGTTTGTCTCAGGTATGAGTTGATTGGGAGTAGTCCTTAGCTAACTACCAGCTATAACACAATCAATCAAATAAAATAGATCTAATTCTTATTTGCATATATGTCTAAGGGCTAAATAAAAGCTGTCGGCGTTCTTGGGCATATATTTATATATACAACATGACAAAATGTACACTCAAATTCGATGCATCACATCACAACACATACACACACATACTCACACACACGCCAAACACCTTATGCTCTGACTAATTAATTTTCGAGTATTTCTCTCTTCTCTCAACGTTCTCTGCTTATTCTGTTCAAATTTTGTGTATTTTCAACTGAATTGAAATGTTTTTTGTTTTGATTTTTGTATTTGCTAACATGACAACTCACCATCTCATTTGTCAAATGTGCAAATCGCTTTTGTTGTTTGTGCTGTGCCTCTCATTGTCATTCTGTCACTGTTGTTAACTGTAGCACAACATAAGAGGAAAGGCAAATCTTCAGGTGAATATCATGCAAAACATTGCGTATTTTGGCAGGTGGCGAAATGAAAAGAAAGTCCAATTTAAATCATAAGCAATAACAATAACAATAACCAAAAATAACCAAAAAATCGTTGCACCAAATGATTCATAACTTTGTTATCTTATAGTTAGATTAGACACTGTGCCAAAATACTTTGTGTATGTGTCATATGTGGCCAACTTGGAGGAGTATGCTATAGTTCAATTTGATTGACATTTACTTCTGATTGCAGGTGACAAGGATCGCTATTCGTTTCCCGCCGATATGCCCATTGTGCACGCCGAGTACACCTACTTCTACTATCCTGGTGATTTTGTTTTTCCACGTTAGTGTTACCCGCATCTTATTAAAGCTTTAAGTTATATGTATATTGATTGATTTTTATTCTGTTCGCAGTGCCACCTTCAAAGCTGTTTGTGCACATTAATCCACTACAATTGCATTTTGATCTCAGCTCGATATTGTGGTTGAACTCGTTTGGCCTCAATCTACACGAGAGTTTGTTACGCACCAGCGTCGGCTCCCAGGCCACGTTGCAGCAGCAGCCGCAGAGTACACGCGGCTCCATTGCCTCCAATGCCTCGTATGGCTCCAATGGTACACAGATGGCCGCTGCATTGAGCGTCGAACAGGAGCCAAATCTGACGTACATGGATGTCAAGGTGGAGGCCATTATGCCGCGCGTGGTCATGGAAGCGGCGCTGGATGCGCCCAACCAAAAGGATCGCCCCAAAACGATGCAAATCCAAATCTCACGTTTCGCCCTGACCAACATACGTGAAATGGGCAGCTCACGTGCGGATTTGGCTCAGGCGCTGCATTCACTGCAGGAGGGCTCGCTGGTTTTCGGCAGCGGCTTCCCCTCGGTCGAGGGTGACATGTGCATTGTCACCGATCGCATTCTGTCGCATGTGGCCGCCTCCGATGTCAGCATGCTGTCGGCACCCATGTCACCGATGCAAACGCAGCTGCCACGTTCCGCTTCCACACAGTACCTGTCACGATATGCCATGTGGTCGGAGCCGCGCGATGTCTGGTGCATAAAACTGGATCCCGTTTGGGTGGATTTTCTGGGCGCACGTTCGTTAGGTCCCAATAAATCTATACCGTTTGTGGATGCGGTGCCCATTACGCTCTGGCTGCATTCTGGCGGTGCAGCGCAGGCGCAGGCACAGGCACAGCTGGAGCTGGGCAAACGTCAGAGCACGGTAAGTTCGCAAATGGAGAGCATGGGATTGACGCCATTGCCGACGCTGCCACCATTGCCACGCAATCCGTTCCTTAGCGATGAGGATGTGCGCGTTTTGCAGCCCCCGGCCAAGGATGATGCCACGCCCATCGAACGATCGGCCGATATGCATGCTATAGCGCATATATCGAATTTGGTTAGCCTGCAAATCGATCATTATCAATTGTTATTCCTGCTGCGCCTTGCCGAGGAGTTCAATGAAATGTCCACATTTCTCAATTTGGATGCGGAGCGCATTCTGCAAAAGGTTCGTGTGCACCACATGCAAGAATAGCAACAACTTACAATTCAAATTCGTTATTTATGTTTGTTTTGATTTTATTTCATTTTATTAACAGCAAAATCAGCAAAAGTCCATAATATTTGGGTGTGTTGTGCCGCAGATCGAGGTGACGCTTGTGATGCCATCGCCAACACCTGGTAAGGAATCGAGTGGTGGTGATGCTGAAAGTGTCTTACCCGATTCAGCTAGTTTGGGTGATGATTTACACATGAATAGTAAGAATTATATTTCTTTTGTTGTCTCTCCTTCAAAAAACTCTTTAGTTTTAAATTTATCAACTAAGCGCTAGCTATCAATACTAACCCATGAACAGTGTAGCTCTCTCTAAAACATTTAACAAACAACCAAAATTCTCACACAGACCTCTCACTGATTCGTGTTCTTTAACCAATCTTAACACACCGTAATCCCCAGTTGAGGAATACCATTTATTTAATTTTTTTTTATTTCTTTCTTTTGGGTTTCGGTATTTGCTTTTATTGCTGTACTATTGCTTACACATGTATTTTTAAGAAACATTTTTGTAATGTAGGCTGGACACGTAGGATTTCAAGTCACCTAATTGTTAACTTCACTCAAATGGGCGTGTTTTCAAAGCACAGTTCAATAAATTGAAATCTTAATAAGCTTGCCATATCTAAAAGTATGAAGAATTTAAAATTATTGTACTGCAACGTGTGACATAGTCGTATAATGGACATTATTTTAATTTCGCTTGATAAAACACGCTCATACGTAAATAATCTCGCATGTTTTTGTACTAAACTAACGCAAAAGATATTAGTGACTATCTAATCGAATATTGTACAATAAAAGTATAGTCAATGTTCAGCACATATTATTTAAAACAATCACGAATTTCACAGGCGGCAATATCATATGGCCCACACCACCGCCGCTGGATCAGCTGAAGAGTAATACATTTGGCAGCATGGAGACGCCATCGCCGGTTACAAACGATCCCCCCTTTGATAGTGGCATACATATATCCAATCCAAATACACATGGGTAAGTTAAGTGGTACTCAACATTTTTCAACACTCATAATTCAATAATACAATTTCGTTTCTTAGTTACAATGTGCAAATTCAGAGCACACCAACGTTAGCTTCCTCAACGCCAAGTCAGGGCTCACGACCTGACACTGGCATCTCCATGCAATCGCAATCGCAATCGCAAACTCAATCAATATCATCTGCTTCAAAGAGCCTTAAAGGCACCGTTCGTCCGGGTTCGGGCGGAGACAATGTGCCTAGCATAACCAAGGAGCTAAACTCGGGTTTCCTGTCCATGACGAAGGGTTTCTCCAGTTTTATGACTTCGGCTATTAAGTCAGGCACACCCAATGATGATGTCAGTGATACCTTCTCCGTGCAGAGCGACATTAGCTCCGATTCGGAGAAGTATGCCATGACGATGGCCGACGATAAGACCATGGACTGCATGGATGTAATGTTCCGGCTTAATCCATTCACGACTGACAACAATTTAAAGACCTCACCAATTGAGGTGGCCAGCGAGGTGTACGAGGAACCCAGCAGCTATAAGACAAACATGTCATCGCCTTCGGAGCCCTCAGAGGCGAGCACCTGGCGGCGACGTGATCTGGTTTCTATGGCCACTTTCAGGTTACAATTTGCATCCAATATAATTCAATTAAAATGCAATTTAATCCGTGTTTTTTTTTTGCCAACACACAGATTGACGACCGTGGAGATTATACGCCAGCAGGAGGGACCAAAATCTTCGGTGCGCTTGCAGGTGGCTGCCGTTTCTTGTGATGAGTGTGGCGCCATACCCTGGGACGAGTTGCAGGTATGCTCTGAATTCTATTCTTATCTGTGCAATTATATACTCTGTTACCAATGGAAAAAAGGCGAGTGTATCCCGTTGCCATAGTCTGGATTGATCCTTTAAATTCGCATTCAGCTCTTATGTAATTGGAAACAGAGTATAGCGCAGTCGGTTACTTTCGACTCGTAACATTCTTTCTTATTTATTTATTTTCGATTATTTTAATTGTGTATATAAGCAAATCATTTTGTTGTGTTTTCTTAAGTTCTCAAATCTTTTCCTTATAACTTTTAACAAAAGTGAAGTATATCTTTTTTGCTAAACTTTCCGGACCGTTTTTTGCATGTTTTGATAACTATTATCTGAACATCTAACAAAGTTAAAATAATTGAAAAAGAAACAATTGATTTTATAATTATTTAGCAATACGTTTTACTGTAAGATAAACTTCTCATATAATCATTTTCTCATTATATTTTCTCTTTTCTCTAAAAACCAAATATGTTTTCATATAAACAAAAATCGATCTCAATGTGTGCTTATTAAATACAAATAATGTGCTCAACTTAAAATTTACTCTATTATGAACAACAACAACAACGACAAACACAAAAAAACACTTTGTAAATTGATTAACGACAACAACTACATTGCACAAATTCTTAACAACAACAAACTACACTCGTCAACAACAACAACAACAAACAACACTCTTCAACAACAACAACAACTACAACAAAACAGATTGCGCATCAAGCGAACAAGGTATAAAAAAAGCTCAACTACAAAATTAAAATTCTTATTTAAATGCTAACTTATTGATTTTATTTGATGCTTTGTATATACATAAATAACGACTATTTAATGCCGTTTTTTTTTAAGTTAACCTTTTTTAACAACTTTTTGGAAAATGATTTTTGTTTGATTCATTGTAGTTACTTTTTTGTTGGCTTCTCTTGCCAGCGCTGCTACAGTTTGAAAGCGTTTTTGGCCACTAGTTAAAGTAGTTCAATTGAAATTAGTTATATATAAATATGTTAGTTTGAACGGGTTTTAACCATAGTGTTAACAGTGAATATACCGCTTAACGATACAAACATAAAACTCAAATTTTGTAGGCAGCTTTTTGTTTATTGTATAATTCGAATGTGTTTTTTGAGCATGCACTCACATGCCGTCCTCCTCCGATTTCGTTTTTTGCCCAATAGCTCCAAAATAATTTTTGTAGTGTCCACTTTCTATGAGTTTTGGTTTATATTTGATTTCTGGTTGGATATATATTTTTTTGTTTTAGTTTTTTGTTGCAAATTGGCTTCGTCAAACGTACACCTAGGTTTGAAGGCGTTAACACCATAACTGGGCCCATACGAATATTACTAATAACAAACAAAAATAAAAAACATAACAACAGCAACACTAACAGAAACGGTACATGGAAGCTTAAACAATTGGCGCTCTACTAAAGTCCCAAGCTGCTTAAAGCAAAAACCACAATAAGCAAAACATTAAATGAACTCTATTTAGAAGATCTTCAACATGACATCATGCAACACTTTCAATCGCTTACACACACGCACATACACACACACACACACAGACACACCTTTTCCCCACCTATACACACACGCAGCGCAGACTGTGCATGTGTGTGTGTGTCTGCTTGCTGCTTTGCATGTTTGTAGTTTGTTTGCATGCCTAACTGCTAAGTATATGGTATTTAATGGGGTTATAGTTCTATTTATCGATGTTCTATTGATGATCACTTGCAGACAAAGTTTGGGGCGCGCTGCAAGGCCTGGAATTTGGCGCCGTACAATCCGGAAGCACCGCCCTGCATAAGACTGCGCCTCGAGGAGACTCTGAATATGCCGAAGGAAATTGAGGGCATCATCGATCGCAAGCGCATACAAAGGTTCATTTTTGCTAATTGATGACTCGCAACGTTATTTACAGTTACTACTATTAAATTATTAGCTGGTTTACCCATAATGCCGAGATACGCGTTAAGGACATCAATTTGGATTTATCGATGAGTACAGTGATTGGTCTCGGTGATCTAGCTGAGGATGAGATCATCTCGCCTCCGCTTCCCGTCACGGTAAAGTCTCTATTATAAAGCTTAACATGTTTTATATTACTGATTTCATATACTTTGTATCAGATCAATCTGGAAAATGTGCGCATTAATCTGCTGGAAGACCGTCCGCCCGTCAATATTACCTCACCGGGCCCAGTGCCCATAAATCTTTGTATTGGCCGCATGCATTTGGAGCGCGACAAGAGCGGTCAGCTCAACATACAGCCAATTGGCAAGTATATGGCAAACACAATTTCTTATTACGATGTTCACATAATTCTGTTTTCCCTGGCAGATTCAAATTTAAGTGCCGATCAGCATCAGGCTTTGAGTGGCGCTTTGTTTGGTGCACCGCGCGAACGCGATCGTGAGCTGCTCTCTATGCAGCTGGTCATGCAGCAAATGAAGCTGGACAATGAGCAGCTGCGTCGGCAGGTTGTCGACTGCAAATCCAACACAGACCAATACAGGTGAGTGTGCTTTGCACTTTTGAATTATTTCTCAAATCTTAATAATAAACGCTTGATAGGCAAAAGACTAAACAGGAAACGGATGTGCTGCGCTCGTATTTGAAGGCAGCACAGGATGACATTAGCATATTGCTAGAGGAGAAGAAGGCGTTGTTGGATACCATTCGATCCATGCAGGTGTGCATTTAATTGTTTTACTAGTGCACATCGCACCATACACACTTACACGTTCTTAACTGTCTATCTATATGTACACCTCTCAATGTTGTTTTGTATGTTTTTTTTGTCACTTCACACGTTATATAATTGTTGTGCGTGAAAAGTTGAAATACGTAAGCCTTAAGCATACCACAAATAATAATGCAAGGACTAAAGGTCAGTCACTAACTGCTTGCATGCTTTTTGATTGAGCACTACGCACTACTTACACAAGTACCGAAAAAACTTTCCGCTTTTGCTTTCCAAATATTCAACTATAGAAATTTATCAGTCACTAAATATATGTTTCACTTATAGATTCAAATGACATCATCGAATATGAGCCGAAAGAATGATGGCAACAGATAGCACAACTGCATGGACTGCATCCAATGCTGCGGCGAGAACAATAATGCCTAGGCCTGGTATGCACTAAAGTCAATGCCGATACCATTAAAGACGTCCTTGATTTTTATTGTTATGCCGCTTTTATCATCAATCATTGCGTTGAGTTTAGCAGAAGACTGAGCCGTACTGAGCACGGACACCAATCACGTTGCCGTTCATCATCAAAAACATACTTACGTACATAGTTATTCTATGTATATTTTTATTGGTTTTATTATTGTTAAGCTAGCTAACAACTATTGCTACTGTTCCAAAGAATGTTTTCCCTTTACAAAATGTGTTATTACACTGTTTATATTGTTTTGTGTTATTGCTTGAACTTTTAAAGCAGCAACATATATATATATAGTACATTGTTAATTATTTTAAAACGATCAAATTAAATGAGCATATTTATACTTGTACATATGCATAACTATGTAATTCGTCATTGATATTACACCAAACTAAAACATTGTATATTCAATAGATATTAATAACATATTGTTGTGATTCATGATCATATCAAAATACTAAATTTTAGTAGTTATATTTATTACGTACTATTCTTATGTATGTGTGTATGCATTGATGTTGTAATCTATGTGCTTATTAGCAAAACCATTGGCCAAATCTATAAAAACAAACTAGTATTGCTGACTACTACATAATTAGTAGTGACACTCCAAGTTATTAAAATTTTGTATTAAAATTCATTGCATTCCAATTCAATCAAACCACGATTTCTCAAAATTACTATGTACCCACACACCCATACACATAAGCATATGCAGTACTAATTGGAAATGTTTTATTCTCAACTAAATCAAAAGTACCATAGTAAAAAAAAAATCAAAACAACTCAAGTTATGAACGCGTATACAAATATTTAAATAATAGTTTTCATATTTCCAATTAAAATCAAATCTATATACACAAAACATATAATATACATATGTACATATATTTACGTATGTATGTATGAAAATTTGCGTTCTCTGCTTACGAATGTAAAAATGAATAATATTTGTAACAATATTATGTATTTGAATTATACTAGTGAAACATAAAAAAATATTGATTGTTATACATGCAATATACGAACGTTTTCATCTGTAGTTAGGAAAAACAAGATTTAGAAATTAAAGTCGCATTAAATATTGACAATTACTAAAGTACTATTACAATGTGTTTTTCCTTGTCAGTATTGGGGGACTAAATAATTATGACCAGAGGAAATACTTGTAAAAACCAATATCCTTTTCTTCGGCAGCAGGCCATAGAAATACAAATTAAACTGGTTAATTGCATATTTTAAATTATTTTGTTCAGGAGTATTTAAAACACGTTTAAAAGTGTTTCGGGCATATAAACAACCGCTCTTTTAATCAGGTAAAAAATGTCGACAGAATTCCATATTATATTGCTGTCATTTGATTTGGTTTTTCAGATGATTTTTTTTTTGTATGGGAAACAAAATAAAATGAAACGATAACTTATCATTTGCAGAAACTTGACTTGCTTGCAGTTTTTTCTGACTAACTCATATTAAAAAAGGACAGATCTGGCCTGAAAAGGGCTAAAACGGCATCACTGATACATATAAATGTCATATCGACAGTACTTATACTTATCGATGTGCCATTTTTCATCGAATTTCGGCACATTTCTAAAAATATTTGTTTTAGAAATATAGAAGTTGGTGTGAATTATTTTCAACTCGAAGTCGCTGATATTAAACTTTGTATTCTGTTTGAAAATGCAAAGTGTAAGGGCCGATATTGAGCGTCTGTGGGCCAAAGCTGTGCATGCATTGGGTGTGGATAGATTTACACCTGAAGAATGGAAGGAAGAATACGAGCATTTCATCAAATGCATGGTGTCCGACAAGGAACCCTGCATTGTGATGAACACTGTAAGTGCACTGTACAGCAACTTGTTCCTTTGTATATGCCTATATGTTTATAGGAAGCGCAATTGAGAGAAGAATATGATGAGTATCTACCGCCGGCGCTAAGAAATAACAATCGGCCCCAGCATACACAGCCCACGTTCAGAACGGGGCAGCAGAATTTCCCGCAACAACAACAAAATGCACAGCAGGTTGGTAGCCCAAGCAATATTATGTCCGTTTTTGAAAGTATGATATAAATGAATTTTATAGAAACTTTTGCAACAACAACGCCAACAACAGCAGCAGCAACAACAACAACAACAGCAGCAACAACAGCAAGAGCAAGAACAGGAGCGGCAACAACAACAGCTGCGGCAACAACAACAACAGCAAAAACAGCAACAAAAACAACATAAGCAAAAGCAACAAAAACAGCAACAACTACCACACCAAAAACAGCAGCAACTACATCAACAAAAGCAACATCATCAACAACAACAGCAGCTACAACAACAGCAGCTACAACAACAGCAGCTACAACAACAGCAGCTACAACAACAGCAGCTACAAAAACAGCAGCTACAACAACAGCAGCTACAACAACAGCTACAACAACAGCGGCAACAACAGCGGCAACAACAAAAACTGCAGCCACTGCAGCCACAACAACATCAACTTCCCAAACAGCAAAAGGTGCAGCAGCTACAACAACAACAGTTACAGAAACAACAACAGCAGGAACAACGCCAACAACAACAGCTTTCATACCAGGCTCTAGCCAAAAATGAGGATTGCAGATATAAGCCATATCCATTGAACATAAAAAACCAGCCAACAACGGTCGTGAGCACAGCAAGCAAACATCACAAATTAAATATTTAATAATTTTAACTAAATTTGATCTTTCTACAGGTCAATCAAGCTTTGAAATCACCCCTCAAGGATACTAATGCCTTACCAACGTCAACGCGCATTATGAAAAAGGAAAAGTCTCCTACACTAAAACATGAAATAGGCGATATCTCCGACTTTTTTAACAATTTACCTCAGATTCCAACAAAAATTGGGAAATCGTTGCAAGGACGTAATTTAACATTGCCAGCATCGAGTTCTAAACTGCTTGATGTACCATTAAAGCCTGCGGTTGGGCAGCAAACCGAAAATGAATCGAAGCCAACCAATCGCAAGAAGAGAAAGAAACACTAAGAAATCCTTTAGTTGAGGTGAGCTATTGAAGAGATGACTAGATCCATAGAAACACTGGTTTTCACAATATGATTTCTGATATTTTACTAGAAAGAAGAAAGATGTGGTTACTGTATGAACTAGTCGACCACATCTACACATAGAATTAATGGGCAGTGCATTTTCCGGCAACACAAGCAAGCAGGTTGCAGTTTATCAACAAAATTCAAGCAGTGAACAGCTGTGCCAGCTGTTAGAATTTAAAACGAAATGGGCCACTTCCCTGGCACATTACAAATTGTATAACACAAATGATCGTTTGCGGTGAACAACAAAACAAAGCATACAAAACACTTCACATAAATTGCATTAAAAGGACACAAACGGGAGCAGCAGTAGCATCAGCAACAGTAGCATAAACAACAACAACAAGAACAACAACAATAGCAACAACAGCAGCAACAACAGCAGCAACAAAAGCGTTATAAACACACTGCAATAAAGTTGTAGGCTGCAAACCAAAATTGAATTTGCGGTTTTTGCATGTGGGCCAAGTTGTAGTTGTTGGCCAGACTGACACTGAACAAGTGTGGTTCAGGTACATAAAACACGATGAGACAACGCAGCAAATAACTGTGAATGCATCTAAAGTGTGGTCAATAAATGTGGCGACCACACAATACAGAAAAATAACATGATAATGAGCTACCACCCACTATAACTATCCCATATGCAACTAAACTATTAACTAAACACATATTAATCCACAATCCGCAATTCGCACTGACTTGCGTGATATGGTTTAGCGCGGGTCATATGATGATTGTTGACTGACAGTTAAGGTTGATTTAAAACACTTCAAACCCAGTGCAACAGGCCAGAGACTTATACAAAATTATGCTACCGGAACAACAGCAGTAGGAACTGTGGCAAGTAGATAGGCATGGGACTTGTACAAATGTAAATGGCTCACACGACACTCAGTGGCAGGCTATCAAATTGTCGCCACGCTAAACAAACCAACACTCTTATTTAAATGGTAGGCAATTAAACTTGAGTATTCATCCACAAAATGTATATTGTCGCAATAAATATGATGTACAAAAGTCAGCAGCTCCAACCTTATTTGTTCTCCATTATTGTATCTAAAGCAATTTTAAACAGTTAAAAAAGACTTTTCTGTTACACAATTTTCAATACACAAGATTTTGCAATTATTCGCAGTAAATATATTTGAATGAATTAGGAATGAAAGTGGAATTAAGAATATGATTTATGCTCGAGTTTAGAAAAGTTATTCAATTTATTTTTGCTTATAATTCAAAAGTTACAAGTCAAACATAAAATATTTGAGTGTATGTATCAGAGCTAACACCAAAATGACTGGTTTTAGTTGTACCCATATACATACATATATAGAAGAGATGCAACCATTGCAATCAGCATCAAATCGTCGGCCAGACCATAAGCATTTAAGTTTACCAATGGCTATTACACAGACACACACACACACATCAACAGGCAGAGAAGTTGACCAAGTTTTAATACCCGTAGCAGCCGGTGTAGCGCATATGTAATCCCATTAAAATCCAATAAGTTAAATTATTTCCATTATTATTATGCGAGCGCACTTTGTCGCCAGTGTGTGTCCTGGATGATAACTGCTTCTGTGGGCGTTTATCTGTCTGACAGACCGGCAGCCAGTCAGTCAGTCTCTCTGTGTGTGGCTTTTGTTGGCCAGTCGACGGCACCCTTGACCAATATCTGCAACACTTCAAACTCATCCCGACCATTCTGTGGTTACGGTCATTGGCTTCTGCTGGCCATTAAATTGCATTACGGCCGACAATCATTGTCATTGTTATTGTTGCTGCTTCTCTTCTTAAGCCATGTAATTTCAGTAATTTTGTTTGTCTTCTCTTGTTGTTGGGGTTTTTAATTACTTTGCATTCTGATCCGTACTAATATTTAAGCGACCCAATTGTAATGCCCCTTAAGAAGATTTCTGAATGACAAGCAACTTACTTTAAGCATTTTTAAGAATTTCCATATTTTTATATATATAATGAATTCAAACCTTCCACATACATATGTTGAATTACGATTTGAATTAATCCTTTCTAATGTTTCTTATTTGCATACACTATTTCATGTATCAGTTTTGAGTGAATTTGGTGACTCCGAATTGAGGGTCAGCGGTGTTGGGCGTGGCCGGTATGACTAGACTTAGGGAGTTTCAAATCACTAGCTTTATAACTTCTGTCTAAGAGTATGAGAACAAATTATTTGTATTAAGCGCCATAAACTAAAAAAAGACCAAAAACTATTAAATATTCTATCTATCTATTACAAATCTAGTAAAAGTTCGTAGTCAACAATAAATGAATCTAGTGGATAGCTGAACGGAAAAAACAAGCACATAAGCAATCAAATAACAGTAAAACTAAAGTTAAAATGTTGTGACGACAAATTTAAAAGGTCTCCGAGCGACGCTTATATTTTTGGCTGCCAAATGGTAGAAAACAACAACAACAGCAACAGCCACAGCAACAATAACGACTGCTAGCTTGGCATTGTAAGGTGCTTAAATTACGCATAAGCCATGTATGCCAAACAGCACAGAAATCCAATAAATGGTTCAGTGGGTGGACAATAGGTTGGGGCAATACGAACAGCAATTTTTTGGTTCATGGGAATGCGGCAAAAATTAGAAGCGAAGCGAACTGAACACAAAACACGCAACTGACAACGGAAATTGTGCGAAGGGCCGCAAAAAAATTGACACTAAACAAAAATTGCGCAAATATGAAAAGCAACAACAATTCTAGTTGCACTGCCAGCAAATATTGTAAAAATAACAACAACAACAAAACAGAAGAGAACATTGTAGTCGGGCGTAACCGACTGCGAAATACTTTGTTACCATAAGTTATTCCAGTGGATTCCAAGGAACAAGTTTGCCTTTCAAATTGCGGTAGATATGAGCTAGTAACGATCCTTCGAAGTTTGGTAACTGTAGCTCTTAAATTACGAAGATATCGAATTTTGGAAATCTTAGGGGGCGGTGGTGGGTGTGGCCCACCAAATTATTAGAGAAGGTTCCTAGTAATCTCCTTTCAAGTTTGATAACTGTATGCCATGAAAATTTGTTATCGGCTCTTAAAGGCGGCTACCAGCAACATACCTACTTAATGTGACGGTTCTAACTCAAGATATAGCCATTTAAAATGTTTAGTGGCGAGGAACGGGGGGCTGCGGAGGTGGGCGTGGGATATGCCAATTTTTAAAGGCCATCGATTACAACCTAGCAACCAAATTTGCTAAGTGTAGCTTTAAAACTGTGGGAGATATGTGTCTTTATCGATTTGCGAATATCGATTTTATCGATTTCCTAGCCAACTGGTGGACGTACCACTCCAATTTTTACACTTTGTCTGACGCGGGCACAGACCAGTATGTGTTCCAAGTTTCAAGTCTCCATCTCTAAGGGTGTCGAAAAAATTTGCGTTCATACTGACGGACAGCCGGACGGACGGACAGACAGACAGACAGCATGACGGACGTTGCACAAATCCAATATACTATGATACCTTCGGTATCAAAGTATAGTTATCTAGTAAAATAACGCAACAAAAATGTACAATATTTAAAACAGCTACACAAAATTGCGAGAAATATTCACAGATTAGAAGTACAACTGGGCATGGAACTTAAACAATTTCTAGAAAATTATGTTAGTCACTTTGCAATCAAAGTATTCTAAAAAAAAAAACTTTACAAGTGTAGTTTAGATAAATAATAAGATGTTTTTCACTTTCTTTGGCATAAGTTTGGTTGATTTATTGTTTTTTTTTTATACATATTAGTTGGATTTCGAAATCTTTCGATTTGTAGCAGATTCCTTAAAGAAACGGAAACTAATTTATATAATTAGTTTTCACATAGGTTTTTCGGCAAAACAACAATTTTCATTTTATTATTGTAAAAGTAATCTGTAATTACAGTATACAACAAAAAGTTTCAGAACTGTGTTCTACCTCCAGTTTGCAGTTGCCTTATACTCTTTTTCAATGTTGACTCTATGTCGAGAGTTAGACAAGTTGATACTCGGTGTACGGGCTTAAATAAATCCATTATATATACCTAAAATGGACATGGATAGAAAAATTAAAAGTTTATTTAAACACTTACTACATTTACAAAAACTTTTATTAATTACAGTGTTTTTCTTAAAACCGCAAAGGTTTCGCAAAATAAATGGCGAGAAAGATAATTTCTACATTTAATATAATCCTTGCTTTCCTTGTTTCTCTTTGGTTCAGAATATGAAATTGAATATTATAATAAAAAAAATCTCTCCTGAAAATATGTTTTTTTGTTTTCTCTGAAGTTTATCACTTTTTGGAATATATAAATTATGTAAATATTTAAAGTTGCCGCTAAGTTATTTTTTTTCTCGAAAACTATTTGATATGAAAATACCAGAATATGGTTCGATTTTAATTACCAAATTGTAAAAGTAAAATGCAAATATTAAAAAAGGATGTGTATCCATTTGTTTGTGGAAAACACAAGGGAATAACTAGTAAGAATAAAAATAAATTTGAAAAAATTGTTAAGCTGATGGTAAGCCGCAATGCAAATGCGGCTTTAATCAATTAAAAAATATTGCGCTATGCCAAAAGTTTTGTGTATGTTTTGGTGTGTTTGTGCGGCGGCTGTGAAAATAACAATAAAGCAAATCAAACACAGAGCAGAGCAGAACAGCAGGAACAGTAGCAGCAACAACAACATAATACTGTTAGGCTTACACTGGGCGTATGAGCAACATTTGTGGCCTGGCTGTCAGGGCTAGGCGACTTTTGCCAAAAATGCTTTTCAAGCTCCGTTGTTGTTGCTGTTGTTGTTGTGGTTTTCTGCGGTCTGCTGGCTCGACTTGACTTTTGGTTTTCGCCGAGCATTTCGAACCTCTCGTGGCTTTGTTTGTCCTTGCCTAACGTTGCTCATCATCTCATTGTTGTTGTTGTTCATTTTCGCT